GGACATGTTGAATGTTACCTACGTATTAGGAATGTTAAGAGTTCTGTAGTAGATTTATGAATCGTGTATTGTGTGTCTAGTGCTAATGCTTGTGCTGTGTGCAGATGTTTTGAATAAGTGTTCCATTTTCCTTGAGCCAAAAGTCCAAGGGATGTGTCCAAGAATGGGAGTCAGGATGGGTGCTATTGTTGCATCCTGCACTGAAGTTCAATTGGATCAGATGAACTCTATAGCCCCTTGGAACACTATGTTTCTATGATTTTATAATTCTGTGAATTTTGTTTAAAGCATTTTGACACAATTCTGACCTCTCTTCCAAAAAGAGAGAGAGAAAGAAAAGCAATTTCAATGATACAAAAGTACTAGGATTCTAAGGGTTTGTCACCTGCTGAAGCAAAGCAGTATTATTTTGAGGTAGCCATAAATAAGTCATTTCAGTGGAAAGTTGCTTAATCTATTTTGTCTGTCTGTCTCTCTTTTCAGCCACTCAAATCACAGAGCTTTCCCCACTCTGAATAAATGCACTACCCAAAGCAGCAACTATCTTTGGAGAAATGTGTGTCAGGAAATAAAGCTTCAGAAAAGCCAATTGATTTCCAGCTGTTCCAGTTGAGAAACTGTAAAAAGAAAACTAGAGCAAAGAATCCAGCTGTTGCAGTTTACTTGAGGTTTTCTAACCCAACTTGGCTTTCCATCAGTAAGAAGTTTGAAATGGAGTGGGAAAGTGGAAGTCTTCTTTTAAACTTTTAGATCAGTGGTTACTAATTAGACCCATGGTTTTTTGAGAAGCCAAGCCATGGAAACCCTACTTTTGGACATGTTGATATCTCTGTGGTAGTTTTTGTTATGTGAATAGTGCCACAAAACCCTCCAACGTGTCCCAGCACAAAACTGGGATGTGCATCTTCTGGGCTGCTCTCCCACATGAATCTCATGACTCTGTGAGAGCATGGCACCCAAAAACATGTTTTGGGGCACCGTGATCTCATGCAAGACTCGTGGTTGGCTGCAATCTCACACATTTTTGGATGCTGTGCTCAAATTTAATAAACAACAACAACCTGAGTTGTTGACCATGACTCAAATTAACATTTATTGGCAGGTAAATCCAAGAGCTCAAAAAGGACAAGTTCATCCCCTCCCTCCCAAGTCCAACTGAACTTCCCTGAGATGCTGGCATCCAGGCCATCAAAGAGATTGTCACCTCCTTTTATCTTGATTTTATTGTTCCCTTCCATTAGCATTTGGCTGGAAAGGCATGTACAGGACATAGGACAGTGAGTATCCTTGGAGAGTCAGCATTCAAGGGTACTGTTCCAAGGGAAAGCTGTTCAATATGAGTTTTGGCTGCACTCGGAATTGGCAAACAGTGCTTTGTTTTTTTGTTTTTCCCAAAGTCAGCACTTTTACTCCATTGACTTGTTTTCAGACTTAATTCACTTTGCCCTTTTCTGTCCCTGGATGCTAATGCTCACAGGGGAAACTTGATTCTCTGCCCCTTGGAGGAGATGAGTAATTCGGCAACCAATAACTCCACAACCAATTTCTTGCCTTAAGTATCCAGTTTCCCCCCTAGATTTTGAAATGAGGGTGGGATTGAGTGATGAGGGTGAAGATGCACATGCCACCATAGTTTGTGATTTTTCTTCTTCAACTCATTAGATTTAACTGAAGATAGATACTTCAGATCCTCCAAGCTTTCTGGTTGCAATTTTGCAGAACTCCTTCTACAGACTTCTCAAATGCAGGACATCAATTTTCAGTCACTACTTGTGTGTCCAATAAACTGGTCTTTCACTTGATCCACTTATTACCTCATCATTCAAATTATCAGGTAGAAGAAAACATTTTCCAGGACATAAAAATGTTATGCAAGTTGGGGAAAGAGCTCTGAATGGTCACAGTCTGTGTTAGGAAGTTTCCAGATATTAATCTTTGTTCATTCCAGCAAACACAGCACTGAAGTTAGGTTGAAAACTGGGGGGGGGGGGGGAGAAAAAAAGACCAACATTGTATCTGTCAACTTGCTCTCAAAGGGAGGAAGGGGTTTGGATAATTCACTATTGGGAATTTCATGAACTGAACTTTTCTGGGATGAATATCGTACTCATTTTTTAAATCACTTCTGTATAAATCACTGCTTACATTCTGGAAGAACTGGTTTGCAGTGAGAACACACAAGAGGCCTCTCTAGTCCAGCATCCTGTTTTCCACAGTGCCTGAGCAGATGTGTCTCACAAACCCACAAGTGGAACATGAGAACAGGGATGGATGTGCCTGTCAAATTCAATTCACTCTGCCTCTAATTTATGTAATCTTAAACTCAGTTCCCCACACTTTTGCAGCAGTTTGCGATGATGATGATGATGATGATGATGATGATGATGATTATATCCTCATTGAAAACTATCTGCATTTTAATTTATCCCAACAAGCACATTATTGGGCATTTTAGCCAAATATACCAATTGTTGCAAAGCTATCCGCCCTAATACAAGGTATATCTGTGCATTGCTTGCCCTGATCCTGTGCCTTTTTGTACACATTACTTGGCATTGCAAAATCTGGAGAAGCAGACAGCAGTGAAAAGGGTTAGATATGATTTAAAGTCATTGGACATGGGAGAATAGGATAGTAAAGGCACCATCACATCAACATACCTGTCTAGGGATGAAGTTTCAGAATTTGAGCACCACCTCATAGAAGTCTCTTGAACAGGGCTCATTTTTTCATTATACATAAGAAAGTATTCATTTCATGAACCAGCATTATGAGTTCATATTGGATACTTGGGGTAGATGGCTCCTTTAAAAATGAGATGAAGAAAATCCTCCGTGAGGAAAGGTTGCAACACTTGGGACTTTCTAGTTTCCAGAAGAAAGGGGACAAGTTAGATAAGTTGAATTATACATAGTGCAGACAAAGTGGATAGATAAAAGCTTTTCTTCCTCTTTCAAAGCAGAAGAACTCAGAGATATCTAAGGAAGCCGAATGCTGGAAGATTCAGGACAGACCAAAGAAAGTACAGTACATGGTTAAACAACAGAATTTGCTCCCACTCCCAGGCAGTGATGGGCACAGTTTTAGAGGCAATTTAGACAAATTCACGTAGGATGTGGCTATTAGTGGCTACTAGCTTGGATAGGGATGTTCTCCCTCTGCTGTCACAAGAAGTATGCCTCTGATTAACAGTTCACTGGTGAGGAGAGTGCTTGATCCAGCAGGGCTCTTCTTATGTCCTTCTGCACAGGAAGCTGTCAAAGGCTCGAGTTATTACAAATCAAAGGAGGTATATTCCTGGCAGAGCAGTTTTATTTAGCACTTTGACAACTTGAACGTTCAAGGAATGTCCGTGACTTATATTGTGTGTCAAGGGTGTCTCTCCCTCTGATGAAATGAGTTGCAAAGTATCTTTCAACAATGCATTAGATAGTAGATAGATAGATAGATGACAATACGGGTGAAAATAATATACAAAAATGCATCATATTGCAGGAAATTACAATGTGAACATTAGTCAAAAGTGCAAATAATAGTGTTTATTGGGAGAAACATGCACTAAAATGTTGTTGATTTTCATGAGGTTTTTGTAAAAAAAACATTGCACATTGAGGCAATATGGGAACTGTAGCATGAAGGCATGCCACTTGTGTGTGTTTTTTTTTTAAAAAAAAAAATGTGGTTGGCTTGACAATCTTTTAAAAGTGGTCCATTGTTTACGAGGCAAAGTTACCCCCTTTGAACAATTGGTCCTGGAGAGTTCCATTTTATTTAATTCTCGCAACCACCTAACTTTTTATTTATTTATTTAAAGCAAAAGCCATTTTTTTTTTACCCTACCCTTCAGCTGAAACGAGGCTGTCAGAGCTCCTTGCATATGGATCAGTAAAAAGCAAGACAGTCCCTTTTGCTCAGGCTTACAATCTTACAAGGCACAGCACAAAAGGGAAGAAAACTCAAGCATCAATTCTTAAAGTTTTGCAGTGATGCTTAAAAATAGCCAGCTTGAATGAAAATGGGTCAGGGAGAGGGGTAGCCAAAGGGAGCAGGTCTCTCAGCAGAGGTGATACGCCAGCCCTGCCTCAGATCATTCTCTCTCCCCAACCCCCTGCAGTCTTCAAGGTGCTGCTAGGTGACAGGGATGGCAGAGAAATTTGATACAGTTTAAAATTTTGATTCATTTAAAGATGAATCTACCTGATCCACCGTTTCTGAAACTATGCGAATTGAAACACAACCTCTGTGAAAATTCACGCTCCTCTGAATTTTGCAATGCAGATTTCTTGTCAAGTATTGTCTACAAAAAATGCATGTAGAAGGATACAAAACACATAATAACACATGCTTCCCATGAAGATTACATCCCATAATGCATTAAAGTCAAGGAACCATGTTTGCAAAATGTGTATATTAGGGGAAAAAACGAACATATGATATTAGGAGAAAGTTGTACTAAAATGGTGGTGAATTTTCATGAGGATCTTTAAAAAGGTATCAAGCTGGTGTAGAGAGAGGGGGGAAAGTGCAGAAATGAACTTAAGCCTGGAAAATTGAGAAACCGAGAGAAACCAGAATTGGCAGCTGAAGGGAGAAGGGCTGATGGAGCTGGTCTTTCAAGGTTCGTGACTTGATTCCACCAAGATTACATTTGCACAGTGTATGCCCAGCCCCTGCGTGATGTGAATTTTTCTTACTTGGAAATCTCAAGCCAAGGTAATTGTATGAGTCAGGACTGATCAGAAGCCAGAGTACTGTTCAGTGAATTGCAAACCATTTTAAAAAGCTACATAGCTTTATACTGAGTCAGGCCATTGGTACATCTAGGTCAGTATTGTCCACAATGGCTGGCAGGAGCTCTTGGGGGTTTCAGGCAGGAGATACTCCTAGCCCTACCTTGTTGGAGATTGAACAGGAGACCTTTTGAATACAAAACAGGTGCACTACTACTGAGCCATGGCCATTTCCCAATTGACATGAGCAATCACTTCCTGATCCAGCTATTGTCTTTAGCTCAGTTGGTTAAAATATGGTGTTGATAATGCCAAGGATGCAGGTTCAATTCCTGTATGGTACAGCTACATGTTCCTGCATTGTTGGGAGTTGCACCAGATGATCCTTGAAGTTCCTTCCAACTCTATAATTCTATAATTCCAAGCCCTGGGCCAGAGGAATACAGTTGACTCAGGTGCAAAGTAGACACACAAGACCACTGTGCTCTCATGCAGAAACATTCTTTATTTTTCCCCAGGGGCAAAGAAGCTTCCCTGTGAAAATATAGTGGCTTCTTCCCCTTCTTTGGAATGCTCTCTCTGCTGAGGCCTGACTGGCGCTTTTGCTGACTTTTAGGTGCTAGTGAAGACTTGCCATCCCACCCCCACCCCCATGCCTTTTGATAGGCTGAGATATTGGTGTGACACTGTTTCATTCCTGGTGTGTTGCCAAAGCTCCCTGCGCTTGTGGGGCTTGTTTTGTTTGTATGGTACATACGTAGTTATATTTACATTCTGAAATGTGCTGTAAATTGCTTGGATAATAAAGTCAAACAAAAATGAAGATGAAACTGATAGAATCATAGAATAGAATCATAGAGTTGGAAGAGACCACAAGGGCCATCAAGTCCAACCCCCTGCCAAGCGAGGGTTGGCGAGGGAGCAACAGCCAGGATCAAAAGACCAATCAGGAAAGTTCAAGCCATGAGCGAAGGGCCAAAAAGCAAGTTAAAGGAGCTGGAAAACAAAGTAGGAGGCAAAACTGAAACATAACCAAGAATTCAGGAGCATACGAGAACTGAGGAAGACTCAGTTGCTCAATGCTCAACTGGAACACGAACCACCACCACACCGGACATCCTGTTTTGTCTCTATATGAGCAGAGTCAGGGAAGGCTGGTATATTAGGGCAGATGGGGCAATGCCCTGCCAATCTCACCCTGCCCTTGACCAGCCATCTCCCTGCCTTACAACCAGTCCAGAGGTGGCCCTGACTGTCGGCTTCCTCCACTTCCTCCTCCATTTCAGTGTTGCCCTTGTAGAACTCAGCAGGGAGGAATTGGAAACCAAAGTTGGCTCTGCCAGTCATTGGTTCTGGCTGCACCTACAATTGGGCTCTCTGACTCCTGCTCTGCCAGTCCAAATGGGCACCAGCTACCATTGGGCAGAGCCAGTCTAAGTGTAGGGATATGGAACCTCAGGCCCAGGGGCCAGTTGTGACCCTTTATCTAAGGAAATATATCCTGGTGAGGCTGTTGCCATGCATCTCCCAGGAGTGCCCCCCTCTCTCTGCCCACCTGTCATCACAGAGACTTGTGAAGGACTTTCTTGCCTTGATGGGAGGAAAGAAGAGGATGGTGACCCAATGAGACTACTAACAATGTATCAAAAGCCTTTGCAACCAACCTAAGGTCAACTTAAATGAGATTATCTCAGATTTATATAAAAGATTATATATTTGAGGCTACTGGGAGAGCACCAAGGGTTAAAAGGGCACATGGAAGATCTAACCCAGGGTGTACTATAAATGGAAAGCTATATGATCAAAACCTCCACTTAGAGCAATATCAGCAAGGGAATTTCAACAGGCAAAGCATGCACCATAATATTGCATTATATCCATCTCAAAGAGCCCCCAAATTCCTTTTCTCACCTAAAACACCCCTTTGCTCAGCATTCATTTCATAATCAGAACACCCTGTACTATTCACCCTTTTCTTGGCTGCTGAAACCAGCATTGCTTATTGGTCCAGCTCCAGGAAAGAAAGAAAAAAAAAGCCCTCCCCTCTCCTCTATTGGCTGTAAGCCTTTGGAAGGTTGGCAGTGCCTTTAAAGCTTTTATGCTGATAGAAGTTGAAAGACGATAATCAGAGACATATAAAGCTGAGTAAAATGCAGTCGCCATGCTCTGGAAAGCCCACGTTTTAACAGCCTGCAATGCTAAAGGAGTGTCTAGTCTGATTTAATTTTAAAGGAGCAAACTGGTAATGGAGTGTAAAATGTATGCGGAAGCTGTATTGCTTTCACCTGTGCCAGAGTTTCGTCTGTATGTCCGAAAGGGATGTATACGTGTAAACTGAGATGAAGTGGTGGCTGATTCATTCTGGCAAATGGGTCAACTTAATCCAGTTCCCAACAGCCTTGGTGTCAGCTTCCTCCTCCTTAGTCAATGTGGTGTAGCGGTTAAGAGCAGTGGACTCGTAATCTGGTGAACCAGGTTCACGTCCCCGCTCCTCCACATGCAGCTGCTGGGTGACCTTGGGCCAGTCACACTTCTTGAAGTCTCTCAGCCCCTCTCACCTCACAGAGTGTTTGTTGTGGGGGAGGAAGGGAAAGGAAAATGTTAGCCGCTTTGAGACTCCTTCGGGTAGTGATAAAGCGGGATATCAAATCCAAGCTCCTCCTCTTCTTCTTCTTCTTGTCTCAGCCTTTCCCTTGCATAGTTCAGCAGGGAGGAGGAGGATAGGGATCAATCTAGCAATCATTGGCTCTGCCCATCATTGGCTCTGACTCCACCCACTGTCTACTTTCCACCTGCTTCTTCAATGGCACTAGCCACCACCACTGAAATAGTTTTCCTCCTTGTATTGAAAACTCGATTCAGATTTCTTGCCTGCCATTGGCTGACTCTGTGGCCTCTGGTCTAGCCACAATCTCTCTGCCTCACTTGCACATCTGTAAGATATGAATAACAGACGGATCTTCTTGTCCTCAGGTGTGGTGGAAGGGGGATGTTGGATCACCAAACAAATAAACAACGGCCACACTAGCCAGCTTCTTTTTGTGGTGAGAGGACATACTCTTTTGTATTTCTCCAAGGACAGCAAAAGTGCACTGATTAATAAGATTCTAGAGGTAATATAAATCCCTTGAAATCTTAAATTTGTCCTCTCCCCACAGATTTCCATTTCAGCCTAATGATTTTTTCCAAAGGTATTCTTGTCAAGCCACAGAGTACATTTGGAGTTATGATGTTCTGCATTTTATGCTGTTCAGTAAAGGCTGCCCCTTGAAATATGAGACATCTGTTGCCCCTGCAGGAGGCAGAAAAGTCATCATGCAAAATGCACCATTCCCTGCATCCCATGCTACAAAAAGACGCAGAGCTTTGATCGTGATGGACGTGGCAGATGGGCAGGGGCATAGCTGATCCTTTAGGAGGCAAATGGTAAGAAAGACTGAGTGATGTAAATGGCAGATGGAAGTGGAGCAGAGGAGACAACTGAAAGCATCGATGTGGTTGCTCGGTTGGACATAATCTGCTTTGAAAAGTTATCGGTGGAGTCAGAAATTAAGCAAACTCTCCAATATCAGTCCTTGCATAGCATTGTTAGCGTGTTCTGGGCATGTGAATGTGATGTCACATCCTTCCGTATGCAGCAGGGTGTTTTATATAGCACAATTAAGTCCACCACTCCCTCCCAACCTTTTTTTTTGGGGGGGGGTGAGAGCTTTATGCATCATTCAAGCTTTTTCCTATCCATACGATAACTGTAGTGTAAAAAGAAGAAAATGAACTCATTTAAGTGTTCCTTCTTCGGCAGTAGGGAGGTGTTCTAATGAAAATCCCACAGCTCTCCAGAGCATCATCATGAAGAGCCATTTGATCTCAACAAAAGTTAAAGAAGTTAAAAATAACTCGGGTGGGGAATGTGTGGGGAGGGGGAGAATCACTCCCTTGTAGCCGTGTCTCTCTGTGAGATTGATACATTTTGACATGAAGAAGGCAGCGGCACACAGAGATGCTGGAGTGAGGGACTCTTTGACCGAATGGGTGCCAACCTGAAAATGCAGCATCCGTATCTGGAATCACCAGATGTGATGATCAAAGATAAAGATGACAGGCAGGAAGTGATGCAAGCAGGAAGTACCTGTTCGTAAGGCCGATCTACGCGGAGGACCACAAATGACAACATTTTGGAGGTCCCAAGTCACAAGGTGGTTAGATTGGTCCCAACTAGGGCGAGGGCCTTTTCAGTACCGGCCCCGACTTGGTGAAATGCTCTGTCACAAGAGACTAGGGCCCTGCAGGACTTGACATCTTTCCACAGGGCCTGCAAGACAGAGCTGTTCCGCCTGGCTTTTAGTTTGGACTCAGTCCGACCCTTATGTTTCCCTCCCCTTATGGTTTTGATCTATGGGCTACTTTTAAAATGAGACTGCATTTTAAATTGTATTTTTAACCTGTATTTTAAATTGTGTTTTTTCACCCCTATTATGTTTTTATTGTAATTTTACTGCTGTTAGCTGCCCTGAGCCCGGCTCTGGCCGGGGAGGGCGGGGTATAAATAAAAATGTATTCTTATTCTTATTCTTATTACATGTTCACAAGGATCATGTGCCGAAGGCATCTTGGGAACTGGGCCACATCAGAACTATGTTTAAAACTGTCAGTAGCTACTAGCCATGATGACTATGCTCTTCTCCTTAGTTGCAGGCAATAATGCTTCTGAATACAGTGGTACCTTGGGTTACATACGCTTCAGGTTACAGCCTCCGCTAACCCAGAAATAGTGCTTCAGGTTAAGAACATTGCTTCAGGATGAGAAACAAAATCGTGCTCCGGCGGCATGGTGGCAGCTGGAGACCCCATTAGCTAAAGTGGTGCTTCAGGTTAAGAACAGTTTCAGGTTAAGTACGGACATCCGGAATGAATTAAGTACTTAATCCTGGGGGGCCACTAGGGGGCGCATTGGAAGATGGCCGACAATACCATCTCTCCGACCCACACGGGGTAATTAAGAGGCTGTTATGGGAGTAGGCAGCCTCCCTTGTTGCCCCAAGGAAATGGGGAACACTGCCCTTGCCTGCTGTGCCCATAAATCACCCCCTAATTCGAAAGAAGGGGGTGAGGGCCCTAGGCAGAATGCCCCCGTGTGGACATCGGCTCTCCTGGACGCTGTCTCTGATTGCGCACTAGTTGCAGCAATTTGGAATAATTAATTACAAACGAAGCAAATGCACATATTTCAAGTGAAGAAGGGGAGTGAAGTCTGCTAATTTAAGTGACCTCTGCGAAAGAAAACGACGGGCTGGAGAAACAGGAATATTTTACGATGAAGATACACCAAAGGCAGGGTATGTTGACAACGAGGCTGAATGGGCGGGGAAAACCTTTTTTACTTTCCTTCTATTTTTTACTTTTCCTTCTACAAGAACCCCTCCTCATTAGAACCGTTGGTTGAACTGACCCAAGCAGGATGATTAAGGTCTGTGTGGAGATAAACTTTAACCAAAAGTATGCTTTATGGAGATCGAGAAGCAATAAGAGCTTTTGGAATGGCACAGCAATTAATTCGGAGTCACCATCTTGCCAAAGGATTTATAGCTGGGAAGAAGAACGGATTTGTTTTCAGACTGCATTCCTGGTGAATCTCCTCAGAGGTTTTGAAAAAGGAGGCAGATTGGTGAAGATTAATGACGCTAAGACTGTTTTGATGTATGGAAGTGATGTTATATGGAAAACGTCTGGATATGGCTACTGGATAAAAAAAATAATATCCACGCAGGATTACAAACTGTTCTAACCAGCTTGTGGAGACTATCAGAGGTCACAAAGAGAAAGGAAAAATATATGAAAATAACAACAAGAGATGTGGAAAAATAATAAGAAAGGACTGGATAGTACTGTGAACATCATAAGGTTATATTTGTGGACATTAAAACAGCAGTAAGAAGCAAGAAGTTGATTGGATCCCTTCGGAACTTGAAATATGGGTACCCCCAACAAAAATTTAAAATTTGGCTGTGTAATTTGGAATTTATGTAATTTGGTTTGATTTGATGTGATTGGTCGGTTAATAAAAAATTATTCTTAAAAAAAAAAAAGAATTAAGTACTTAATCCGAGGTACCACTGTACCAGCTGCTGGAAATCATTGGAGTGGGGAGTACTCTTGTGTATGCAGGCTGGCCAATGTGAGAACAGGATGCTGGACAAGACTGGCCATTGACAATTGGCTCTTTATATGCACGGATTCCACACAGGGCAGCAGCTGTTTGCCTCGCTTTTATAGGACAGTTTATTTTAATGTGTTACAAAAAGCCAAGCCAAGCAAGTGCAGAGAGCCTTCGGGAGCGGGGGAATAAAATAACTCTGCAGGCTGCATGGACTCAGTCAACCGGTTCTGTTGACCTTTCTCTCTCTGTCTCTCTGGCTTGGAATTTTAATGACTATTCAATTATCATGTTGACATAAAACTCAAACATTAGAAGTCCCACTTGAAGGAGGAAAGGTTCCTGACAGGACAATTTAAAAGGCCTTGGTTAAAGAAAAGAAAATCCATAATATAATAATTACCCTTTTCGTAGATCTACTCTCTCCTCACCACACCTTCAGTGGCTTTTGAAAGACTGTTTAATTTTCAAATGCGATTATACTAAATCATCTTTATTGAGCATTACATTCAGCAGACGAATCTTACTGTGCTTCAAATAGTTTGCCAGGATTTTACAACAGGTTATCAAAAAGCCCATCGCAACAGAGGACCATGAGTGCTTCCAATCACCCTTTATTTCATAATTTATTTTCCCCTTTTTATTGCAATTTTCAGAGAAAATAAATGGAGTTTATGTTAATTATTTGGCACACAAGGCAGGTGTTGTGTGTAAATGAAAGTCAGAGGTATGGGTACTGCCCACAGGTTTAGATACTGAAACTATAGAGATATGAGGGAAGAGGAGTAGGAAACTAAAGATACAAAAGATGCATATGAGGATACCAGAACAAAGAGAGAAGTTATTATAAACAAGACAATTAACATCCACAGCTGAGACTAGGAATGAGCAAATCTGTCAATTTCAGTTTCTTTCAGTTTCTCAGGTTTTTTTCAATCTTAAATTAAGTCCATGTTTCCACACCAGGTTGTTATTGTTGTTAAAAGGTCCTCATGAAACTTCATCAGGATTTTTGTATGATTCCTGCCCCTCAGAAACAGATTTTTCTGTGCAATTTTGCCTAATAGACATATTTTTACAAACCAATTTTCCCTAATACAGTGCATTTTTGCATGGTTTTTTCAATCAACATATACATTCCCTCCCCCCACACACTTTACCGTAGTACATTATTTTTTTACATACACACTACTTGGCTAGATAAGAGGTGCAAAGTTTGAATGATGGTTGCATTTCAGTTTGCGTATTCTTTGGGAAAGTGTGAATTAAGTGGGTTTGCCTTTAAATGTGAACTGAGTTGAACTTTTCTTCCATCCCTGGTTGAAGCCATGATAATCTTCCCTCCGAAGCTTCAGCCCCTGGGTTAGGCTTGACCTGGGAGTGAAGCTGCATCCAGCTGGTGGCTGTGCCCCCTCCTCAGCCGGCTCAGGGGCAACCCTAAGGAGAAGGTGTTGTTGACACTGTCACTGTCACCTCAGCCCTAAAGGCCTGGCCCAGGTGTGGCTTCCCTCAATGAGAGAACCTGCTTGTGCCTGTGGTGTTCCCAGACGTTTGACGGTCTATTGATCCCTGTGCCACCACTGTGATTGCTTTCTCACTGCCACCAACCCGTTTCTCTCGGGTACACACGGATTCCAGACAGTTGTTAACATTAAACCAAATAAACAAGTTTATTTTATAAGCTTTATCAGGTTTATAGTTTCAGATAATTTTTCTTGTCAGTTTCTTAATCTTAGTTACTTTACTGGCCTATACCTTCCTATTAACTACTAACTGATTATACCAACTGTTTAACTGACCCCTCCTAACAGATTCTCTCACTCTCTCACATCAAGCTATCCCAACCCACAGACGTATCCTCTCTCTCTCTTCTCTAACACCCGACTGACTCCTTAACAACACTAACTCTATCTCTAACTCCTCCCCTTGGGTTCCCACTGGCCAATCACTTCACATTCATTTAACCCTTTCCTTATGACCCAGCATGATGTCACCTAGAAGGGCAAACGCCACAGTGCCCCCTCAAAAAAAATGTGCCCAGGGCAATGGTCCTCACCAGCCCCTCCTCCATGCTACGCCACTGCCCAGCAGGGCAAGGCAGCATTTCTCATTTTGCCTCAAGAGGTGAAAAAGCGCAAACCGGGTCAAATATATGGTGGAAATGTAAGGAAAAAGAAGGTACTTTTTATCATATGTGGTGGGAATGTAGAGAAGTTAAAATTTTTTGGGAAATGATATATAATGAATTGAAAAAAAATGTTTAAAATGACATTTGTAAAAAAACCAGAAGCATTTTTGATAGGGATTATAGGACAAGACCTGCCAAGAAAAGAAAAAAAATATGTATGCTACAACAGCAGCAAGAGTCTTGTTAGCACAAGGATGGAAGAACGAGGAAATCCCAATGAAAGAACAGTGGCAATAAAAATTGATAACTATGCTGAATTGGCCAAATTAACATATAAACTGCGTGACAAGGACAATCATGACTTCAAGGAAGAATGGGAACTTTTCACAAACTACTTAAAAAGACAACAAAATGACTCGTACTCCTTGGCAGGTTTTGAATAAACATACACAAATTTATTAGTTGAATATATGATATACAAGACAAGGATATGTATAATTTTATAATATGCAAAGAATAATATGTGTAAAGAAACCAGAGAGAGGAGCTGAGGGAAGTCCTGGGTGGGGGAGAAAAAAAATAATGTAATTGAATGTTTGGATTGATAAATTCTTATGTTGAAACTGTTTAGTAAAAAATATTAAAACAAAAAAAGAGGTGAAAAAGCGCACAGCCTACCTCCACTGTTGGCTTCAGTTACAGGGATTTTCAAGAAGGGAGTGTGTTGTTGTGCTTGCAAACTTCCCATAGGCATCTGGCTGTCCAGTGAAAGAACAAGTAGATGGGCCATGGACCTGATCCTGCAGGGCTTGCCTTATGTTTTCAAGGCAACAGGAGGATCTTAGATCATTTTTGCATGAGCAGAGTAAACGACCATCAAGACAGTTCTAGTCTCCCAACTGGGTTTGGGAAGAAAAGATCCAAGATTCAAAGCTCAGTTTGGGTCTTTTGAAGCAAGGCACACATATCCAATCATTAGTCCTCTTCCTTTTTTATCTTCTCCTTCAACACCTACTGCTGTTTTCAATCTAAATCACAGGATCGCTGCCTATTTTGTTTCATTGAAGCTCATATATATATATATATATATATATATATATATATGAATAATGGAACCCTTGCAATTATCATGCAGGGATCCTGTCAGTTGAATCATTGTTATTTAAAAATAAATGTCTCTGTCTTTATGATTAATGCAGCATTACAAGACATATGCCTTCAAAAATCATGAGTCAGACCTCATCAGTACTAGGGGATTGGTTTTAAAAATTCATTTACAGTTATATGCAGTAATAACATATTAGGTTTCTTTCTTTTTCTTTCTTTTTCTTTTTAACTATCAATCTCTTTCTAAGCTACCTTTTCACAATGGTATAAAAGGTGGGTTGCCCCAGATTTAAAACAAATGAACAAACTGCACTGAAGCTGATCCTAAAAAAACGAACTCACAACAAAATCAGCAGTGGCAGAGACATAATCAATCATGGACAGAGGAAGAGCAAAAGCAAAGCCATAATAATAATAATAATAATAATAATAATGTTGTCTTCATCAACCACATAAAAGCAGGCATTCTGGGGACAACGCATACTTTTTTTCAGAATGCTGATCTGAATCCTGAGCCCCGTAACTAAGTAGCTTTTGTTGTGGACACTTACACACTTCATTTCAGCTACAATGCAACTCAAAGACGAGCCTCTCTAATGGAACAAAGGAGTGTGTGGGTGTATGGGTGATACCTGAGATCTTCTGGTGCCAAATCATTTAGGGTGTAAAGGCCAAAGCTGGCACCTTGATTTGATCTGAGAAGGAAAGTGGTAGGCACATACCCTCCAAGTGCCCCAATTTTTCAGGGACAGTCCCAGAATTACAAAAGCCATCTCAGCTTCTGATTTGAAGGCAGTGAGTTTGGGGGGAGGGGGAGCTCAGAGACTTTGTGGGTGCCTGGGGAAGACATCAAGAGCTCTTCAGAGCTCAGGGGTCCCATGCTGGTGATTCACACCCTGGACCACATCTCCTGTGAGTCGCTCCCTGGAGGGCAAAAACTATCGACAGAACTGCAGTCCCTCAGTACTACCTTCTGGAACCCATCCAGCAGGTGGAACTGAAGCCACCACTAAACAGTTCCTGCCAAGTCCAGAAGAAGGATGAAGGCAAGGACTCCCTTGTCTTTATTGATCTATATGCCGTTCTGTGACACTTTAGGGCTGAAAAGCAGAGTAAAGATCCTTTAAATAAGAATACTATCATTGATATCAAAAGCTGTAGAGAGACCAAGGACATACCCTCTAACATTTCTCTGATGAAAATAGGGACGTCCCGTTCCATAATGATAATTTTACTATTTATACCCCTAAAAGTGTCCCTATTTTCCAGGGAAGTCGGTGATTTAGAGAAGCCGTCCCGGTTTCTGATTTGATCCCAGAATGTCCCCATTTTCCTTAGGATGTTTCTATTTTCATTGGAGAAATTTTGGAGGGTATGGAGTTATCCAACCCCCGAGCTGTCTGAAGAGAATCCTGAATAGGGAAGTTTTTTTAATGTTTAATGTTTTATTATGTTTTAATTATGTTGGAAGCTGCCCAGAGTGGCTGATGCAACCCAGTAAGATGTGTGGGGTATAAATAGTCAAATAATTATTATAATCATTTTGGATACGACGTCCCTATTTTCATCGGAGAAATGTTGGAAGGTATGGCCTCTGTTAATCTAATGGTTACACTTTTCCTCACAGCTGATGCTGGCAAAAGACCTTTCTTTCTGCTTTTCCTATCACTTGAGCATTTTGTCAGCCCTTTGCTTACTGTTTGCCAATGCCCCTAGCACTGAGGTTTCCAAGAACCTGGCTGTCAGATAAACTAATGGAAGGGATTGTGAAAAGTGAGAGGCACAACCTGCTGGTCAATAACAGAGGTTGCCAAAGTTGACCCACAAGGGCCAAAGAAAGATCTGGTGCCCAAACCAAAAGAATCTCCATCCTTGATGTAACCCATACTTTGTTGGAGTGGAGTGGAGGAAGGAGAAAGAATAAGGCTAGTTAGCAGTGTTGTTTTGCTATGCTAAATACTCCAACTTGGCCTCCTTTGATTTTGAGGTGTTAATTATTTTCCCAGAGGCTGAAAGAAAGCTTATTTAGCTGCCTTCAAAGCTCAGTTGTTCCTTCTTTGTAGATCGCTTCAATCAAACGTGTTTCTATCTCTTGCCATATTTATTTCTGCCTTCTGCTCCTGTAATTGGCTGTACACGCTTTAAAAGCTTGTGCTTGTTGAGTTAGCATTTTTCTCTAAGTTGCTGGAAATGGCAGAATCTTTCCCTCTGGAGCACAAACCTCTTCTCTCTCCCCTAGTCCAAGTTACCAATTGTACTCCCTTTGGGATTAACCCTTTAAAATGTACTTCTGCATTGTAATTGCATGTACCATTGCCTTTTACAGAGCTACAATTCCCAGAGTTCACATAGAAGATGGACTGATTGTTAAACCACTGTAGCTCTGTGAGGGGAATACGGATCTCCCAACAATTCTTAGCGCCCTTAACAAAAGACAGTTCCCAGATTTTGGCGAGGGTGGGATAGTCATGACTATTAAAGTGATGTGTTTGTGCTTTAAATATACAGTGCTCGTTAATCTCTGCTGAGCTCTGTTTTAAGCGACATTTTTAAATTTAATTATGTTTTCAGCTGGCTGACATTTCTTTCTGACATTTTATATGCTCTTAATATGTTTTGTACACAGTTTTATTGTGCTAATTCTTATTACATCATGTGGATTTTAAAGGGTCTTTTTGTCCTTAAATGTTTTAGTTATTTTTTTATGGGAAGCTGGGATATAAATGTAACAAGTAATGAATATTAAACAGAATAAGCTAGAAGAGTTGTAGAAAATATTTTTTGTGTTTTAAGGGATAGATAAAATAGTGTGGTTCTAGTTTATAGAAGAAGAAGAAGAAGAAGAAGAAGAAGAAGAAGAATTATTATTTATATGTGCTGTAAGTTGCCCAGAGTGACTGGAGAAACCCATCCAGAGGGACAGGGTATGAATAAAGTAGTAGTAGTAGTAGTAGTAGTAGTAGTAGTAGTTAGATTCATTCACAACTTAATTGCAGGTGTTGCCACACAAAGATTGATTTCTTACAAATGCAGAATGGGTATTATGTGGCATCTGTAACAGAATGAAATGGTCAAGTGGACATATATGAGATAAGGCAATCTCACAGGTAAACTGGTCCCAAGCTTTAAGGCCTTTGTCTAGTAATAGTAACATACTGAACTTGGCCTGGTAGCAAACCAACAACTAGTTCAGATCTCTCAGCGCTGGTGTTACATGCCAGCAAGGTCTCCATCCTGTAAGCAATCATGCTACAGAATGGGGGGGAGTGAAGCAGTGACCCACGTTCCCCTTGCAGCAGTGATCCCAGGGTTCCCCGTTAAAGGGGTCTTGAGGGGAGGCATTGAACATACGCCAAGAGGTTGTCATTGCTCTCCCCTGCGATGGCGGCGAAATGGGGGGTGGGCTCTCTGCTTGAACATATGTTCCCCAGAGCCAGCCCAATCCCCACACATTCTGGATAACCCTGATGTCTCTCAGATCCCCAGCTGGGGACTGGGAAGGATAAACGCCCAATGCCTGAGCCAAGGTCTCCCTACATCTGAAACTTAGTGACGTTGTGGCCAATTTTAATTCCATAGCGACTGCCCCACCCCATCCCCCCCAAAAACACAGCCCAATGAAGATCAGCAGGTACTGAATACTCAGTGCCTGTTTGGGAAGGGCAGAAAACTGGAGTTGAAGTGGAGGCTGAAACAAGTTTCCGGAAGAGGAGCACTCCACAATGTAGCATTGTACTGATGGGTCCGGCATGATTCACCACTACTGGAAGGAACAACAACACAATCACAGTGGAGAAGATAGTTGTGATATTCCTGCCCCCTGACCACATTTACACACTTCCTCCATTGGCAGTCTAAGGGCTCATCCATACTTCCGCTTGTTCTGTGCTTCCTCAGCACAGATCCATGTGGTTTTTCTTTAGCCCTGTTGCTTTCTCCAGGGAAACCGGTTGTTCCCCATGGAATCGTAACAAACGTCCATTGGCACAGGAGCAGCAGAAGAAGATGCTGAACAAAGGGAAGTGTGGTTAAGTCCAAAAACTATGCACAGAGTAACATTCAAGGTTGTTGCAGCCAGCGTGGTATAGTGGTTAAGAGCAGTGGACTCATAATCTGGTGAACCAGGTTCGCGTCCCCACTCCTCCACATGCAGCTGCTGGGTGACCTTGGGCTAGTCACACTTCTCTGAAGTCTCTCAACCTCACTTACCTCACAGAGTGTTTGTTATGGGGGAGGAAGGGAAAGGAGATTCTTAGCCACTTTGAGACTCCTTAGGGTAGTGATAAAGTAGGATATCTAATCCAAACTCTTCTTGTTCTTCATTTCAGTTTGGATTTTTACAGTGTTGTGCACACCAGAGGAAGGGGATGATGATGTCTTCACCCAATTGCACATTAACTGATTTGTTTCCCGGTGCCTGCAACCCCACCTGACTCCAGTTCATCTGGACATGGGCTGTCTTCTGCACATGTGTAATGGCTGTCTAGAGTGTCGGACTGGGACCTGAGAGACCAGGGTTCAAAGCCTCACCCAGCCATGAAAGCCCGACACTGTCTCCAGAGGTGGAGCTAGCTGCTCTGGCACCCGGAGCGGCCTGCCGGGGTGGGGCTAGCCACCCGTGGGGGTGCTATGGCGCTCTAGGGGGTCACCACCCATGGTGATGTCACCCCCCCTCAGGGATGAAACCCAGGGCGGACCACACCCACCTTGCTCCGCCTCTGACTGTCTCTCAGCCTAACCTACCTCATAAGGTTGCTGTGGGGATTAAATGAGGAGGCTACCTTGAGCTCCTTGGAGAAAAGGTAGGACATAAATGCAGTAAATAAGGGCAAACCCCACACAGCTTACATTTGCAAATCAGGTGGAAGCTGTTTTGTGGGAAACTGCATCAAGGAAGCTAGAAGCTACAGGATGCATATGCATAGTAGCTAACAGCATGTGCACTCACTTCAAAGAGGCTGCTGGATGAGGTCAATAGCCCCTCTAGCCCTGCATTGTGCTCTCAGAGTGGCCAACCAGAAGCCTCTTCCAGGAATCCCACAAACAGGACCTAAGCACAACAGCAACTCTCCCTTCCTGCAGCCTCCAGTAGCCTGTATTACATAACTGGTATTCATAGACATCTACTCTTGCACTCCTTTCATGTTGAAGCATTGCTTTTCTACCTTTCTACTTTCAAAAGCCTCTTCTGTGCCTTTAAGATTACCCTCTCTTATTCCAAGCAGAGCCTCGGCTCCTTCAAGACCATCCAAATCTATTTTTAGCCAATACCACCAGGATCCCTTCCTGAACGCCAGCGGCCCTTTCAATTACTACAGCTAGGATCCGGTCCAAAACTCTCTTCAGGTGCCTTCAGATTAAGTCAATCTGCCTCCTTTCCCCATAAGGTAAGATTTATATGCTTTTTCTAGTTCTGCTGCAGTGCTTTGCCACCTTTGGGATCGAGCAAGCTGCCTTTCCCTCAGCTGCATTCAGGGGGGAGAACTGTAGTCTATCCCTATTACTCTCCCCCCATCCTACTGGTGTGCTTCTGGGGGGATATGTTAGCAGTTCATTGATGCAGGTGAACTGGGTGAGTTGACCTCACCTTTTCTAAAACCCACTCTGGGATGCTTTGAAACGAGGTATAGTTTTACAAATGAAATTGGGCACCTGCATCTTTGCAATCCGACTTGTAGCCTCTGTTTATTTGGGTAGCATTTCCCCCAATGAAAATGACCACTTTCATTATTGAGATATGTGTTTACTTTTGGTTCCTTGGGAAGGATTTGGACAGGAGTCGTGTTGCTGCTTTTTAAAACAAAATAAGACTGAAATATTGGACGCTGGGAGGACTTGCACATGTATTATGCTGGGAGTGTGCCCCACATAAATAGTTGTTTACATGGAGAGAAGGAGCCTCGTGGATAATTATCATGGGATAATTTGGAAATGGAGGGTGGGGGAGTTGTTATTTAACCTTGATTTTTTGCCCCTTTAAAAACATTCCATTTGATCTGATTGTTTACTTGAATCAGATGCATCTTCTCCCAGTTGTGGAAACTTTTTCAAGCATGAAGTATTTAAAGCACTTGATCTGGAAAACCACATTCACATCCACACCATACAAGTAAAGCACTACCATACTACTGCAATAATCATGGTTTCTTTCCAAGAATCCTGGGAAGTGTAGTTTGTTAAGGGTGCTAAGGGCTGCTCAGAAACCCCTATTCCCCTCCCAGAACTACAACTCCCAGAGTTCCTTTGTGAACCCACTCTGGGAACTGTAGCTTTGTGAGGGGAATATGGGTCTCCAAACAATTCTCAGTACCCTTAACATACTACAGTTCCCATGATACTTTGGGGAACCTGTGGCTGTTAAAGTGGTATAGCAGTGATTTAAATGTATGGTGTGAATGTGGTTGTATATATACGCTCTGCACAAGCAGATACCCAAAGGGATATTTAGCATTTAAAGAGCTATTTAAGGTTCACTCAATGACATATGCCCAGTCTAACTTGGTTTCCCTCCCCACCCCTTTATTATGCTAAACTTCCCCATACCATATCACAGGTGGCTTATGAAGATTCCCTTTAATGTAGGTGCTACTGTTCAGTGTTCACTGTTCAGACGCGGGTGGCGCTGTGGGTAAAACCTCAGTGCCTAGGACTTGCCGATCGCATGGTCGGTGGTTCGAATCCCCGCGGCGGGGTGAGCTCCCGTCTTTCGGTCCCAGCTCCTGCCCACCTAGCAGTTCCAAAGCACCCCTAAGTGCAAGTAGGTAAATAGGTACTGCTTTATAGCGGGAAGGTAAACGGCGTTACCATGTGCTGTGCTGGTGCTGGCTCACCAGAGCAGCTTCGTCACGCTGGGCACGTGACCCAGAAGTGTCTCTGGACAGTGCTGGCCCCCGGCCACTTAAGTGAGATGGGCGCACAACCCTAGAGTCGGACACGACTGGCCCGTACGGGCAGGGGTACCTTTACCTTTACCTTTTACTGTTCAGTGAAGGACGCGGGTGGCGCTGTGGGTTAAACCACAGAGCCTAGGGCTTGCCGATCAGAAGGTCGGCAGTTCAAATCCCCACAACAGGGTGAGCACCTGTTGCTCGGTCCCTGCTCCTGCCAACCTAGCAGTTCAAAAGCACATTAAAGTGCAAGTAGATAAATAGGTACCGCTCCAGTGGGAAGGTAAACGGTGTTTCCGTGCGCTGCTCTGGTTCTCCAGAAGCGGCTTAGTCATGCTAGCCACATGACCCGGAACTGTACGCCGGCTCCCTCGGCCAATAAAGCGAGATGAGCACCGCAACCCCAGAGTCGTCCACGACTGGACCTAATGGTCAGGGGTCCCTTTACCTTTACTGTTCAGTGAGTTGTCTGAATCTGTCTGGGGTGCACAGGATCAGTAGGGCAAACCTCAAGGGGTCAACCTGCTTGGGAACCATTCCCAGAAGAGAGCTAACTCCATTGCTGGGTATTTGGATTGATGGGGTGGAAGGCAGGGAGCCAAAGCCAGAACCAATGAGAGGTAGGGCCAAGTACTTCTAGTTGTGATCCCATCCCCCTCCCACTCCCTGCTGAGTTCCAGCAGGGCAATGCTGAGACTAAGAAGAAGCTGACAGCCATGACCACCTCCTGAGTTGGTCGTAAGAGGGTTGGGAGATAGGTATTAGCTGGTGGCAGATTGGCATTGGTAGGGCAGTGTCCCCACTCACCCTAACAGACCAGCTTCCATAGGTCAACTGCACCCTGGAGATGCTTGGCTGAACTGCTTCCCCCACAGGTCTTTATAAGTGGAGGTCAGGGAAGTCAGCACCATGGACAACTCCCGGTGAGCCTTGCTGATTGGAGACCTCCCTCCTATTGTAGCTATATAGGGATGGTATCTGAAGGCAGATCCACACCATACATGTTTAGGCAAGTCTACCCATATCTTTAGAAAGTTGAGGTCATCTTAATCCATTTTAGTATTTTAACCATTGCATGAATTAAAGCAGGGTTGTAATTTCCCCCCTTGATTTTACTGTTTTATCTTTTGTCAACCTATCTGAGGTTTGTGAATTTTATGAAATAAATAAACAACACATCTACAGCACATTAAATACTTGTTCAAACCACATGACTTTCCCCCAAAGAATAATGGGAACTGTAGTTTCCCTCTCGCTGAAATACTGTTCCTAGCAAACTACAGTCCTCAGGATTCTTTGGGAGCAGCCATGTGCTTTAAATGTTCGCTGAATGTGTATTAAATGTCTAGTGTAGTTGGATCTGACCTTGGCTGAAAGCTAAATCTGAAGCCTTCTCAGGAGTGAAAAAAGCAAAGTGTGGATGAGAGCCACATACTGTGGCCTTTCTCTAGGAAACTACCCCCCCAGCACAAAATGGGAAAATGTAAATAGCGTTGGAGGCATAACTTTTCATTAGTACCACAGAATAGAAATAAAAGGTTGAACTCCCCCTCCCACCTGCTGTGACCTCAATAACTATCGGACCCCCAGGGAGAGATATTTGCATTTCAAACTAATGTGTATGTTAAATACAAAGATGCATCTAAAGTCACATCTAACTTGATCAAGTAAGTTAATGTTTCTTGGTCTGTTTGTTAACGAACTCCCTTTCTTGATTAAGCCCTGAAGCCAGTTTTGTCTTGTCTTCCTGCTTTCTCAACCACATATAGGAAACATTTGACCCTCCAGGTGCTTCTGAACTGCAGCTCCTACCATCGCTAGCCACTGACCATTCTTGCTGAGGCTGGTGGGAGTTGTAGATCAGGAACGTCTGTAGGGTTACACCTGCTCTATCCCAAAGATCCTACGCTTCCACTCATAGCTCCTGTTCATTGAGTTCTCATTTTCTGAACCATTTCTACCAGATGTATAGCTATTTGTCCTGCAGTGGGAAGTGGTTCCCTAGTACCAGACTAATACCCCAATTCTCTCTTGTACCAGATAGAAACGCTTACAGGACACTGGAATCAGTTTCAGATGTGTATCATCAGATACACAGCTTCTTGAGCAAACATGGTAACAGTTCCCACCAGTTATATTATAACTGAAGTGTCTGAATGTCTTCAAGGGCAACCCATATATAATGCATTGCAACCATCTAGCTGGATGAATACCAGGGTTTGGATAACTGGAGTTTCGGCTGTCTGACCAGAAAGGGGACAAAGCTAGAGTAGATATATATGTTACACTTTCAGGTGCCATAGGACTGTTGGCTAAATATCCAACGAATACTTCTAGGTTAGCTTCATCTATTAGTATATGCAAATTAAAGCAGAGTTTAAAAGTCAAAGAGTGTCTTTATCAGCTGTTCCAATTAGTGTTGTTATGAGCAGTTCCTAAATTCAGGGATTTACCAGGAAATGTCCAAGTTGCTCAATCAGCAATTTCATCACCCTTAATAGGATAATCGCTTTCCTTGAGTGATAGGATAATCTCTCTCTAGCAGATTGTACCTCCAGACAAAGATAAACTGTGATTAAACAGTCAAAAGACCTTGTCTATTTGATGCAAACTTGTAGCATCCTGTAAACCTTTCAAGAGAAGGAAAATAGAAACTTTTGACCTTATGTTAGACTCAGCCCAGCCAAGTCAGGAGGTCATAGATCTTTGATATCGAAGGTAAGCTGCATTCACATGGCGGTTTATTCCATTTTCCTGATGTTTCCCTAACTGTTAGTATCTGCATTATATTCGAGTTTTCGCACAACATAAATACCATTTCTGGAAATATAGCAGAGTATAGCTCAAAGTTAGCTCTTATTTCAGTGTTATTTGCAAATTAGCTTTCTTCTGGAAGCAAACTCAGAAATGACGATTCAGTTTTTTCAGTGTTTCACTGTATTTCTAGAAGTGGCCATTATGTATTATTATTATTATTATTATTATTATTATTATTATTATTATTATTATACCCCAGCCACTCTAGGTGTCTTCCAACACATATAAAAACATAATGAAATTTCAAGCATTAAAAACTTCCTGATATAGGGCTGCCTTCAGGTGTCTTCTACAAGTTGTGTAGCATAAAAGCTGTGCCTTCAGGAAATAGCGTTATGGCTATGCAGCCTACCCCTCCCTCTTCCCAGGCCACACTATGAAGGTGAATAGGAAGGCCTTGCTGCATCACCATCCCCTGGACTCCCATAGCACCAAGCAGATGAGGCAGTTTTGCCTCAAAGGTGGCCCCAATCCAGCTCCAGAACCCCAGTAGCAAGCTTTGGGACCAACCCATCACCTTGAAAGATGCTCAAGGGGAATCAATGGGCTGAAATAAAACTGTTCCCCTTCCTGCACCTAATTGCCCACTGGGACCAAATTAAGTAACATGGCAAACCATCTAGTGCAGGCATGGCCAAACTTGCCCTCCAGATGTTTTGGGACTACAATTCCCATCATCCCTGACCACTGGTCCTGCTAGCTAGGGTGATGGGAGTTGTAGTCCCAAAACATATGGAGGGCCAAGTTTGGCCATGCCTGATCTAGTGCCACCAAGCAGCTATTTAGCATGGAGTAGGAGACATGGGACATGGGTGGCGCTGTGGGTTAAACCAGAAGTTTGGCGGTTTGAATCCCCACGATGGGATGAGCTCCCGTTGCTCGGTCCCAGCTCCTGCCAACCTAGCAGTTCAAAAGCACATTAAAGTGCAAGTAGATAAATAGGTACCGCTCCGGCGGGAAGGTAAATGGCGTTTCCGTGCACTGCTCTGGTTCGCCAGAAGTGGCTTAGTCATGCTGGCCGCATGACCCAGAAGCTGTACGCTGGCTCCCTCAGCCAATAAAGCGAGATGAGCGCCGCAACCCCAGAGTCAGTCATGACTGGATCAAATGGTCAGGGGTCCCTTTACCTTTACCTAGGAGACAAAATCAACCCACAAGCCAAAACATGTGTTATCCAAACATTCCTACTCAGGCCGTAAGTGAGCAAATAAATCACACTGAGAGACAGGGAGTGTAGGTGCTGCTGCAAAGAGAAGTGAGTGGGAGGTGGTTGGCTAGCCCTTAAATAGGAGGCTGCCTCTTTTGCTCATTGAGCTACAAATGCACCCTGCCAGTCAGTAACAAGGTGGAATGAATGGCAGAACAGGGCTGTTGAAAATATTATGAGCAGGACAAAGTTACATTATGAACCAAGTAATTGCAACATTACTCTTCTGCTCTTTTTTGTTGCTAGGAATGGGATTTATGCATCGTACACACATTGCTTTTCTTCTCCTCTCCTCCCTAATGGGACAAACCTTGCAATGTATGAATCATGTGTACTGTGCTGTTCTTATTTACATTTATTCATCACTTACTACATAAAATGCCTCGAAGAGACTGACAATGGTAAAACAAGAACAAGGACATACAAATGCAAAGGTTGAAAACAACACTACTTGAATAAAATGGCATTATTTATGAAAAGTGCTTATCTGGCGATATCATAAGAAGGGACAACAGCCTAGGGTGTCATTTTGTCATGTAGGTGTTGTGTGTGTGTATATTTTATTAATTGATATTAATAATAATAATAATACCATATGATCCCAATTAAAAACTAAATGTTGCCTCTTCACCCAGGTCTTAAAGGTTGATAATGATGGTACCAGGTGTAATAAGTTTTGGTTCTCATTTCTCAGAAGAAGCCACTTCACTGTAGTTCAAATGAAAATTGTCTCCCGAGTGGCCGTTCCCTACCTGGAGGCCCACTGCTGGAATTCTTTCTAGGATGGCTATGCGTAAAACACTCCCAGACCCTTACAGACCCTACCTTCCCCTCAGGTAGACAGAACCTTGTCTGCCCATAAAAAATCCCAATCTCTGAGACAATTTACAATCTGATCCCACTGACAGATAAACCCTATCTGAGTCCACTCAGATAGTAAGAGGCTATTTCTGCCTACTCAAGACAGAAAGTCCCTAACTGTATTCCCTGGTCCCAGTCTAACTCAAAGAAAATCCAGGCTTCCTCTCTCCCAAATGGTCTCTATCTGGCCATTAACTGTCAGCATCTAAGTTCCACTTTCTCTCTCCTGAATGGATGATCAACACATCACCTTCCTCTGGTTTCTGGGTCACCAGGAGGCAGACCAGGAGGCATCACAGAGACCTCTTTCAGAAAGAAGAATGGGAACTCATATGAATTCCCCAAAGTTCTCGATTAGAGGGTAACAGCTGCACAAACAGTTAATCTTTCCTCTGTAGCCTGTGACTTGAATTGGTGTAATTTCACATTTGTTAATGGAAAACTCTGCTGGGAGACATTAGCTACAGTTCCATCGGAATGATGGGATTTTCTTTGATGTAATGTACATTTGGGATTAACGGAAGGCGATTTTTAAAAGGGGTTTAAGTTTTAAGTAGAAACAGACAAGCATGTTCCTTAAGAAAATCCCAATCAAACATAATCTAAACTCACAGTTATGTGTGGTGTTGGGTTAATCTTGAAAAGAAGGGGTCAAATACTCTATTAAATATTGGTCTGTAACACCATGCAGTTACAGTCCTTTGAAATTCTTCCAAAATAAAGACCCATCTTTTCTAATATACATTGTTTTTTCACAGCCTGCCAGTTTTGAGGTACTAAAATGCTAGAAATATGGTCTAGACCTGGCTTCCTCAACCTCGGCCCTCCCTCCAGATGTTTTTGGCCTACAACTCCCATGATCCCTAGCTAGCAGGACCAGTGGTCAGGGATGATGGGAACTGTAGTCTCAAAACATCGGGAGGGCTGAGGTTGAGGAAGTCTGGTCTAGACCAGTGGCAGCCTATGTGATGTCCTCAAGGGGTTGTTGGACTACAACTCCCATCAACCCCATCTGACACGGCTAATGATCCAGGAAAAATGGATGTCGTAGTCCATCAACATCTGGAGAGCACCTTGTTGGTTACCCCTTCTCTAGATTATTCCTCTTGATAAATCTAAAGGTGTCCTGCCATTTCCTCTTAAGAAGTCATTGATAAAATTGCCTTTGTATGAAAGACATCTCATCAGGTGCAGCCCATAGTTAACTATGAGAGGCATTCTGTGCATTGCAGTGTTTTACTGCTTTGATCTTTTGAACTGCTCATACCTGATTTATTGGTAAATGGATAGTTACAATCTAATTTTCATACAAATGTTTATTGTATTTGTACAACCCTTTAATCATGCTGTCAATGAAACAGCGTGTCCTCAGGTAACAGCTTCTCATTAATGCACACATTAAATAGATTTATTTCTATCATCCCTGTAACAATGCATCAGTGCTCTCAACCTTATGCTGCAGATGGAGGGACATAGCTTAGTGGTAGGGCTTATAGAATCATAGAATTTTAGATTTGGAAGGGAAAATGGGAGTCATCTAGACCAACGCCTGCAATGCAGGAATGTTTTTTGCCCAAAGTGGGGCTCAAACCCATGATGCTGACATTAAGAATGCCATGCTCTACCAACTGAGCTAACCCAGATATCATGCTTTGTAAGCAGAAGGTCTCAGGTCCACTTCCTGGTATTTCAAGAGAAAATTTCATTATTTTTTTTAAAAAAATAATATTTATTACTTTTCCAAAAATTTAAACACTAAAAAGACAATACAATGCAATGCATTACAATGCAATACATTAAAACAAAAACAATAAAATAAATCAAACAATTTCATTATCCCATCTTTCATTCACTTATTTCCACGACCTCCTCACACCTCCCTTTTTGTATTCCACTTCTGTTAATTATTTCAGCAATTCCTTTCCATCTTCCTGTTTTCTATCCTATAATTATCTTAACTCATTCTAACCTTATTTTTTCCTTTAATACTCTATTAATCTATTTATACTTAATTCCTTATAATGTTTCTACTAATGCCATGTAACTTCATTCCAACATTTTTCTAACATTCATTAATTTTACAGTATTTCTGTAAATAATCGTTAATTTTTTTCCAGTCTTCTTCCACCGACTCTTCTCCCTGGTCTCGGATTCTGCCAGTCATTTCCGCCAGTTCCATATAGTCCATCAACTTCATCTGCCATTCTTCCCGGGTGGGTAAATCTTGTGTCTTCCAATATTTTGCGATGAGTATCCTTGCTGCTGTTGTTGCATACATAAAGAAAGTTCTATCCTTCTTTGACACCAATTGGCCGACCATGCCCAGGAGAAAGGCCTCTGGTTTCTTCACGAAGGTACCTGTATTTTTCGCTCTATAACACGCACCTGACCATAACACGCACGTAGTTTTTAGAGGAGGAAAATCCGTAGGCATGCCACCCGTAGGCATTCCCTCCATAACACGCACAGACATTTCCCCTTACTTTCTAGGAGGAAAAAAGTGAGTGTTATGGTGCAAAAAATACGGTATATTTGAATACCTTTTTTATTTCATTATAAATCATCTCCCAGAATGTCTTAATCCTTGGGCATGTCCACCAAAGGTGGAAGAATGTGCCTTCAGTCTCATTACATTTCCAACATTTATTGTCGGGCAAATGGTAAATTTTTGCAAGCTTGACTGGTGTCATGTACCACCTATAAATCATTTTCATTAAGTTTTCTCTTAGGGCATTACATGCCGTAAATTTCATACCTGTGGTCCACAACTGTTCCCAGTCAGCCATCATTATGTTATGTCAAACATCTTGTGCCCATTTAATCATAGCTGATTTCACCGTTTCATCCTGAGTGTTCCATTTCAACAGCAGGTTATACATTTTTGACAAATTCTTAATTTTGAAATCTAACAATTCTGTTTCCAATTTTGATTTTTCCACCTGGAAACCAACTTTTTGTCCAAATTGTATGCCTCCATTATTTGATAATAATGGAGCCAATCTCGCACTTTATTTTTCTATTTTTCAAAGCTCTGCAATTTTATTCTGTCTCCATCTTGATCCAGATCAAGAGACAAATTCAATATCTGCACATTTCTAGCCATGAACTGGGCTTTTTATCTGTACTTCCCAAACCAGTGTTCCACCTTTGTTCTTCCACAATGTTCCAATAAAGTTCTCAGCTGAAGAACTGCAACAAGATGCATTTAAAAATGTGTGTTTTGAGAGGCAATGACCACATTCATACCATGTAATTAAAACACTACTGGACTACTTTAACACTCATGGCTTTTCTAAAATAAGCCTGGTGTTATAAGAAAAAGCTGCTCCTTTTTCCCTTATGGGTTAACCAAGAGCCCATGTAGAGTCCTTAAGTAGGTTCTCCATGGGTAGGAGAAAATAACAGAGGCCAACCAGAGAATATTGAGAAGCAAAGCAGCTAGTAAGCATGGACTTTATTAAACTGTTGCAACAGGGTCCTCCACTCAGCCCACGCAGAGAGGGAGGAGAGTAACCTAGAACAATGGTGTGCAAGCTCTAATATAGACATTTGAAAATTACCTCCCCTGTAGCTCTCCAAAACATCATACATACATCACTGAAAGGACTGTCTACAGCAGAAAACCTGTCTGCCAGGATACCTGATAATGGTCACTGGTTGCTTTTACCTGGGCATCCTGGCCATTCTTTTGTGATAGTAAATACTCAGTTCCTGAATCCAGGTCACAGGCTCACCCTATTCATACACAGATATGCCCTTAAAACAGGATTTGTGAGCAAAGAGACAATGGGAAGGCTTTCCCATTTCCTTCCTCCTTGCAGAGAAATATTTGAGATCAATTTGGGAGAGTCAAAATGGTTTGAGGATTGCTCTCCTCTACCATTTCAGACATGTAGTTTGAACACATACTTATGTATGTGTTTGCCTTGTAAATTTATGAACATATGATTTTTATATATGACACCTTAGAATTCCTATAACGCTGGGAGCTGTAGTTAGCTAAGGATGCTGAGAGTTTTTAGGAGACCCCTGTTCCACTCACAGGGCTACAATTCTTAGAGTAGTTCAACAATCAATCCCTCTTTCCGGGGACCTCTGGAAATTGTAGCTCTGTGAGAGGAATGGGGCTTCCTAACAAGTCTCAGCTCTCTTCACTGGCTTTCCCCCCACCCTGAAAACCATCATGCCAAGTTTGGTAGTATCTCAAGAGGAGGCCAAATATATGTTTTTAAAAATGGCAATATCATGCTATTTTCTCGGGTGCTTTTCTGGGCATTGTACATAATGCTGTGATGAGCCTAAATTGATTCCTTCCTGCTTCTGCAACATTTCTCTGTAGTTTAATGGACTTACTGAGTGGGCCATAAAATATAATGTGAAAAATCTAAATGAAATATATAGCATCAGGGAGGGAATGGCAAATATAGTTATAATGATATTAAAACCTTGAGCACATTGAGGTTTATTTCTGTGATTTAATATTCTCCATTTAAAAGGAAGGCTTTTGTTGCATTAGTGTTTCAGATAATGTTGTCGGCCTCCGAAAATCCCAATGAAGTTAGGTTTATGAATCGGTGGCCGTCGGGCAGCCAAAGTTTTCATTTGTTTTCTGTTATACTGGCCAGTATATTCCCACCTGGTGACATAACCATGCTATCAGCACTCAGTAACATATCACGGAGGTTAGAACATAAGAACAGAACTGAAGATTGTACATGTGAGGACCAAATTAACAGATCCAGTCATCCTTGCCAATGGATATCAGTGGCTACTAGCTGCAATGGTTATGCTCTGCCTCCAGAATCAAATACAGAAATGCTTCTGAAAACTATTTGTGGAAGTCAAGGGAAGGGAGAGAGCTCTTTTGCTCAGGTAGGTCCTGTTTGCAGATTTCCCACAGTGGTTGGCCACTGGGAGAACAGGACATTGGACAAGATGGGCCATTGGCCTGATCCAGCAGCTTCTTCTTATTTTCTTATTTCCATTCCTGCATATAGTCTAGAGGACAAACACATTTAAAGAGGGCCATCATTGATACCTGGCATGGCAGCGTCTGGAGTTCAGAAAGGTTCTAGCATGGTCTAAGCTTGAAATGGGCACTATGCATATATGAAAAGTTCAAAGAGCATCCACGTGTGACATCTTTGTCCCTTGGGAAAGAAAACATGAATGCTAGTTTTCTTTATTTCTTTATTTCATAGCTCAGTTGGTAAAGCATGAGACTCTTAATCACAGGATCATGGGTTTAAACCTTACCTTTGGCAAAAAAAAATAAAAAATCCTGCATTGCAAGAGATTGGACTAGATGACCCATGTGGTCCCTTCCAACTTCACAATTATATAATTCCATGATAATTCTATGATTTATTTCACATTATTATATTGCATACGACCATTTACTTCCAGGTTCTCTGGGGTTGCACAAAATTTCTTTCAATTTTTGTGCTGCATTTGTTGCTCTTCCTGTGCAGAGTAGACCCAATGAAAATAAGGAAGACGACTAACTTGGGTCCATTCATTTCAGTCCGTCTGAACTTAGTAAGCTAGAATCGCTTGTTCGTAGCGTTTTAGAAAACCTCAATAAAAAAAATGATTTAAAAGGAAAATACATGCCTAGTTAGGCTACCTGAAAGGTTTAGCAGCTGCTGAAAACATTGCCGTGAACACACCATATAAAAAGCATATTGGTACTACTGGCTATTTTATTTGCAATGCCTCTGTTCATGTTGACTTTTCTTCAACCGCTTGCACTGCAGACTGAGTTGATAAACCCAAGATCTCATTTCTGGTTAGCCACTGCCGGTTCAGATCCTATCAGTACATACACTCTCATGTATAAATCCACAAATGCCAACGGGGGCATTAAAAATTGATGCCCACTTGAGAGCGGCCAACTGCGTTGTAGATTCTTGAAAAGAAAGCAATCCAATCCAATGGGAATTGAAGGTTCAAGTCTCCAGGTTTATTCCGTCTCTGCCAGCACTGCAACTTGGTCCTCATTTTGCTGGGAGAAAAAGAAATACTTCTTCATGTTTCTAGAGCAGTATTTTTATATTAACGAGCAAAATGCAGCCGTGTGGATGTCATTATAAGCAACATTGCTGTATCTCAAACCACAGTAATCTAGAAAATAGTTCAAGACAGACGCATTGAGATGATGGAAAACTGATCCTGTAATAAATTGATGAGTGTGGATGTAGCTTAGGTGCCAGAATGGCTACTAATTGGTTTAAATGTATAAAAACTATTATAAAGTAATTGCACTTAAAAGGCAAAATAAAACAATTCCATCATTGCATTAAAACATCCGTAATTAAAAGGTACAATAAAGCAAACCAGTAAAAATCATAAAAATTAAAACAGTTTAAAACCCAAAGCAATTAGATCAGGAAATCCAAATTCAGGAGAATGCTTGCTTTAATATATTGTTTTCTGAAACACTCCCCTCCCCCAATATAGGCTCTCTTTTTTGTTGCAAAATTCAGATAACTGCACATTTTAAATGATGACAGTGTTTCAGTTCCCACTTCAGGGAGTGCAAATCTGAGAGATTCACCTTAAAATGCAAACTGAATTGAATGTCTCACCTACCCCTACTTGAACTTGACCCTGTCCCTTTGCTTCCTTTGGAATGAATATGAGATCTCATTCCAGTTGCTGGAAGCCTCAGGAAATGAGAGTGCTCCTGTACTCAGATCCTGCTCAGAGGCTTTCCACAGGTATCTTGTTGGCTACTGTGAGAACAGAGTGCTGGACTAGATGGGCGATTGGCCTGATTCATTAGGGCTCTTTTTATATCTTTATGTTCTGCCCTCCTTCAGCATGTTTTGAATACTGTTTTCTGCTCTCCTTCAGTTGAAAATCTGCTGATTAAACCAAGGCCTTGCAGTGGAGGGTTTATGGACTGAGATGAAATTGAGTTTTGACTTGGCATTCACAGCCTACACCATTTATAACTGAGAGGTTGGCAGAGCGGTTACATTGCAGGCTAAGAGATGGGATACAGTCTTTCAGGCTTGCCGTTGTAGATGATAGTTTCTCAGAACAATGAATCTGCCCGAGGTATTAGAATCCTGAACTTTATTCACTCCTGGACTGCTGCCATTTGAGAATTCATTTCTCATCTCCCAACCAGAAGCGATATCAAACATCTAAGATGTTTATAGGCCCAGTCATAAAAAGAGGGAGACTGACTACTTACATAGCACCAAAACAAGGAAATGCAACCGAAAGGACGCGGATTTGCATAAAATCCCCATGTGCTAATTTATAGGTATAAATGTAATCTTAGAAGAAAATAATATAATTTAAATGTAAACACAGGGGCCCCTCCCAGTTGGTTGTTTGTTTGTCTGATGAGCGTGTTCTCCAATGTACCTTCGATGCAGTAATAGTGTGTTAATGAAAGATTTTTAGTGCACTTACAGACCCTCCAAGTGTCCCTATTTTCCAGGGACAGTCCCGAATTTACAGAAGCCATCCTGGTTTCTGATTTGATCCTTGAATGTCCCTCTTTTCCTTAGGACGTCCCTATTTTCATTGGAGGGTGTGGAGTTATGAGACCCCCTGAGCCAAGGAGATAAGTAGCTATGCGACCTTTGGAAGACATTTGAAGGCAGCCCTGTATTGGGATGTTTGTTCCAATGTGTAATGCTTTATTATGTTTTGTATGCTAGAAGCTGCCTAGAGTGGCTGGGGCAACCCAGTCAGAATAATAATAATAATAATAATAATAATAATAATAATAATAATTGAAGAGGACGTGCCTATTTTCATCAGAGAAACATTGGAGGGTATGGACTTAAATATGTCTCTCCATTGTAAATTCATTGTGCAGTCAGGAAGTCTCTTGCTTCTATCAACCTTCTGCAAGACATTTTTGGATCCTTTGCACCTGAAAAACAGAGCTGACATTGCTAATGATTAATAAATAACTAAGAGGACAAAGAGACTTGGACAGAAGGGGAAAACAAGCACATTCAGACATTCTTAGACCATGCTTCATTAGAGTAGTATCCAATGCAAATCCATTCTACTCTGAGCCCATAAAATTCAGACAGTAAAATATATACAGTGGTACCTCGGTTTAAGAACAGTCCGGTTTAAAAATGATTCAGTTTACAAACTCCACAAAACCAGAAATAGTGTCTTGGTTTGAGAACTTTACCTTGGTCTAAGAACAGAATCCGAACGGTGGAAGGGCACCGGTGGTAGGATGCCTCATTAGGGAAAATGTGCCTCGGTTTAAGAATGGTTTCAGTTTAAGACCGGACTTCTGGAACAGATTAAGCTCGTAAACCGAGGTGTCACTGTATTGGAAAGTTGTGGTTTTTTTAGTTATCATTTTTTTTAAAAAAAGAAAGAACACAATATGATTCTGAGAAGGAAACAGTCCCAGCTGTCTGCATGGAAAACAGAATGACTTTGGATGAATTTCCGCTCATTTATTTGTTTATTTACAGCTGCAATGATTGTAAAATATCTGATTTGTGAAAGGGAGAGGAAAGGTATACAAGGGGGAAGATACAATAACTACTTTCCAAGTGCAGCGGTACCTCGTGTTACAAATGCCTCAGGTTACAAATGCTTCAGGTTACAAAATCCGCTAACCTGGAAGAGTTACCTCGAGTTGAGAACTTTGCCCCAGGATGAGAACGGAAATTGTGTGCCGGCAGCGCAGTGGCAGCAAGAGGCCCCATTAGCGAAAGCACACCTCTAGTTAAGAACAGTTTCAGGTTAAGAACGGAGCTCTGGAACGAATTAAGTTTGTAACTAGAGGTACCACTGTGCCTTCTTTCTTCAGTGTTACGGGCCTGCTTTGAAAAAGCAGATTGCTGTGCTATATATACACACACAAACACAAATGGAGGGGAAAGGAGGTGATCTTATTATAAACTTGGGCATGCATCTCACAGTTAACAAACTACTTTTTCCCATCTCCGCTCCAGAAATGCAGTATCTTCTTTGCTCGTCAGCATCTTTGCTTACTGTGCTTTACACTCCGTATTATTGATTTACAATTTGTTGCTCGCTGCCGCTGAGTAAACTACTACCGTTGCTTCTACTACTCGCGTTACTGACTCACCAGCGGCAGGATTGGATTTTGGAGGCTCGACGGGCTGAGGTGCCAGGAGATGGCTCTTCAGGGAGATGTTGTAGCAAATTGGGAGTTTAGCTCTTTAAATGGTATCAGTTACTTTAAAAAAAGGAGACAGGCAGCCTCCGGATTCTTTTAATTAAGCTTGTCCTATATTCTGTCTTTGCAAGTTGCTGCACTCATTCTGGCTCCTTCGGAACAGTTTAACCAACCACAGCCATCACACCATGGATTATGAAAGAGGCTTCCCCAACATCCTGACTAGGTAAGATATCTTTCTAAAATATGGGGAGGTGGGGGCTTTGCAGCTGACATATATCCATGTATGTGCAGATGTGGGGCAGGCAAGGAAGACTGACATTTCTCTCCCTGCGTATCTTATTCCTTTTCCTTGTATTATGCTTCTGCCTTTGCACTCAAGATAGAAAATGTGAAAACTTGGCTCTCCCCCCTTCCTCCTTCTCGTCCAGTGATTGAGAGAAGGAGAAGGTATGTCGCCTCTTGATTTGTAACCTGAGGGACGTAACTTTCTGCTGGGGAGAGCAACATTTGACTTCAGTTTCATGCTGTGGTTTCTGTGGTTACACTTGGCCTGAGACCTGTCACTCATGGTAGGAGGTGATGAAGCTGTGATGATGACCCATTCGGTGTTCTGAGAGAGCACACCTTGCGAGATGAGATCAAAGGGAGATGTGTGCCAGCACTAGAGATCTACAGCAGGGACCAGCCAGGTCAAAAGGGGAAATTCAACAGCCGGCTATCTCACCATTTACCTCACAGGCATCATGCGATTGGTGGTGTATCATCCCGGAATATGAAAGCCCAATTTTAAAAACATGCATATCCCATCATTCCTAACCTATCACCTATGCAGCTAATCCTTTTTTTTTTAAAAAAAGCCAAATAACTGACCATCACCATACTTTTGATAAATGAAATCCATTGCAATTTTCAGTCTTGTCCCCCCCCCTTTTCTTTGGAAGGGCATAAAACTATATAAATTTGCTATAATCAACCCCTGTGCCCCAATTCATCAATTAATTGGGTTCTTAATATGAAGAATTTTTTATAAATCTAACACAGCAGCAGTAAAAAATTTCTGCATTTTCTGTAGGGGTGTTTTGTACAGAATAGTCACTGCTGCAAAGTAGTAATGGATGTGTTTATAAATTGCCTCTTAGTCGTTGCACTATGTCAGAAGAGCATTTAACCACATCGGCCAATGGATTATTATTCTTTTCCTCCAAGAGCACTGTTCTCAGCAGAGACTTATCACTATGGAAGAATATTGTGGGCACTTCCAGATGACCTGTTCATTGAACATTCATCCTGATTTGTTTGCAGGAAGATTAGACAATGATGCTCACTATTTAATGAGCATTCTGTTTGATTTGTTTTCGGGAGGGTTAGATGCCATCGTGTCCAAGCAAGTGTTTCTTATCCTACAATTTCCAGTGCACATTTTCTGTTGCAGAAAGCAAGATATTTTGAGGAAGCGGGTTTGTTGCATTACACCTCCCAATCAACTGGAATTTCACAACCTGAATCTTCCAGTAGGTCGGTGATTCTCACTGGAAAATAGGGACAGTCTAGAAGTGCCCTGTATAACATGGTTTATGTGTTCCATTGACCAAAATATAGCCTGCCTTGGGAAACACATGACAAAGGGCAGACCATAAACAAATACAAATAAATAAATAAATAAATAAATAAATAAATAAATATTAATTCTTAGTTCCCTACAGCTGAACTGTTCTTAAATTATGCATTGATTGGCACTCCCTCATTTCCATCTCATAGTTTTCCATTAACATTCTTGTATCTTAATGAGCTTCTCGTTGTCTTTGCACTGGGGAATTTCTAGGTGAATGTAGAAGTTCTCCTTGATTCAGTGGTGGCTGGTGCCCCTTGGGACTGGTGGGGTAGAAGACAAGGAGCCCAAACAGTAGTGGGAGCAAAAGCCAATGGCAAGCAGGGCCAACTAATTCTATTTTCGCCTCTATCCTCATCCTCCTTTCTGAGTTCCACAAGGGCAACACGGAGACTGAGGAGGAGGAAGATGGCTGCCAGGACTGTTTGTAAGTAAGAATGCAGGCCTGTGAGGGATGGCTGAGGGCAGGCTGAGGTCGGTGGGGCAGTGCCCCATTTGCTCCAGTGGACTCATCCGCACAGCTCAGATGGAAAGTAGAGGCAGGGAAGGGGGCATTAAAAGTGGCAGTTCTTCTCAGATGTTGACAAACGATCTATCCACTTGATGATTTGTTGGTTGGGGTGTGGTGCTCCTAACTCCAAAGTTGCAGGTTGAATCCCATATGGGACAGCTACATATTCCTGCATTGCATGTGGTTGGACTAGATGATCCTAAGGGTCCTTTCCAACTCTACATTACTATGATTCTATGAAGAGTTAAAAAATCTGCAGCGCGCTCTCTTGTTCTCTCTCATACATACACTTGCTTTCAATTCCCTTAGCACGCAAACCAATAATGCATTACAGATTTATGTCACATTAGAACAGGGCTCAATTTTATTTCATTTTCAAGGTTCCGGAGCCGAAATCTAAGTGCAGCGATGCTCTGTTTATGGGTGCTACTGCCTGGTGCAATTCAGTGGTCAGGGAAATTTTACTGTGTATGCTTCATTAACCAAGCCACCATTAAAAGTATACAGAGCGAATGCATGTTGCGGCTGGGTCTTGTTACAAACACCAGTTTCTTAAAGTAAACTCTGGGGTCCTATGCAATTTAATTCTGGAATTAGGAGCTATACCTCATCAGATCTTTGGTCAATCTATCTCAGTTATTGCCTATGCAGAGTGGCTGTGGCACTCCAAGGTTTCAGTTGGTGGTCTTTCCCAGCCTTATCTGCAAATGGCAGGGATTGAGCCTGGTATGTGCATGTTTGTAGGGCAGTATAATCAGAGCTTCTCCCCTAGCACTTTCCCCGGGCCTGTGGACAATGTCTTCTGGATGATACAGCTGTATTTAACATGTGAGCTACCAAGCACCTCTTATGGTAGCCTACTATGTACTTGGCTGCCAGTGCTGACGGGTGAATCAACCACCAGTCCCGTCAGCTTACATGCCTGAAGTGGGAGGGCAATTTGTCCTTTGCCTCAGCAGGAAACTTTACAGTGGTACCTCGGGTTACATACACTTCAGGTTACACACTCCGCTAACTCAGAAATAGTGCTTCAGGTTAAGAACTTTGCTTCAGGATAAGAACAGAAATCGGGCTCCAGCGGTGCAGCAGCAGCAGGAGGCCCCATTAGCTCAAGTGGTGCTTCAGGTTAAGAACAGTTTCAGGTTAAGAACGGACCTCCGGAACGAATTAAGTACTTAACACAAGGTACCACTGTATTGGGATGGCACTAGTTATTAACTCTGCAATCTAATGTACTAGGGTTGCAATATTTCAAAAAGTGAAAATCCAGACACAAAATCTACACTTCTGATATGGGTTGCCGTATGTCCAGATTTCCCTGGATATTTCAGTGAGTTCCTCCTGGGCACAGGTCTGGGAAGTTGAGGACGTATGTACACTTACTTGGGAGCAAGTTTCATTTACTTCAATGAAATTTGGGCCCTATCTGTTTTATACATTGGATGCAGTATCATAACACTTTAAACAGTCATGGTTTCCCAAAATAGTATTCTGGGAACCATAGTTTGTTAAGGGTATTGAATGCTGTTTTGCTGTTGTTTAGTCATTTAATCATGTCCGACTCTTCGTGACCCCATGGACCAGAGCACGCCAGGAACTCCTGTCTTCCACGGCCTCCTGCAGTTTGGTCAAACTCAGGCTGATAGCTTCAAGAACACAGTCCAACCATATTTGTCTTCTGTTGTCCCCTTCTCCTTGTGCCCTCCATCTTTCCCAGCATCAGGGTCTTTTCCAGGGAGTCTTCTCTTCTCCTGAGGTGGCCAAAGTATTGGAGCCTAAGCTTCAGGATTTGTCCTTCCAGTGAGCACTCAGGGCTGATTCCTGTTAGGGAACCCCTATTCCCCTTACAGAGCTACAATTAGCAGAGTGGTTTAACAGCCAATCCTTCTTCTCAGGGAACTCTGAGAACTGTAGCTCTTTGAAAGGACTAGGAAGGGGGTCTCCTAACAACTTCCAGCACTCTTAACAAACTACAGTCACCTGGATTCATGGTTGTTTAAAGCCATTGGCTGCTGATTTAAATGTATAGTCAGATATGATGTCAAAAATCATGATTATTTAAACACGAGCAACTATGCATGTACGCTTGCATGGATACAAAATACAAAATTGTGGGGTCCAAATATAATTCTCCAAGCTGTAGCAAATATATAACAAAGAAGTTCACCAAACAATGCAGAAAATATTTGATGAGAATTCCAAGATCATATCTCATTTCCTGCTTCTTCAGAATCAAATTGGAGAATAGCTTATGAATTGCAGCCATTAATCCTTTCAGTGGGAGAAATCCAATGTGGTGCTACATAAATATTCCATCTATGCAGGAATTTCTGGTTGCAGGGATGGCCTGCCCTTGAGGCAAGGTGAAGCAAACACCTCAGGCAAGATCCATGGGGTAACAGATCAGGCCTCTGAGGAATGCATCACATGTAGATCTTTATTCCCACCCGCCCCTTTGCTCCCAATGTAGATTTTCACTCTCCCCTTTCTTCCTGATGTAGAAATTCACTTCATCTTCACTGGCAAGGGAGGGGGCACCATTATGTGGTTTGCCTCAGATGACAAAATGTCTAGGACTGGAATGTTCTACCCCTGCACTCCCCCAAATCTATTCTAAGGTTTTCCCCTAACTCCCCAGAGCATATTTGAGGAAGGTGCAGACTATTCAGGGGCGAGAGAAGGGGTGAAAGTCCCATTTTACAAGTGTAAATGGTTGCACTGATGGGACAGGTTAGTCCATGGGTAGGCAAACTAAGGCCCGGGGGCCGGGGCCGGCCCAATCGCCTTCTAAATACAGCCTGCTGATGGTCCGTGAATCAGTGTGTTTTTACATGAGTAGAAAGTGTCCTTTTATTTAAAATGCATCTCTGGGTTATTTGTGGAGCCTGCCTGGTGTTTTTACATGAGTAGAATGTGTGCTTTTATTTGAAATACATCTCTGGGTTATTTGTGGGGCATAGGAATTCATTCATTTTTTCCCTTCAAAATATAGTCCCACAAGGTCTGAAGGACAGTGGACCAGCTCCCTGCTGAAAAAGTTTGCTGACCCCTGTTAAAGTTGAATAGCGCCCAAGGTCTCACAATTTCCTTCCTTCCTTCCTTCCTTCCTTCCTTCCTTCCTTCCTTCCTTCCTTCCTTCCTGGCATATATAAAATATTGTAATCCACAATAAATAAGAAACCTTATACCCATATATCATTTATTTTTTTATGGCATGTCATTGTCACTTGGGTTCCTGTGGCTTTCTCTTTCATTATGTCCCCCCCCCCTCATTTTTTGGCTAATAATTCCACTCACACTCACATTGCCCTCTTTTGCAAGAGGTTGCAGCCGAGTTCCTTTCAAGTATGAATTCTGCACAGAACGAGGCAGTGCAGCAGAACAGGCCGCTTGTGGTGGTGACACACACCCTCTGTGGAAGGGGACAAAGGAGCTATTTTGTCACCTCTCCTTTCATGCCACTGATGTCTGCTTGTTCATGCAGAGATCATGGCCAGGTGCACTGTAGGCCGAATGCCTTTCAAGGTAAGAGTCTTAGCTCCTGCTCAGGCCCGAGAAGCAGGTCAGGTAACAATCTATGTTTTGCCTCAGGCATTTCACTCCAGAAGAAAGAGGTGGTGGAAGAGCTGTCAGTTGCTTCATCTTAGCAGAGCTACAAGGCCTGCTCTCCCTGTATGACGGACGGAACCGAGGGATGAATTATGGGAGGGCTGGAAGGAGGTCAGATAGAAGGAACGCCAAACGAATAGTTGCAGGAAGGTGCATTGTTTTAGGGATGGGGAGACATACTCGAACCAGCTTCCATTTAAAGAAAACCTCACCCAATTCACACTTTCTGAAACATCAAACAAACCAAAAGACAGCGATCCGCCAGAAAATTCGCTCCCCTCCGAATTTTGCAGCGCAGTTCTCCAGTCCAATAATGGGTAGAAAAAATGCATGCTGTAAAACTGTACTTATAAAGGCAGATATTAGTGAAAATAACACGCAAAAATGAATTAAATTACGGAAAAAGCCACTTACAAAAATGTGTACATTTGTCAAAACTGCAAAAAAAAAAAAAAGGTTATTTGGAGAAAATAATGCCAAAACGCTGATGCATTTTCATAAGGGTTTTGCGAGCTAGTGTGAAAATGTAGAGAACTGAACTTCAAGCTCAGGAAAATGGTTACCGTAACTAAGAGAAGCAAAATTGACAGTTTTGTCTGTCTCCAGCAAGCGTGCAGAACCTTTGGCCCTCCAGATGTTGTTTCAGGCAGGAGTCTCTCTTAGCCTTACCTGGGGATGAAATGGATTGAATCTTGGAAACCCCCCCCCCCCCGCATAAAAGGTAGGTGCACTGAACCACAGCCCTTCCCCAATTATTCAGCTTACCAGCTTACCAGGAAGGGAGTCTGGACTAAACAATTTGCTCTCCTCCTCTCTCTGCACACATGGACATTTACCCACACCTGCCCTGCTAAGGCTTTATGGGGAACAGCATTTTGGAGGAAATGGGAGGTTGGCAGAGAGGAGTTTATTTTCTAAGCCTGCTAAATATACGCTAGAACGATGGTGATGGTTTTTGTGTGTGTGATGGTTTCTTTTTTTAAATAAATAAATAAATAGCAAATTGATATGGGAAATGTGGAGAACATGGAATCATAGAAGCATATATTTGTAGAGTTGGAATGGGATCCCAAGGGTTATCTGGTTCAATCCCCAGCAATGCAGATAGGAAAGAATGAGAAACTGGGAGAAACTGAAACTGAAAGGTTTCTCCATCCTTATTCCAGGCCATGTGAGACTTTAAGGAAAGGGGGAAGATAATGTTTGGGAGGTGGGGTAAGGGGGTGGTAAAAAAGGACCCCTGGATGGTTAGGTCCAGTCAAAAGCGACTATGGGGTTGCAGCGCTCATCTCGCTTTTCAGACCAAGGGAGCCAGTGATAGCTTTCTGGGTCATGTGGCCAGCATGACTAAACTGCTTCTGGTGCAACAGGACACCATGACAGAAACCAGAGTGCACGGAAATGCCATTTACCTTCCCACCGCAGCGGTACCTATTTATCTACTTGAACTGGCGTGCTTTCAAACTGCTAGGTTGGCAGGAGCTGGGACAGAGCAATGGGAGCTCACTCCATTGCAGGGATTCAAACAGCTGACCTTCTGATCAGCAAGCCCAAGAGACTCAGTGGTTTAGACCACAGTGCCACCCGCGTAAGGGGATGAGGGGCCATGGGGAAGGGTGATTTTAGGGTTCAAACACTATGGGGCTTGGGAATTCCAGGAATTTAAAAGTGGGCCCCACACTTGAGCTAGGCTTTGTGCAGTTCCCAGACGACTTTTTCTGAATGTTGTCAGGGTCTTTAATTTCAACATCACAAAACACAACTCCATTTCTTCTGTTAAATCTGAGGCTGAAGTAGCTTGGCAGATGAATAGATCTATTTAGATTACAGGGGCCTGACTTTTATTTACCATGGATTCTGAGAATGCTGAGGATTATAGTCATTTTCAAAATCAGCCATGGCTATAAATTAGGTCTTTTGTTCTCTTTAATTAAACTCTGCATTCTGTGCTCATATAATCTGAGTGACAAAAAGGAATCGGCTGGAAGGTGGGTGGGTATTGAGACATCCTCACCTGATAGAAAAATTAAAATCGACCTGGGCAAATAAATTAAAATGGAGCTTGGGAACATGGCTTAAAATAATAATAATTTGTGTGCTGTTTGAGTCATGTATTAGAAGTTCTAACCAGTTTCTAAAATTATTTCTTCTTTTGAAGTGCTTAAATCAGGAAGCTAGTATTTCTAGGGTTTTTATGGAGGATGACCCCAGGGTCTCATGTTTATTATCGGCTCTTACATCTTAATTGATATGGGGCTTTGGAACATTTTCAAAATGTTCCAAGCTATAATTCATTGAGGGTGTCATGTAAAGCTTGGGGGGGGGGGAAGAGTACGGAACAGATGGCACACAGACCATGCTCCTGACTGGGGAAATCGCAGGGACCGAGGTATCTTGCTGCTGTTGTTTACTGCGAGAGTCAAACGTTTCCTAAATTAGAACAGAATAGATATGCCTTTGTAAACATTGTGTGCATGGCTGCAATTGAAATTCTGTCTAAACCTGAAATATGGCCAAGATAGATGAGATGAGGACTCAAAATGCCCGACTTCCCAGATTTCACCCTCCCCCCCAGCAAATGTTTTTGGCTTCCCACAGTGACATCTGGTTGGCAACTTTGAGACCAGGATGTTGGACCAAATGGGCCACTGGCCTGATCCTGCAGGTTAGTCATATGGTCTTATGCAAATGACACTTGCAGGTGTGCATTTTCTTTAACAGGGCAAATAGCAGACTCAGTTGTGTGTGGGGGGTGTGAAAACCCAGCGGCGAAGCTGCATGCTCTGGCACCGGGGGTGGAGAGCGGATGGGGGCGTGGCTGGCACATGTCTCAGGGGTGTGGCACGCCACCCATGGGGGTGTGGCATGCGTCCTGGGGTGTGGCGTGCCGCTCGTGGGGGCATGGCACCCGGCGCGGTGGGGGGGTACGCGGCATGTTTCCGGGGTGTGTGGCTGTGATGGTACCCCCCTCCCCAATGGTGCTGGGAGCGGTGCGCTCCCCCTGCCCCCCGTTCCTCTGCCAGTGGAAAAACCTTCCCATTATCACACCATATTTGAAAGCAGTGCCGGATTAAACCCTGTGGAGGCCCCTAGGCAGTTGAAATCTCAGGAAACCCCCTCACAAATTCTCCTAATTTGTTTTTGATTCTACGAGCCAACAATTTTAATAAACCAAGGGGCAGGCCCCCTAAAAGGTGTGGGACCCATAGGCCAGTGCCTGCTCTGCCTATTTGGTAACCTGGCATTGTTTGAAAGCTAAGATATTTGCCTAGGCACAACAAAAAAAGATCGGAATGAGATGTCATAGATTTATTCTTTATAGTCACAATATTTTGCACTGAATTAGGAGTATATATCAAATGAATCCTATGTATCAGCCTGACGGCTGACAGTTTAAATTAGACTTATGAATTAAAAATGCTCATGAAACGGTAGAACATCTTTAAGCAAAATGTGTCGTTCATCACACCTCACAACAGACGTGTCTGATCTGGGAGTTGTGGAGAAGGATGGAGAAGGATGAAAAGGTGTCATGAATGCAACCTGGGATTGGAGGGGAGAGGCACAGAGCACCAGAGATCTCAGTTAATTCCATCTGTTCAAGAGCTTTCAATCATACCACACATGCACACATGTTATCATTTCCAAAGATAGTTGCTGCATCTATCTAGGTGGCAAACATAGTGGCACAAAGGGAGGCAGGGAGGCAGAAGCTGGTGGAATTGCCGCACTTGTTCTTGGGGAGCTGTAAAGGTTTCCACCCCAAAATGGCTCTGTCTCCAGAGTTCTCATATTCTGCTATGGTCTTTCCTACACAACAATTAGGAATGGTAGAATATGTTGATTTTAGTTTCTCTCTGTTTCTCATCTCCTCACTCTTTAAGTTCAGTTACCCTTATTCCCACATCAGTTTGTGGATTATTATTTGTGAATTATTATTTTTAAAAGGTCTCATAAGAGTTCATCAACATTTTAGCATGCATTGCCCCTAATATATACATTTTCATGCAATTTTGTCTAATATACACATTTTTGCAAAAGAAAACAAATCCCACAAATATCATGCATATGTGCAGTGCTTCTTTTCTTTTAAAAAAACGTTTAGGGGTACTCTCAGTCTGACTCAAGAAAACCACCATTTTATAATTCAAATTGGGGGAAGTAAATACAGTAAATGGACAAAAGTACGAAGGACATGCATTACCTCATATTACACAGCTGACAGATCACAGTAACTTCTACATTCGCATGAGGTTGTGTGCACTAACATCTTCCCAATTCCTCTGATGAAAAATAGTTAGTAATTCTCCTACTCATACTGAAACACTGCCCCTCAATGAGGCCAAACATTCACCATTAAAACACCACACATCCAAATTCCACACTGCTTCACACATTAAACGCTCGCTTCTGTCTGAGACTTAGGAAACACCAGGAAAGGAAATGAAGACGCCATTGGGGGTCACAATGAAAATGACGATTCACCACGCTGGAGAAAAAACTATTCTTTTTTTTTAAAAAAAAGTTAGTTTCTTCTCCTGTTAGATTCGCAAAACGTTTAGGGGTACGCATACCCCTGCGTCCCCCCCGAAAAAAGCACTGCATATGTCTATGTTATTTTCACTTGTACACATTTTACACTATATGTGCATTTTATACCAGTGTATGTACCCTTGTGCTCATTATTGTTGCTTTATTGAGCAAATTTTATATAATGCTTGATTATAAAAAACAAACAACTCTTAAGTAGTTTAAAACAGTGTTGACTGGAGATACTGTATATACTTGGATGGGGAACTGCATCGCAAAATCAAGGTATTGATTAAATATTCCAAAGGTTGATGGTGTCTAACTTCAGTTCTTTCAGTAAGTGCAAATTAAATGTTCACCTTTACATGTGAACTGAATCAAATTTCTCTCCCATCCTTAATGACAACTAGGCAGAAGCCTTGATTGCATACATTCTGCTGGGTTATAAGGCTATGTGACCGCAACCCACCATATTCAAGCCTTTGGGTGCCTCTGGACAAATGGGCACAGCACTCCTGTGAAATGCCATTTTATCTTCCAAAGAATGTTGTTTCCTTCATTTAGTCTTTCTCATTCATACAGTTGCTATACATCTAGTGAATGTGAATTATTAGGCTTTCATACACGCAGAATGAGGGAAAAGTATTTTAGAAATGAAAATTATTGATTCATTGTGGAGTGATAATGAGTTGACTAACCTTACTTGGAGATATTGTAAATGTTAAATATTGTACCTGCAGGGCTGATGGTTAAAGATAATAAGTTTAAAAAATGTGAATTAGAAATAACTAGGGAAATAATGCAGCAACAAAAAGAACCTCTGGACACATCAGGAACGGAGTGTGGGAATCCATTTTTTGGAAAAATTGTATTAAATTTGTTTTAATGTGGCTTGTTTGGTAAAAAAAAAATGGGGGAAAATCAATAAAAATGATTTAGCATAGAGTTGTTGTTCAAAATCATAATATTGTAAAGGTAACAAAACTGACTTGGACCTATGAACACCACCGGAAGCCCTTCTTCGTGTGCCCCCTCCACAAGAGGTCCAAAGGGTAACAACGTGAGAATGGGCTTTTTCAGTGGTGGCTCCCCATTTGTGTAATGCTCTCACCAGAGAGGCTTGCTTGACACCTTCATTCCATAGCTTTAGGCACCAGGCAAAAATGCTCTTCTATAAGCAGACCTTTGGTAGATTAAATGGCATTTTATAGGTGTTTGTGGGAGGTGGGGTTATTGGTTGGTTGGTTTGTGTTTGTTTGTTTTTCATGTATTTTGTGTTCTCAGTTTGTATTTTTATGCTGTAAAGTGCCCTGTGATCTTCAGAGGAAGGGTGACATGTAAATTTAATACAGTGGTACCTCGGTTGTCGGACATAATCCATTCCAGAAGACAGTTTGACTTCCGAAAGGTTAGACAACCGAGGTGCAAAGGACGGTCTCTAAAATCAATGGAGAAAATTGAAGGGGGAAAAACCCAGCAGAAGCCGTTCAACTTCTGAGGTGTTTTCGAAAACAGAAGCATTTACTTCTGGGTTTTCGGTGTTTGAAAACCAAAACATTCGGCTTCTGAGATGCTCGGAAACCAAGGTACCACTGTATATAAATGATAAATAAATGTAATTAATAAAAAATAATAAGTATTGAAACACTTAAGGTAGGTCGAAAGCATCCCAAAGATAAATGACCACGTACGTCATATACCCACAAGATCTTCAGAGTCTTCCTTTGCAGAATCTTATCTGACACTGCAGTTGTGTGACAAAGGCCCCAAATCAGATTAATGGAAGCAATTTCTACCGATAATATGGGCAGTTGGGGGTGGGGGGTTGGCTCCAGACCACGCTGGATGGATTGAGGCTGATTAAAAGGTGATATGAAAGCCGTCTTCAGAGCTGGTAAATGATTGATTATACCATTTCTACCCAACAGCTGCACATCTACATGTTTGTTCCACATTCCCAAAGAATTATAAAAGCCTGGTGAATTCATGCTGAATTCATCCTCAGCATGGATTATTATTCTGTATGTTGAATAACAATTATGGTGCAACAGCCCCTTCTGGCAGTTTTACCTGGGATGACAGTTGATTGCTCTGCAGTTTCCCGGACTTCTGAAAGGTCCCTTTTGATTTCTTATGACATACTTAGATATTTTATTTTAAAAACCAACAATTTCATACTTGAGTTATCTAAGTACTTCCGAGGGAATGACACACTCTGGTGACTCGCAGCGTTTTGCTTTTCTTTCTTTTTTTAATTGTCATTTTGCTCTAACACAATCTCTTGCCACCTCTGTTTTCTATACTTCGTCATTGGTGCTCCCTAGAAACAAAGACTCTGGGAACTTAACAGCATATTTATTGTTAATATTTCATTTTGCTTCTCTTGCAATTTCTCTGGCTGCATTCAGAAGGCAATTTACTCCACCTTCCCAGTGTTTCCTTACATCTTAATTTCCATGTTTTATGCGACCTTTAACAGGACATAAAAGCTACTTCTGGAAGTCTAGTGGAATTTAGCAGATGTTTAGCATGCATTTCCTTGTTAATTGTTTCTGGAAAAAATCAATTTGCAACCTTGTTAAGTCAGAAAACCGGGGGGGGGGGGTGAGTTCTGTACTGTCATTTCACACAACAAAATGTGGGGCTCTATGCTGCCATACAATTCTTTCCCACTGCTTACAGTTTAGCATCACGTGGTCATATATTGATCAAAAAGCCACCGTTCCATAGCACAACAAGTACTGCCATGTGAAAGGGACATTAGAAAGTGGGACAGAAGTGCTGGCATTATAATCAGGAAAACTAGCACAATAGTTTTCACAGCAGAATTGCACCTGCCATCTTTCTTCAATGCTTCTTTGATATACAACTGTCACATCATTGGGCTTTCACTGCTATCCTGCTGTATTTTAATAGGGGAAATTGCTTTGCAAAGATGTAGTAGACACTGGGGGAAATCGCATACAAACATGCATGTCTTAGGAAAAATTTCACTAAAATCCTGATGCATTTTAATGGGGACATTAAAATAAACAAATCACAAACTGGTGTGGAAGTGTGGAGTCCTAGACATAAGACTATATAAAAGAGAAATGGAAATGAACAGATTCACTCATCCCTACGCAAGAGTAAGGGTGCCTGGAGACTCTGGGTCTCTTTGACTGCAAGTTGTCCCTGAAACATCTTCATCATAGAAACATAAGACTGTAGGGTCAGAAGGAAGCCAAAGGGTCATCTTGTCCAACTCTCAGCAATGCAGGAACCAAAGCTAAAGAATCATTGGCAGAGGGCCATCCAATGAAGGAGAGTCCACCTTCTTCTGAGGTGGTCCATTCCACTGTCAAACAGCTCTTGCCATCAGAAAGTGATGAAGAATCACATTTCATGTCATTTAATGTATTAGTTTGGGTCCTCTCCTCTGGAGCAGCAGAAAACAAGCTTGCTCCATGCCTTCGGATAATTGCCATGTCTTCAGATAACTGAAGATAGCTATCATATCACTTCTCTGTCTTCTCTTCTTCAGACTAAGCATACCCAATTCCCTCAACAGTCCATCATAAGGCTTGATTTCCAGACCCTTTATCATCTTGGTTCATCTTGGTTCCAGCAGTTATGGTTGAGGTTTGGTCCAGGAGACCAGAGTAAGGCCTCCTCTTTGAGCCTTCCTGTTTCTGGAAACAGCACAGGTCTCTGGCTCCTTACTTCTTACACCTGAACCTTGTCACCATGCTGTTTGTAAATCCACTATAAGGCATTCTGTACGCAGTCATAGTGGGACATACTTTGGAGAGGAAGGTCTTTACCCATGTTGAAGCTAAAGTGAGTGCCTGTGAGCCAGGCGTTTTCCTCCTGCTTTGAATCCCCTCTCCACCTTTTTCATGCTTGACTTCGTGTTAAGGGAATTTCACATCTGCTCAATGATGTGACTAAACTAGGGCAATTTCAAGCTTTATTAGCAGCGTCAGCTTCCAAATACCGCTAAAACGAGAATCAACAGCTGTTCCAGGCACAGTCCCTTTGGAGAATTCAGGGCCTTCATGTTCAGCAATTCAGAACTCTCTAATAGTCCTAAAATTGGATCTATTTCCATAACATGGCGTGAAAGGAAAATGTGTTGGAACATGTAGGACAAGTGTTAGCGGTGAAGAACATAAGCCATGAGCCAATGTCCCGTTCTGGCCCTCTGAGAAGGCAAGGGAGCTGCCCAGCAAGTTAAGTACCAATAGAGTTGGGTTCTAAGCACAGGCAAAACATAAGATGTTCCAAACAGAAAGACCAGAGAGTAAAATTAATGCAAAATTCAATGGTATCTCATTACTTCTCCACATACTTATCAGCCTGAGCATCACATTCTCTTTCAGAGGGTGTTGGGAAATTTGTTTCCAATGTTGAGTAGAAATAAATTAAATGGGGGGGGGGGGAGACAATATCTACAAAATCCAAAAATTATTTGTTTATACTCCCCTTGAACTTCTCCTGATAAAAGTCATCCGTCAAGGTGGCTAAGACTGTTTCAGTGCCACAGGTCTGAACATCAGTTGCTGGAAAACGGCAGGAGAGGAGCATGCGACTGTGCTCACATCTTGCTTGTGGGCTTCCCATAGGCATCTGGTTGGCTACTCTGAGAACAGGATATCAGGCTTGATGGGTCCTTGGCCTGATCCAGCAGCTCTTATGAAGCCAAACTGAGATGGGTCTAGATCAGAAACATGGGTCTCCAGCTGTTTTTGGACTACAGTTCCCATCATCCCTGACCACTGGTCCTGCTAGCTAAGGATGATGGGAGTTGTAGTCCCAAAACAGCTGAAGACCCCAGTTTGGGAAACACTGGTCTAGATAATCAGTTTTACAGTCATACCTCGGGTTACAAACGCTTGAGGTTGCATTTTTGGGGGTTACGGACTGCCGAAACCCAGAAGTACTGGAACAGGTTACTTCTGGGTTTCGGCAGTTGCGCATGTGCAGAAGCGCCAAATCACAACCTGTGCGTGTGCAGACGCGCCGTTGCAGGTTGTGAACGTTGCGGGTTGTGAACGTGCATCCCACACAGATCACATTCGCAACCTGAGCGTCCACTGTACAGTGGTACCTCGGGTTAAAGACGCTTCAGGTTACAGACGCTTCAGGTTACAGACTCCGCTAAAGCCACTTCTGAGCTGGAGAGGAGTTGGGGTTGTGGGCTTCATGCCCTCCCCCCACATGCGGGGGGGCTGGCTTGCAGCCCCCGCGAGATCGGGGAATCCTCGGACGCGTCATCTCCCTTGCCAGCCAATCGGCTGGCCCGGGAGCCGTGGCCCATGCTATTTAGTGCTGGAGCGGCCGAGGATTTCCCTCTTTCTCCACTCCAGTGCCCCAGCTGCTCCGGTTACAGACTCCGCTAACCCAGAAATATTACCTCGGGTTAAGAACTTTGCTTCAGGATGGCTACAGAAATTGTGCTCCGGCGGCGCAGCGGCAGTGGGAGGCCCCATTAGCTAAAGCGGTGCTTCATGTTAAGAACAGTTTCAGGTTAAGAACGGACCTCCAGAATGAATTAAGTTCTTAACCCAAGGTACCACTTTGTTTGATTTATTTAACAAAATGCATATATCGCTTTGATGGTAGCAAACCCCCAAAGTGAAACCACAAGAAGCTTCCCCCAGGTTTGCCTGACACTCTCTGGCAACCGTCCTCTCAATCACCTTACCAGTGAAGGAAATGTTATCAACTGGCTGGTAGTTGTCCTAACACCGAAGACCAACCATGCCTCCCCTGATCTTTCTCTGTGCTGCAGCATATCATACCCAGGCTCTTTCAACCACTCCTCATTCGACTAGCCGCTCTAGTGATTTAGCAAGACTCATTCCCAGCTCTTAAGCAGTAGAAGATTCTAATTAATTGCTGTTGAAAGAATGTAAGGCTGAAGAAATGCTGATTTAGCTTTTGGCTTGGTTCACTGTGTAACCCAGTCCAGCTTCCGAACAGTTTCATGCGACACTGCTTCGGGGTTGGGGGAGGGGAGAGTCAGTTCTTAAACAAGAAAAGCATTGTAGAGATCATCGCCTGTTTCTTCTCTCCTCCTCCTTAAAAAAAAAAAAAAAAAGTCAACTGGTGATAAATTGATAAAAATTCTAGACCCCTGGGCTGGCTACAGTAGGTTCAGGTGAGCAAATGAGTGCAGGTATAGTCATCCTAAACTTTGCCTTACACGAATTGCTTTGGGAAGCAGACAGCATGGTTCTGTGAAAGCGATCTCGCTAGGAGAAAAGAGGTCTAAATCCTTTCTTTGCGATAACAGGATTTGAAAGGTATCTATAATACGGTCTTCTACTTTTAAAGAGAATATGTAAGTTTCCTTTTCTCGTGTGTATGGTCTTTTTTTAAAAAAATGTTTTGTGGAGGAAGTCTCTGTATTATAAAATGTGTGCGCCTGGTGGTGGGTTTGCTTGTAGTTAGGAGAGCTCGTAGTTATAAAGTCTGAACAGATGCATTTCTTCCCTGAACGCCTGTTTGGTGACTTATGAAGTTTTGTTTTAGCCTCTGTCTTTTTGATAGGACGCGAGTGTTCACTTTTATGGCCTCTTCTTTCAAAAATAGTATTAGAGCCATAGTGAGGCCAATTATGAAGCAGGAGAAAGGTGTCAGCATGTTTTGGTGAATCCTGCAGTATACAGAAGAACAAAAACTGTGGGTTGTATCCAAAGTAGCACTGAGTAAAGTGTCCTGGGAGTAGGACTGCCCTGTTTTCCTTCCCTCATGCCCCCTTCTGCTGTTGAGGGTTGCTGGAACCCCAAGATTTGGGGAGGGGGCATGCAGTGGGTGGGGGAAGAAGGGAGAATGTCCCACAAGTGGAAAACCTTGCACTGACAGCAAACACTAGTTGTATGCACACACCTCAATAAGACACTAATAATAATAATAATAATAATAATAATAATAATAATTTATTATTTGTACCCCGCCCATCTGGCTGGATTTCCCCAGCCACTCTGGGCAGCTTCCACAAATACCAAAAATACACTAATATGTCATACATTAAAAACTTCCCTGAACAGGGTTGCCTTAAGATGTCTTCTGAATGTCAGGTAGTTGTTTATCTCTTTGACATCTGATGGGAGGGTGTTCCACAGGGCGGGCGCCACTACTGAGAAGCCCTCTGCCTGGTTCCCTGTAGCTTTGCTTCTCGAAATGAGGGAACCACCAGAAGGCCCTCAGCGTCCGGGCAGAACAATGGGGGTGGAGACGCTCCTTCAGGTATACTGGGCTGAGGCCGAGACACTTGTGAACTGTGCATGTGTGATCAAGGTCACTGGGCTACAGGAGTGTGTTTGTCACACTCTTCAGTCACTCTTCCCAGAGCACAAAAAGCAGTTCATGTTTACAATATAATAATACAATACGATAATCTTTATTGTTATTGTCCCATACAGAACAACAAAATGGAAAAATCTACATAAAACATTCAAAACCCAACAAGCCTGCTATCCCAACCTGGTTAGCCCCCTAAAAACTCTGGTACCCCATTTTTAAATACAATATACTTCCATAGAGACTCCTTACCCTGCGTTTAAAACCAAAATCGCATTTGGGTAGAAACTGTTTCTCAGGCAGCTAGTCCTAGTCTTTATAACCCTGTACCTTCTTCCAGAAGGCAGAAGCTGAAAGAGATCATTTCCGGGGTGCGTACTATCCTGCACTATCTCTGCAGCTTTCTTATGGCACCTGGAAGCATGATCCACGGTGGGAAGAGTGCACCCAATTATTCTCTCCGCAGTCTTTACAATCCTGGACAGCATTGTTTTTTTTCCTTGAAACATGCACAACACAAAAGGGAAGTGGTTTGAGGAGGGAGGAGGAGGAAATAAGCAAACTCAGTTTCGCATTCTGAGTTGCAAGCTGTTCTAATGACGAGCTGGGATGGAAAAGTTCAAGGAGAGGGTAAACAAAAGATGCCAGTCAGTTTGCAGCCCCAATGGACTGGGCCTGCGTCCTTCCTCTCCCCTCCTTGGTGTAGTGACTGCTGCCAAGTGACAGGCGTTACAATCCCGTCACGGCTGGACTACTGTAATGTGCTCTATGTGGGCAAGCCCTTGAGCCTGGTCCTGAAGCTCCAACTGGTGCAGAATGCAGCAGCTAGACTGCCGATGGTGACACATGACACCTCTGCTAAAACATCTGCACTGGCTGACTGTATCCTACTAGGACAGGTTCAAGATTCTTGTGTTGATATATAAAGCCCTGAGCAACCTGAACCAAGATCCCTCAAGGACCACTTCAGCCTTCATATCCCACCTTGATCACTGAGATTATCCAGAGTAGCACCATTAGTTTTTGTCCCATGTTACAGAGACATAACTGGCCACAACTAGAAGTCAGGCATTTAGTTTCGCTGGTCCCATGGGGTGAAATACTCTTCCAGCACCGTTTTTGCAGGAATCCTTACTTTTGACTTTTGGGAAACTCTGCATAGAAATTTATCATTTTTCCAGTCACACAGTTCTCCACATTTCCACATGTAGTTTTTTTTTTTTTTAAAAAAAGAGGTCCTCATGAAAATTCATCAGCATCTGAGTGTGAATTTCTCTCAATATATACACTTACGTGCAATTTTCCCCAATACCCACCACTTTTGCAAAGCAATTTTCCTTAATATAATGCATTTTTCTCATTTGTATGATATACACACTTTCCAGTAGTCTATGTCTTTTTATATGTATTATGCCGCTGGCGAACTGTCTTTCAAAATTCAGAGAAGCACAAATTTTGAAGAAAGGTTGTGGTTTGGTTTCTGCATTGTTTCAGAAAATGTGAATTAGGGAAGCTTTTAATGCTTAATACCCAGATGAGGGGTATAAATAATGAATTATATTATTATTATTATTATTAAATGGGAAAGGAATAATAATAAAAATCCTCTTTCCTGTATACATCTTGGAGGTGGTGCAGTCAGGGAAATATTTTATCTTAGCTCTCTTGTTGAGCACCCAAGGGCCCCAATGCCATGAAGGAATGTTCATCCAACCATCTTTATTGATAGGTCTACACAAATTTGGAACAGGATGCTTGAAAAATAATCTCACCTGTCATATACCCAGTCAATCACTGTGTCCTGCATATGAGGGCCTCTTGCTGACACCATCTCATCAGGAGTTTCTTTCATTCCTTTTTAGCACAATGTAGAAATCAGACCTTTAGTGTTGTGGATAGTTGGAATTCCCTCCACTTGATTATTAGGCAGGTGCCATCTCTATTTTCTTTTCATCATCTGTTGAAGACCTTCTTCTTTTAAGAAAAGATCTTTCACAGCTTGCCTCTATATTGGAATTGTTTTTAATGGTTTTTTATTGTTTCCACCACTTGTTGTTTGCTGCCATTGGTTCCTTTGGAAGGAAAGGCGAGATATAAAATTAACAAATAAATAAATCAAGTCTAGTTCTCTCCAGGTTCAGAGGCAATGTACCAATGCATAGTCCTCATGGATGTTCATTAACATGTTATTGCAAATATCTCCTAATCTGCACATTTTTACAAGCAATTTAAATATACACATTTTTGCAAAGCAATTCCCCCTCAAATAATGTATGTTTGTACATTGTCTTCATGAATACAGGTACTTTTAAAATGCACTTTCATATTACTTGGCTGGAGAATCTCATTGCAAAATTTGGAGCAGCACGAATTTTGAAGGATGTCTGTGTTTCAGCTTGCGTATTCTTTCAGAAAGTGTGAATTAGGTAGATTCACATTTAAATATGAACCAAAGTGGATTTCTCTCTTGTCCCTACCAAAGGATAATAGTTGCTGGAGGGGACACACAGTGATGAAGAGTCGTTAAATTCGTTCATTGCCTATAATCTTTCACAGAGGCGTTTGGGATTCAACAGAGTCTTCTGTTAAGCATGGAGCAGTCACAGAAATATAGACACACCATGTAGGCTAATAACTGTGAAAGCATATATAAAAGAATAATGATATCATTCAAAAGGTAGAAATAAATCTATTAGAGTTCATATATACAATGTAACAGACTAGTGGCACAGAAAGTTCAAGATAGGCACCAGAGGTCAGCCTCACAATGGTTATTAAAAGGTTTCAACAGAAGACCTCTCAAAAGTCTCAAAAGTTTTCTCAGTAGATTTTCAAAAGTTTCAATGGAAGACGTCCCAAAAGTCTCAAAGACAGTGTTTCCGGAATTGTGCTGGTCCCGAGGGTTAACCGTGTGGCGAGGTCCGAGTCCAGTCCGAGGTCGAGGGTGAGGTATGGAGGCTGTCCATCAAAGCTGAATCTGGGTCCAAGGCAGGGAGTCAGGTGAGGTCAGGAACTCTGGCAGAAGAGCAGGACAGGGTGCAGGCAGGAACAGGCTACCAACAATGTTGCTCCCGCAACTTGGGACTGGGCCTGACTGGCTTTTATCTGCCCCGAAGCATAGGGTGGCCCCGGTCCACAGGTGAGTCACCTCTCCTGGCCTAGAGGCGAGCTCTCCTCCTGTGGGAACTTAGTTCCCACCGCCTCTCTGCCCTGAGCCTCTGCAGCTCAGGAGAGGCTGGAGGGTTACCGGACCCAGAGGTAACCTCAGCTTCCCCTGACGGGGCTGAGAGTGGAGCACCTGCATGCAATGGGTCCTCCATCACCTCAGGAGCCAGAGCAGACTCAGCTGGTCCCTGCACCTGAGGATCCAGCACAGGTGAGGACCCTTCAGGCTCAGGCCCCAGCCCCGGCTCAGCTGGTTCTGAAGGCAAGGACTCCTGTGCAGGCTGGGATTCCTCAGGTTCAGCCTCCAAGTCCGAATCCCAGGCCATCACAGGAATCATAGAATCATAGAGTTGGAAGAGACCACAAGGGCCATCGAGTCCAACCCCCTGCCAAGCAGGAAACACCATCAGAGCACTCCTGACATATGGTTGTCAAGCCTCTGCTTAAAGACCTCCAAAGAAGGAGACTCCACCACACTCCTTGGCAGCAAATTCCACTGTCAAACAGCTCTTACTGTCAGGAAGTTCTTCCTAATGTTTAGGTGGAATCTTCTTTCTTGATACTACTGTTTCGTGATAGTCTTCATCAGCTGAAAATACAATACAAAGCATAAAACCAATGAATGATAACAGAATTGAGCTACCCGCATACATGGTGTATAATAAAACACAATATACAAATCAAAGTGTATAAAGAAAGGTACATACCCAAAGTATGGAGCAGCAGCAGCAGCAATAAGGCTTCCTCTTTAATGCTGAGGTACTACTGTGGGTTTCTCCAAAACTGCTTTCTGGGAAGCCTGGGAAATGCAGCATTCCCAAGGCTCCCCCGGTTCCAAATTTCAGCACCAACTTCTGTTGTAATGAAGCCCTGGCTGGCGCGACCTCTCCAAATGTGACATTTACAAAGCAAGCAAATAAAATGCCATTCCAGCAATAATTCCTTATGACTTGTAAATAGCGGAGGCCATATCCATAAATGCGGGCCATTTACAAACAAATATACTCTGGTAGCATCAAGCTTTTATGAGTCTCCAAACATCTGCTGCACAGTTGCAGTGGTTCGCTCTCGTCCTGCTATTGCAAAGGAATTAATTGTTGTTGTTTTGTAAAGGAGGGGGTGGAGAAGGAGGGCAGCATGAATAATAAGGGGGAGGGGGGTAGTTTATTTTAAATAAACTATAAACTGGTGCAAGCTGTGCAGTTAACTTCCCGTCTCATTTCTTTCAGAGTCGCATTGCTGCCTTTGATGTTGTCCTGAAACACTTGAGCTTCTCCCGGGAACAGCCACCTTTCTTCTGCCCAATGAGGCTGACAGCACAACATGGAGAGGGTCAGCCCAAACCAGAGGAGGACCAAAGGGAAGACTCTCCCACTTCCAATGAGAGGATACTGGAAGACTGTTTGCAGAGAAACAGAGAGCTGGAATTTTCCAACTGGTTAGTTTCATGATTTGCTTTTCTCTTTCTTGATTTTCTAATGATTACCCACCTACCCACCCCAAAGCAAATCACTCTACAGGGGGACAAAGCAAAAAAGGCAGTGGAGGCTAGTCCATTGGGGCAAATGGGATACTGTCTCCCACAACCTCAGTGTGTCACCAGCCAGCCCTCGCCTGCCTGCCTGCCTGTTCCAACCAGCAGGGCCAAAGTGAGCTGTCCATGGTTCTGACTTCCTTGACCCCTGCTGAAAAAGACATCATTATTATTATTATTTATTTAAGGCATTTGTATACTGCTTAATTATGTGCATTTCTAATTAGTGCACATAAAAACAATCTGCAGAAAATGGGACAATAAAATAACAGCAAAGTTATCACTTACTTAAAATGTTTGCTGGAACGAGAGTGTCTTAGTCATACACCTGGTGCTCAGCAAGAAGGGTTTCTGTCTTATTTCGGTTGGGAGGGAGTTCCACAGGCTTAGGCCCAGAACACTGAATGCACAGCTTCTAGCTGTTATGAGTCATGCATCTGAGACATAGGAGGCCACTAACAGAGACTCTCTGCAAGGCCTCAAGAGAGCAGGCAACAAAACTCTCAACGAGAAGCATTCTCATCTGCAACCAGAAGGTTGCGTGGCGAGTTCCCGCCTCCCCCCTCAGAAATGAGGACACAAGACACCAGAATTTAAGGTTAATGGATCAAATTAGGCCACAACTTTATTGATTACAGGAATTGAGAGGTATTGACTTAGGCATTGGTCCTATCAGCTAACCGGCTTCAGCCCGCTTGGTTGAAGACCGGCAAGGGTTAACCACCAGTAGGGGGAGTCCCGCTGATGCACATCAACTAGGAGCTCCCCTGGGGTCACCGATCAGGGGCGTGCCGTAGGCCCACACCTCCATAGGCTTAGGACAAGGCAATGCCCCTTGGAATCCTTTACCAGACTACTCTTCGATTTTGGGGGAAGGTGATGGCGCTTCCTCCCCCCACCCAATTCATCTGCATAACAATACCCCTACCAATGCCTAATCAGCTGGAGCGCGGAGAGGAAAGAGGGAGGTCCTCGGCCGCGCCAGTCCTAAATAAGGTGGGCCACGCCCCCCCGGACCAGCCTATTGGCTGGCCAGGGGGATGACGTGTCCGAGGATTCCCCCAGTACGTGCGTGAGGAGGGGCGTGAAGCCCACAACCCCACCTCCTCTCCAGTTTGGAAGTGGCTTTCCCTGTACATTCTTTTCCATAGAGCTAAGTGGGAGAGAGCATTTAGGTGAGTGCAAAGGAGCAGGGATGGGCAATGACTAATTATTGATGCACTGCACAAGACCTTGGCAGAAAAAAAACCCACACCACACTATTATGAATGAATGAAATAAATAATTCACTAAAACAAAATCCACACAGGAAGAAAACCCCAACAGATATAAGATAAGCTATTCAGCAGCTCAGAATGATCATGTGATACTCACTCAAAACAAGTCCAACCTTGAAACCAAATATGCAATCTATGAGGCATCTTTCCTTAGAAGGATCCATTGTGATTTCCATACGGCATCTGAAGCTAAGACAACTGATGGCATGTCTTATTGCAGCTTCCATTCCATTTGTTGAAAACCAGAACTTGGCAATATATTCTTTGGAAGAAAGCAAAGCCTTAAACCGATGATTTGGTGTGGTTTGCTTTCTCATTTGTTTATTTCCTATCTAATATCACAGCTTTGGTTGAAATAAGCTTGTGAAATGCTCTTCAGGATTTCACCCTGCATTCTGGAGATTCAGATGAGCTGGTCTTGTTACCAAAGCAAATGTGTTCCATTTGGAATTCCCAGTTTTGCATAACTTTTAAATTTCTTAATTTGTTAGCATCTTAGTTTTCAGATCTTTCCTTCCTGACCCATAAGAGGCTCCAGTGTAGTTCACAACTGTTACAGTGTTGTGAAAATAAAAAAGGAGAATATGAAACTCAACAAAATTAAAACAGACCACAGAGTCAAACATACTATCAAAAGATTTATGATTTTTTAAAAATGTTTGGATTGCCCATAAAAGCCATCAATGAAGTCCAAACTATCCTTAGGAGAGTTTCACAGCTAAGGTGCTGCCACCAAGAAGTCCCCATCTTCTGTTATCACTTGTCAAGACTTCTTCAGTGTCAGAACACTGAGCAGAATCTTGAGTGATAAATATACAGTATGTTTAGCTTGGATAAGAAACTGAGAGATGATAGCCATCATCTAATATCTAGAGGGCTGTCATGCATGGACGACGGAACAAGCTTGTTTTTCAGTAGTCTTTAGAATGAGAGGGACTGGAAACTGGTGTCAACATACTGATATACAGAGGATATATATTGGTGCACAGAGGTGACTGTTTTCCTGTACTGCTTCCTACATAATGGTGTAAAACATGGAGTGTGCAACATATTAGGATGACTCTTGAGTTGGAGGGCAAGGAGGGCATTCAGAAGAACCACGCATTCTTGACAGGTAAAGTGGCATCTGTAGAAGGCAACATAAATTGATTTCTGAAGTGCTTTGTGGTTCCTCGGTGATCCAGGTTTCAAAAAAAAACAATGCTACAAACAAGCATAGAGAAAAGAGAGAAAGAGAAAGTAATGCCTTTAAGCTTACCATAATGTCGTGGCTCCAGGGTAGGTTGATGGGGGGAAAGAGCAAACCGTGAGCCAAGTGGGGGAGAGGGTATAGGGAGGGCTCCATTGTGACTGACAGGTCAAACCTGCAATCAGAGAGAATAATTTTACCTGGAAAGTTAAAAAAACAAAACAAAACCTTTTAATTCAACCCCCCCCCCAAAAAACACACACACACCAACTTGGCAAAATCAGAACTTATGTCTCTAGTTCTGGGATGAGGAGAGCAGGAGGCAGAGCTGCTTCACAACTGACAGGTCTGGCTTGTAATCAGAGGGAATGATTTACCAAGAATCAACCAATCCTAGAGCTCTGGGGACAAAGCAGCTTTGCAAAAGCAGAACATATGTCTTCAAGCTTAAGGACAGGGAGGGGAGAATGCAGAAGCAGAGCTTCATTGTGAGTAACAGGTCAAGCTCGAAATCAGTGGCAGTGATTGTATCCTATTTTGATGTTACATTTGCTGATGTTTTAGGCTGTTTTGGATTCTATGTGAGAAATAACAGAGGGGGGGGGAAATGATGGTGATGATAGGATTTGCTTTCTGTGTAGTATTAATTGTTCTTCCCACTCAAGAATCAACTTTAATGGTGCCCAGCACAAAAGACCCTGCGTCTATCTGCCAGTAATTTGCCAGGGTTTGTTCCTTGAGAGGCTAGTGTGACTGCAAATTTAATACAGTGGTACCTTGGGTTACAGACGCTTCAGGTTACAGACTCCACTAACCCAGAAATAGTTCTTCAGGTTAAGAACTTTGCTTCAGGATAAGAACAAAAATCGTGCTCCGGCGGCGTGACGGCAGCAGGAGACCCCATTAGCTAAAGTGGTGCTCCAGGTTAAAAACATTTGGGTTAAGAACGGACCTCCAGAACGAATTAAGTTCTTAACCTGAGGTACCACTGTATTCTATCAAAAAGGGGGAAATGTTATGCAGGGAAAAGCATCGTAACTGTGAAGAGCTGGGAGAGAGACAAAGCAGGCACACATGGAACGCCAGGCCAAATTGGGCAGTCTATGAAATGCCACAAATCAAGGTGGACTGGTTTCTGAAGCTTTGAATCAGAGTGTAGACCAAATCTTGCAGCCGATGCAGACCTCTCCCATGCTTATCAAAATCAAACTGTTTCAAAAAGATATGCTGGTTGATCCCACATCTCAAACAATGATTCGGTTTCCAGTAGGCTGCCAGAAAGACATTATGTTCTGTGTGCGTTTTCAAAGAGAAACCAGCTTGACATGTGCCCAAATGGTGTCCTGGAATGTAGCTGTTTTCCTGTGTCTAATCTAGCATTAGACACAGAAAAACAGAAGGAGGGGAGAATAAAATTTTATTTATCACACTCCCAATTTACATGCATTAATCACCTTGTTTTGATTTCAGCCAGGTGATCACTCCCCATTTACTCAGGGCAGATCCTGGGGATTTTAAAAAAAATACTTTAATCATTATGTGTGTGGTCCTTACACTACCAAATTTAGCAATCTCCTGGTGGTAAAATTCTAATATTTGACTGGATTAGAAGGAACAAATTTTACTTAGCAGTGTAACAGTTGGGTAGCAGTTGCTGCTACCCAGCTGTATACAAAACTGAAACTAGACAGATCTTCTTAGCTTCTTTTCTCTGCTGATCTTGCCCAGAACTGATCCTGCCCTCCATCCAGCAAGGGAGCAGCTCTGCCATGTACAGAACCATTTCAGACCCTCCAAGTGTCCTGATTTCTCAGGGATAGTCCCAGAAATATAGAAGCCATCCCAGTTTCTGTTTTGATCCAGGAATGTCCCATTTTTCCTTTTTCATCCCCTCCACATCTTGGAGAACAATTATAAGGTGTGTGTGTGTGTGTAGGTGCAAAAACGGAGTCCTGTTTATACTGAAAATGAAATTCCTGCACCAAATGAAGGAAATGGTGATGGTGGCATACAAAGCCCTTCCAATAACTTTGAAGGAAAAGGTCACCAATCCACCTTAAATTCTTTAATTGAAATGCTTCGGCAGCCAGCCATTTCTTAGGAAACGCTTGCAGTGTTGACTCCTTTATTGTAAACGGGGCCTTATTTGGAAGTAAGCCCCACTGTATTCAATGGAGCTTACTCCCAGGTTATTGAGTAAAGATTGTGCAGACTTACACTGCAGTCTGAAGCATTTTTACTCAGAACTAAGTCCCACTGAGTTCAATAGGATTTACTTCCTGGCATGTTCCTGAACATTCTCACAGTTTCCATTAGTATTAGTACCGTAGTACCTCAGGTTACAGATGCTTCAGTTTACAGACGCTTCAGGTTACAGACTCCACTAACCCAGAAATAGTACCTCAGGTTAAGAACTTTGCTTCAGGATGAGAACAGAAATCGTGCGGCGGCACCGTGGCAGCAGTGGGAGGCCCCATTAGCTAAAGTGGTACCTCAGGTTAAGAACAGTTTCAGGTTAAGACCTCCATAACCAATTAAGTTCTTAACCTGAGGTACCACTGTATTAGTATTAGTATTTTAGTATTAGTATTGTTGTTGTTTAGTCGTTTAGTCGTGTCCGACTCTTCGTGACCCCATGGACCAGAGCACGCCAGGCACTCCTGTCTTCCACTGCCTCCCGCAGTTTGGTCAGGCTCATGTTTGTAGCTTCGAGAACACTGTCCAACCATCTCATCCTCTGTCCTCCCCTTCTCCTTGTGCCCTCCATCTTTCCCAACATCAGGGTCTTTTCCAGGGAGTCTTCTCTTCTCATGAGGTGGCCAAAGTATTGGAGCCTCAACTTCACGATCTGTCCTTCCAATGAGCACTCAGGGCTGATTTCCTTAAGAATGGATACGTTTGATCTTCTTGCAGTCCATGGGACTCTCAAGAGTCTCCTCCAGCACTTAGTATTATATACCACCTTTTTCCCTGAGAAGTCTCCTCCAGTATTAGTATTATATACCACCTTTTTCCCTGAGAGGTACGCAAGGCAACTTACAGCTACAATTTTATTTCATTCCCTTTATCTGCTGAAGATGTTGTACATGATCCCTTCCCTCACACATTTTTGCTTTACAATAATCCCATCAGGTAGTTTTCATGGAGAAGCTTTAATTGGCTCAAGGTGACAGATGTAGATATGTATATGACATCTATGTGTGTGCAGAGATCAGATGCAGGAGAAGCTTCCTGCTGTAGAATAGAATGCCCCTATTTTCATCTGAGAAATGTTGGACAGCATGCCATTTCTAAATCACTTTAGTTCCTAGTCACATTGCAGGAATAAGTTATTGAGCCAAAAGTGTTGTCTGAAAGCAAATTATGCAGCAAGCTTGATGAAAATAAGTGGGTCTGGGCCTAATCACAAGCTGTAGTGGAGCAGCATTTTCAGGAATATTCCTGGCTGGGTGGAACAGTCATTTGCAGTGTAGGGATGGGAAGCTTACTGTGACAAGTAGCGGCAGTGGTAGCTGTTATATTTTGTAAATTATTATTTAACTACTAGCTGCATTGTTCAATGAAGTGAGAGTGACCCAGAGGGTGCCATTCTTCTGAATGCCAAATGAGTTTCTACTTCCCCTCTCTCACACCTGGTGCTAACCTGGTGCCAGACATGGAGTCCTCTAAGGATGAACCAGACACCCCACAGATCGAAGATCCTCAGGAGCAGGTAGGGTCTCTGACAGACAGTGCTGAGAATCCCCTTCAGGGCCCCTCTGGTGGTAGACCTGCTGGAGAACCTGTGGAGCTGTCAAAGGACGAGATGGAGCCATCTCTCAGCATTGGAGAACATGGGCACCAAAAAGTCTGGACCTAGACCAAAGAGCAATGAGGTACAGACTTTTTGGTGCCCATGTTCTCCAATGCTAAGAGATCAATAACCCCAGAGTTAGCTCATGAGTAAAGGGTCGACATCTGCACTCAGTGGTTAGGAAAGTTTCCTTGCCTGAAACCTTGGAAAGCCATAGCCAATCAGTGTGGACAATGCTGAGTTAGATGAACCAATGGTCTCCCTCAGTGTAAGTCAGCTTTCTGTGTTTCTAAGCATGTGATGCAAACTATTTTAGTTGTGAGACTCTGTCCAATGAGCCTGGACAGTTGCAGTTGTATCTCCAGTCTTGATTACAACAGTCTGTGAAGTCAATGAAGTCATTGTAGACATTCATAGGTTTGCACTGTATGCTATTTGTTTAATTGTTTGTTCTGCATTGGTTTCAAGAATAGAAATGAGCTTGGCTGGAATATTCCCCAAAAGGAGCGGTACAAATAAGAACAAAAATAATAATACCATGGTTCAACAGGGAAGATGTTGGATCTTGGAATACAGGTTTACTGAGAATGGTCCTGATTTGTTTGTGGGGAGGTTAGATACATCAAGCAAGAAGTATCACACACTTTCCCCCATCACTTTCCATATTGCAAAAAGTAGGACTGGTTTTTGGAAGGTGGAAGAGCAACCTGCTTTAACTGCATGACTTGGGTTTCCCAAGAGGTGATTGAACCACACCACAACATAGCAATGGTCTGGAAGCACCCAGTGACTGATAGAAATTAGATTGCAACTACTAATCTCCTTCTTGGTGTATGTGTGTGTTTTCAAATCCTTTGGAATGCGGGCAGCTGCCTTGGAGAGAGTCAGACCATCTGTTTATCTAGATCAGTATCACTTACACTGACAGGCTGTCCAGGGTTTCAGGAAGAGAGTCTCTCCCAACCCCACCTGGAGACACCAGGGGTCAAACATGAGACCTTCTGCATGCAAAGTAGATACTCTACTCATTGAGCTGCAGCCTTTCCCTAGAAGGATTTGTGGTCTGACTTGTCAGTACAGAGGCAGCTGACAATTGTTTTCAACTGAGCGTTTGCCCCATATAGAGGGTCTCAATATACCTCAATAGCAACGCCTCTGGGTATCATATTGTTAGGTCTTTGAATCATAACATACAAAGCACAGAGGACATTCTCAGCCTTACCTGGAGATGCGGGGAGGGGAGGGGTCGGATCTGGCACCTTCTGCATGCAAAGCAGATGCCCTACCACTGAGCTACGACCCTCCCCTCTTTTTTCGCATTTCCGCAGAGGTTATTGGGGGGGGGTCTACAGACAAGGTTGGTGATTGATGCCTGGTAAGGAACGGGTTACTGTGAGACCCCGGCGTCCAGGCACCACGAGGACCAGCCGTCTGCTTTTTTTCCTCTTCTCGTGCTGGAGTTTTAGCGTGGGCGAGACGAGGCAGGAGGAGCTGGAAAGCGCGCACGCCGGGGGGTGGGTGGGCTGTTTAGAACAGGATTTCTTTCCCCCTTTCCAGGCTTCTACGGAAAGGAGCTTGTGCTGGGTGGCTGAGCTGCCGTTGGGCAAAGGTGCGTCGCCGCTCCCCCCCCCCCATCCCCACGGAAGCGGGTGGGGCCGGCGTCTGCCATGGCCACCTGCTGGGTAGATTTGTCCCGGAGCGCAGCGCGTTGGGGACCGGCCGGGCACCTGTGGGGACTAGCTGGGCGCACCTGAGCTGGAGCGAGCTGTGCGCCCCCTCCCTCCCCTGCTGCTGTCCCTCGGAAAAGGGAGGTTTTATGCGGAGGTTGCTGGAGACCCCCTGGGGGGCCGGCGCGGGTTCTCTTTCTTTCTCTCCCTCGGGTGAGAGATCTGGGGCGGCGGAGAAAAGAAGGCAAGGAGAGACGCGGAGAAAGAGGGGGAAGCACGGCGGAAGGGAGGACTGAGGAGGCGGCGGGATCCAGACCTGTAGGAGCAGCAGAGCCGCCTGCCTGGAAGGTAAGACCCAACCGCCCCCGCCCTGCTTTTCCTCCTCGGCGCACCGCCGCCGCCTGTGCGCGCAAAGGCTCCTTCTCCAAACGTGCCCAAGAGAGCGCAGCGCACGGCGATGCTTTTCGCTCGGGCACGCGAGGACCGCGGTGGAGGTGAGCGAGCAGGTTGGCTTCGGGGGCTCGCGACGGCTCTAGGCAGCAGCAGCTGCTGCTGCTGCTGCTGTAGCTGCTTCTGAAGGACAGGCGAGGGTGGGAGAGATCCTGACGAGGAAAGACCTGTTAGCGAGCAAAAGGCGCTGGAGAGGGTGGCGGAGGAGCGATGGAGTTGATCCGGCGTGGGTCTGCTGTGTCGGTGGCCGCTGACATTCTTCCCCTCCAGGGCTGGGTGTGAGCGGCGTCCTCGGAAGCAGAGTGAGAGCCGTTCTGTGGGTTTTGGTGACCGTGTGTGGTGTGGAAGATGCTTACATAAAATCAGCATGAGCAAGGAAGCCACAGCAAGCTGTTGGTTCTTCTGAAGGGGCCACAAGATTATCATAATAATAAAAAAATCTGGAATGTGATTCCTTTTCAGTGCCCCCGGGTTGCTTCCCATGTTGGTCCTATTCAGAGTAGACCATCTTGAAATGAATGGACCTAAGTTTGCCATGCCTGTTGGGTTCAATGGGTCTCCTCTGAGTAGGGAGAGAGCCCCCTTCTCTTTAGTGTGGCATGAGCTTTGGGTTTAAGAGAAGGCTCTCTTCCAGAATTGGCATTCATCTTCTGGTGTTGGGAGGTTTTGCTCTTCAGGGAAAGGCTTAGGTGTCACATGAAAAATGTACCCCTCGGATTTCTACCTTGGAAAGAGATTATTGTTCTTAAAACTGTGTCCTGGGTATAAGATGCTAGCAGAGGAATGAGGGGCAGTAGTCACTGGAAGGGTTCATTTCTTATTTGGGAAGGGTGAGAGTGGTTGTATGGGAAAAGTGGTCTCCTCTATCCTCATGTACTCCTGCCTTTGTAGTCCTCTGTCTCTCTCTTCAATGTTTAGTTAATAAAACATAATTGCTTAGGGCCTTGACTCTGTGGTAGATCACCTGTTTTGCTTGCCACTGCCAGTCAGACTAAACAGATGGACCCACAACAAGCTAGATGGACCCAACTCAGTAGAAAGCAGGTTCTTATATTCCTAACACACCAGCATGTTTTCCCTGGGCAGCCAGCTGTGGAGATCATTGGGTGGACCATAAGGAAAACAACAACAACAACATCTCAGTGTTGTCCTTTCTCTCACTCACTACCGCCCCTTCCATCCCTCTCAAATTTCCCTCCTTGTCCAAGATGCACAGATTCTGCAGGACTGCAGGAGAGCTGAGGCTTCTCTCATAATGGAAACCTCGCTTGACTAGGGCTGAGCGCCCTGGGAAAGATGGTTGGGTTCCAAAAATAACTACGAAGTTGCTAAGCATCAGGTAGGTCCATTCAGGGAAAAACTGGGGGGGGGGTAAAGTGTGTAGTGTGAGAATAGGCAGGAAAGGTGGAATATTAAGTAATCAACAGGATGTCAGGCTGCATGTCAATTTATGTATGTGTTTAAAGCTGGACGGGCCTTAATTTGTGTATAATACAAAAACCCAAGGCAACATTACACAGAGACTTTGTTATTAGGTATTCCAAGGCTCTTGGATAGGGCAGACTCAATTTAAAATGAGCATTGGAAGGTCAGCTGCATTTATACAGGCAAGTCAGTCTACTAATCCTTCTAGATTAGGGAAGGGTCGTAGCTCACTGGTAGAGCATCTTCCTTCTACGTGGGGGAAAAACAGGTGCTCTATCTTTGAGCAATGGTTCAAGACCTGTTGCAGGTTTGCTTCTTGGTTTCATTTCTCTTCCTTATGGCAAATAGGTTTAATTCATGGCTGGTCTCTGTACACAGCAGAAATACAGTTCAGGAAGCAAGCTGTTTTGGCAGGCAGGCAAACCACAGGGCTGTCTCAAAGGTCCCAGGCTTCCTACCTGTCAGAGACAGCAATGTGTCTGAATATGAGTTGCTGGAAGCCACAGGACGGAGAGAAGATTGTTATGCTGATGTCCTGCTTGTGGGCTTCCCAAAGGCATCTGGTTGGCCACTGTGAGAACAGGGTGCTGACTCTATGGGTCTTTGGCCTGATCCAGCAAGACTCTTCTTGTGCTCTCAAGTCAAATCCTGGGATTGTAGATTCTTGTACCCATAGACAGTGAGGGCATGCAGAGCATGCTCTCTATTCAGAGAGTTCATGCTTTCCACACAGACATGCCTGCAGCTGTTTGCACAAATGGCATTTCTGCCCAAGATGCAGGAATACCAAATAGTACCTACTCATTTTATTGGAAGTTTAGGAGCTATGGTACATATGCAAAGGGGTGGGAAGGCAATGCAAATAGCTTTTCCGCTTGGGAGCTAGAAGTAAAATATTCAAAGTTGCCCGTTAAATTAGAGAAATGGACAAATTAGAGAAGTTTTAATAATGCTTTAGTCTCAATCTAGCACCTTTTTTTGGTGTAGGCACTCAAAGTGTTATCTTTGCAACCTTGTTATCCTGAAATGCTGAATATAAGTTTGATTGGACAGTCACACTTTTCCGTCTCAACAGATGTGTTTACTTGGGAGTTAATCCCACTGAGTTGAGTGGGGATTAATTTAGGTGAGCTTGAACATCACTGGTCTTCAGCAGGTTGGTTGGGAGCCACTAGTGGGCTGAGGCTTAATCCAAGGTTGGTCGCCATAGGAACACAACCACCATGCAAAAATATGGTGAAAGGTTAAGAAATGGGTCCGGTCTGCAAATACCTGTTTGGGTTAAAAGTTGATCCTGGGTCCGAAAAGGTTGAAGATACCTGGTGTATAGAATTGCAGCCCTAAAGGTTGATTCAAAAGGTTTTGCTTCAAAATAAATGCCTAAAAAAATACACAAGTTGCAAATTCACCACTGCCAATTATGTCTGGGCTGTTAGTTTACTTAGTAGTAAGTTCAGGGGGTGATTTTTATTTTATTGAGATGGCAGTGTATGAGGAGGGGCAGTTGTAACCATTTCTTTGTATATGTACTCCGCAAAAATGGTCCACTTCTATAGAAAAAGAAAAAGCTCTACTGGCGTCTATTCACAATCCTAATAATTCACTGCAGTTTGTGTATGATTTTCATGGAGATTGCTGTCAGAAAGAAGAGTGCTCTCTCTCTCTCTCTCTCTCGCACACACACACACACACACACACACACACACATTTATTTACTTACTAGATATTAAATACACATAACACCCTAATGTGATTGGCAGCAATGCACTTAACATCACTAGGCACCCAAGTGCTTACAAGACCACCTCCCCCAAGATCAGCTACCTGAGACCCTATGATTGACAGGTGAGTCCTTGATATTGCCACCTCTAGGGGCTACCCGCTTGGTGCTGGCCTGTGACAGGACCTTTCTGGTGGTGGTTCCCCATTTGTTCAGTGTCATCTTTGGTGGTGGGATGTGTCTCCCTCATTGTTGACTTTTGAGAGGAATTTGATGGATAAAATGTATTGTTCCTAGCAACCCTGAAATCACTGGTTGAGAGAATGCTTTTTAACTGGTTTTAGAATGCGTTTAAAAATGCTTTTTTTTATTGTTGATGGGTCTACTGCCTTTGGGATGAAGTGTGGGAGATAGATAGATAGATGATAGATAGATAGATAGATAGATAGATAGATGATAGATAGATGATAGAATTCTAGTTAGAGGCCCTTAGTTGAGAGGAACACTCTGAAGTTTTTCTTTTCCGTCCACTCCCAGAGTTGACCGGTGTAATCCCACAAGAATTTAACCTATTACCCCAAAACTGCATGCTCTGCCACTGAATCCAGAATCAATTCACATTTTTGCATCTTGGGTGTTCATGATGACCCACTTAAACTTGGGGAGCTGGCGTGATGCTGGGTGGGTGAGCTCTGAATAGGGAAATTCAGGTCAAATTGCTCTACCTCCATAAACTTCACTTGGAGGCCACAGATAAGCCTTGGCTACCTTGAGGAGACAGTGACTCTGACCTAACTTGCTGGGTTGTTTTAAGGATTGCAGCAAGATAATGTGTATGCTTCAAGCATTCTGAGAAACTACCTGAATGTCAAGTATGAATGTCAAGTCCTAATTATTATTGCACCATCTCCAGCCTCTGCCTTGTGCTCCCATTTTGCTTTTGCTTCTCTACCTTAGGTAATGGATACTAGGGATCATTGTAGTCTTTGTTGAATTAACAATGCAAATCCTGAGCTATTTCATGGTTTAATAGTTTTCCTAAAGAATATATGTTTGCTAGGCTGTATGTTTGTCTTGAGAACATTGCTCTTCTCTGGAGCAGCCTTCTTTGCATCACAGTGTTCCAATGAACAGATGCTATTAACACCTCCCAGTTCTTCCAGGAACCAGCTCCAGTCATGTACCCAGCCACATATCAACGTACTGTCACTGTGTCTTCCCACAGCACTTTGGAATTTTCAAAATGTTTTACCATCTAGATGTTTCCAAAACCCACAGCAGGGCAACATCTTTGTTAAAGGTAAAGGTAAAGGGACCCCTGACCATTAGGTCCAGTCGTGACCGACTCTGGGGTTGCGGCGCTCATCTCACTTTATTGGCCGAGGGAACCGGCGTACAGCTTCCGGGTCATGTGGCCAGCATGACTAAGCCACTTCTGACGAACCAGAGCAGCGCACAGAAATGCCGTTTACCTTCCCACCGGAGCAGTACCTATTTATCTACTTGCACTTTTGATGTGCTTTCGAACTGCTAGGTTGGCAGGAGCAGGGACCGAGCAACGGGAGCTCACCCCGGAAAGGGGATTCGAACTGCCAACCTTCTGATCGGCAGGTCCTAGGCTCTGTGGTTTAACCCACAGCACCACCAGCGTCCCAACATCTTTGTTAGGACCAACCAAAAAAGTCACAAGCTTTCAAGTTCTCCAACACTCTTCATTGTCAAGCCTTTTTCCATTTCTGGATAAAAGCCTGTTCACTCTGGGTTGTGACTCTTGAGTTGTCTTTGGGGTTTTATTCTTCTTCTAGGCCAAGGTTTCCTGACCTTGGATCTCTGGTTCCTTTTTTTGGACCACAACTCCCATCATCCCTAGCTCGCAGATTCAGTGGTTAGGGATGGTGGGAGCTGTAGTCCCAAAACAGCCAAAGATCAAAGTTTTGGAAACCTTGTTCCAGGCCAACACCTGTCATTTATGTCAGGGGCAGGAACCTGTAGTCCACTATATGTTGCTGGGCTCCTTCAACCACAGACAGCACGACTGACTCTTGGGGATGGTGGCATTGTAGGCCAACAGTACCTGGAGGACCATAGGTTTCCCATCTCTGATCTATGTGATGATTGCAGAGAAGACAATCTTTTGAGGCAATTCAATTGTTCCACTGTACAGATCTGAGACCAGAAAAGACTGGTGTTCCCAAAGGGTTGTAGTTCTGCTTTACATGCAGAAGGTCTTAGCTTCAATCCCAAAAACCCGCAAGTAGGGCTCTTAGAGAATCCTGCCTGAAATCCTGGAGATATACTGCCAGTTAATGTTGGCATTACTGAGCTAGACAGAGTGTTGGTTTCACTAATTATAAGACATCTTCCTATGTTCCTGAGCCTTATAGTAAGTCCACAACAGAGGTGGGGCTTGAACTCAGAGCTCCCTGACCCATTTATTGTGTTGTCTGCTGCAATTTGCTTGCCCTGTAGGGTTCCTTATGAAACTATTTTTATCTAAACTCATAGGCCATATTTTTATTTTAGTCTTCCTCCAGGGAACTCATGACAACGTACATGATTCTTCCACCCACCCAGTCTCATTTTTTAAATTTATTAAAAATATTTGTATATTGCAATTTGGTTAAGAAAAAAAGAATAGCAATTATAGTGCAATAAAAGTCCTACGGATCACCAGTTAACTATTATGGACAATGTTTCTTTTCTTAATTATTTGCATAGCCTGAAAAGTTTTCAGCAAATGTTTGAAGGTTATCATGGAAGGCATTTGCTGAATCTCTACTGGAAGAGCACTTCACAGGACCAGGCCACTAGCACTGAAGACTTGATTTTGATGAAAAGTAAGCCTCACCAACTCCAGCGACAACCAGCAGTGCCCTTGCTGATGCTCTCAGTGATCAAGCTGGGGTATAAGGGTTCAGGGAGTCCCTGAGGGACCCTGGACCTAAGTTGCTTAGAGCTTTGTAAATTAATTCAAGAACCTGGTTCAGTAGTAGATGGGCTACTAGTGCAGTTGTTTTATCCATGGTGTCGCATGTTGGCAGCTCTCCAGGTAGATATCTCAGTTGGTTAGAGCATGGTGCTGATAACACCAAGGTCACAGGTTTGATCCCCGTATGCATATTCCTGCATAACAGGTGTTTGGACTTGATGATCCTCAGAGTTCCTTCCAATGCTATGATTCTATGTGCCCCCATCTGTTATCTCATCACTGCATTATGCACCAGCTAGAGCTTTGGACCAGACCCAAGGGCAGCCCCACATGGTGCAATCCTTGCAACAGTCCTGGGAGGTAGTTAATTCTGAAAGACAGTGACCAGTCCAAAGTCTGACCTGGTATAAGAAAGGATTCCTCTTTGTCCGTGTAGCTCAGTATGGGACTCAGGCAGAGGTTTCACCTTCACTGATGATCTTATCATTTTAACTGGAAAGATGCCAGATGGTTGAACCTCAGAACTTCAGCCTGTAAATTCTGGGATCTATTTATTGTTTTATTTGTATAAGATTATTTACCACCACCCCTTCACCACATAGAACTATAGTCCCATATGGAATCATATAATTGTAGACTTGGAAGGCACCCAGAGGGTCATTGAGTCTGTTCCCCTGCAATGAAGGAAACTCAGAGCCAGTGTGGTATAGTGGTTAAGAGCGGTGGACTTGTAATCTGGTGAACCGGGTTTGCGTCTCCGCTCCTCCACGTGCAGGTGCTGGGTGACCTTGGGCTAGTCACACTTCTCTGAAGTCTCTTAGCCCCACTCACCTCACAGAGTGTTTGTTGTGGGGGAGGAAGGGAAAGGAGAATGTTAGCCACTTTGAGACTCTTTTGGGTAGTGATAAAGCGAGATATCAAATCCAAACTCTCTTCTTCTTCTTCTCAATTAAATCATGCATGACAGTTGGCAATCCAACCTCTGCTTAAAATCATCCAAGTAAGGAGAGTCCACCACTTTCTGACGGAGTCTGTTCCACTTACCATCTGAAAGTACTTCCTAATATTGGGGTCCTACCCTCCAGAGCAACAGATATAGTTACCATATGTATGCTGTTGACATATGTCAATCTCCCCCCCCCCAGCCAAAAAAGTGCCTAATCCTGAGGTCATCAGCATGGCACCCATGGGTGCAATGAAAGCCTTGATCAGTGTCTCCATCAAGAGATGGTCAGAGCAGTGACTTTCCTTATCCTTTAAATCCTACATAGAGCTGAAGGAGGAAGTTGGAAGAGCTTTTGTTTCTAAGTACTTTCCAATGTTCAGATCAGCAGCTGAACAGAAAGGGGAGAGATCTGGGTGGCAGAGAGACAAAAAGAGTGTCTGATGGAGGGGAGGCAGGGGGAGAAAGTGGGGTGCTAGGGAACGTAGGGGAAGAGAGAATGCCATGCCAGGGAGAAGTCTGGCGTGTACATGCAGGCACAAGTCTGATCCAGTAAAACAGATCCTCTTGAAATTGCGTAGTATTATACCCCGGTCAGATGACTTTGATCATCTCAAGCAGCCCTCCTGACTGTCCCACAGCTTTTTAGCGTAGTGGCACCAGCACTTTGGAGCTGGCGCAGTCCCCAGTGAAATTGGGCAGGCACCCACAAGTCTGATATTTTGCTGCCTGCACACAATGAGTTTCGCCACTCATTTCCAGAGATTTAATTTGATTCGTTGTTAGTCATTTGTTCTGTACTTTATGTTTTTATAATTTTATGATGTCTTAATGGTTTTAATGATCTATATATTGAATGAGCTGGAAGTTTATAAAATGATGATGATAATGATGATTATACTGGGTTAGAGGGATGAATGGTTTAGCCCAGAGGTTTTCAACCTTTTTGAGTCCACAGCTCCCTTAACCAACTACTGTACATTCTTTCTGTGGCACCCCTGTAGGGCTCAGGAGCCCAGTTATGTCAGCCCTTGCCTGCAAAGCTGGCAGCCTCTCACCCTTTTCCAAACACCCTCCCTTGTGGAGTATTCCCTCAGCCTCCTCTCCTCTCCCCTCTCCTTGGGAGTCCTCTGGGCAGCTGCTGCCGCCACCCCTGATCTCTGAACTGTGCCCCCTTGCTCCAAAGAGAGGTACCTCCCAGAGGCACCATTCGCCTGTGGAGCTTATAGCCAGGATCGTTGCAGTAAACAGCTGTGCAAGCCTTTCGGAGGCAGAGACGTGAGAGGGCATCAGAGGAGGTAGAGAAAGAAAGAGGGACGGAGGCCAGTGCTGTCCGCGGCACCCCTGACCATCATTTAAGGCACCCCAGGGTGGCACGGCACACTGGTTGGAAACCACTGGTTTAGCCTAATACAGGCTTCCTGAGACTCAGCCCTCCAGATGTTTTGAGGCCACAATTCCCATCATCCCTGGCCACTGGTCCTGCTAGCTAGGGATCATGGGAGTTGTAGGCCAGAAACATCTGGAGGGCCGAGTTTGAGGAAGACTGGCCTAATTGTTAAGATGAGCATTCTCTGTTAAAAAGATCAGTGCTGCTGGAACACATGGAATCCATTTAGCCCAGTATCCTGTGCCTGGCAGTGGACAGCCAGAGAGGCCTATAAGAATGGCATGAACACAAACTGCCCCCTCCATCAATAGCATTTAGGATGAGTCCACACCTGTGTGCATGTGTTTGAATTTATATTTTTACCTTACCTTTCCTCCAAAGACCTCCGTTATTCCCACAGCAGCTTTGAGAGAAACTGAGCTTAGATATGACCAGTCCTAAGGTCCTATGACCCACTTCTCTCACATCCTAGTCAGACAATGTGATGAGACCCAGGCAGCAGCGTTGGGTGATGCTGGGCCTGAGTGGTTCATCAGGGGTAGGCTTGGGAAAACTGGGACTGTTCCTGATATTGAGGGAGCTAACTAGAGCACACGAGTCTATGAGCTGCCAGCCTGACAAAGGGCAATGTGAATTTTAGCAAGAGATTGGCAAATCAATTTCGGTTTTCCCATTTTGTTCCAAGTCCTAAGTTCACTTCTCCACATTTCCACATGAGGCTGTGATTAAAAAATGTATATCAAGCCCGCATGAAAATTCACCAGCACCTTTCGGGAACTTTCTCCTAACATACACACCTTTGCACACATTTCTTTTTTTTGCAGTGTACTTTCTCCTGATTCTCATAATGCATTTCTGTAAGCTGGATTCATTAATATATGCACTTGTATGCACGCTTAACCCCATGCATATTCGATTTCATATATATCACTTGGCAAAATGTGCAGAAGTGTAGATTTTGAAGGATGGTTGTTTTTCTGTTTCAAATTAGCTGGGTTCCACCTTTCAATATGAACCGGATCCAATTTCTCCCCTGCCTCTATTTGTGGCTCGGTGGTACAGTGTATGCTCTGCATTTAAGGATGCTGGGGTCTACCAGAAGCATCATTAGACTCTCCTGTCTGAAACCCTGGAGAGCTGCTGTCAGATACTCAGTGTATCCATTACTGAGCATGATAGACGGAGGGTTTGACCGGGGATAAGGCTTCTTCTTGTGTTCCAGTGAAAATTCACTGTCGCACGAACACACTGCAGTAGTTCTTCAACAGCTAAAGCTACACTGATCACATGTACTTCTGTAGATCCCATATTCCTTGTTTTGGTTTACTTTCTTCCAATCTAGTCAGGTGCTGTGATTTGATTTGATTTGATTTGATTTCTTTTTGCAGGAGTATTATTATTATTAATAATAATGTCAGTTCTATACCACTTTATATTTTTAAGGAAAAAACCCTCAAAGCAGTTCACAGCACATTAAAACATCAAATGAAACAGTCCAGAATAAAACATTACCGAAGAAAGTCAGCCATGGCATACGTACGCATTCAAAGCAACGCAATTAACAGGAAACTAAAATATTGTCTTAAGGATTTCAAAATAAAGCATTACAAAGGAGGTTAAGTACAGAATGCACATTTAGCACAGCAGAAAGAAAGAAAGAAAGAAAGAAAGAAAGAAAGAAAGAAAGAAAGAAAAGATATTAAACATTTCGAAAGAAAGCATTACTAAAGGAAGTCAAATAGAAAATATTAATTGGATAGAGCATCTGTAAACACCACTGCCTTTTAAATTCTACGCACAGTGTTATGGGCACAGCCCGTGTTTGGTTTAAACAACTGTGCAATGGTTTGAATACATCTGGGTCCTGCTTTGAAAAACTGACTCATGACGGCACATTAATTTTTACTCAACCATTAGGAAAATTTGCTCAGAAAGCTTATGTCCTCAGCTGATTCCGAAGGATTCTATGCTGAATTGTGTATGACGCGAGGGATGCGGGGAGCAGAGGTTATGTTAGGTGAAGTGTTCAGTTGGCTTGCAATGATAAGTTATTGAGATTCTTGTGGATGGTCATATTGAATAATCCATGTGAAGGAAAACGCTGATCGTAAGCCTTCGCTGCCTTGTGGGATATCTTCAGCAGAATAAAAGGCTAAGGGGTAAATCCTGCACAAATCAAATAATGAAGGGAGGTGAAAAAACATACAGCATCCTCAGGTAGACCCTGAGTCAAATTGGGCCACCTCAGGTCATTGTGGGCTGCTATTCTGAAGCGCCAAATTGGTATCCGAACAAAATCTTATAGTCTATCTAGTCTGTACACTCCTGTTTGGGAAAAGCAAAGTATCTGCTTTTTATACCCGTCTTTACAGAGAACAATTTTGGAGGGATGGTGGCACCTGATTTTTCTTTTAAAGTTCAAGTAGTACAGCAGGGGAACTGTGATTCAAATGGAAGTGTCAAAGGATGAAGTTTTAGGACTTGGTTGGCTTTAAAAAATATTTGTTTGTTTGTTACTTTGCCTGTGTGCCATTCATTTGATATTGCAGTATTTCAGAGAGAACGCTGCTCATCACTAAAGTCAAGCTTTGGACCAAAGAGCTAGAAGATTGACAATTGGTATTATGTTGGCTAAAATAAAATTTTAAAAGGATCCACGGAAAATGTGGGGAATGACAGGTCTGCCAGCTTAACTTACTTCCCCTGTAGATTGGTAGAAAGTATTTTCTCCATTCTGAAGGCAAGTAGCAGGTACTCTAAGGAAACAGCAGCTGTAGAAACACAATGTTAGCCTCTCACATAATTGGGCCTTCTTCAGCAAAACCTCCAAGTATCCCTATTTTCCAGGGACAGTCCCAGATTTACAGAAGCCATCCTGGTTTCTGATTTGATCCTGGAATGCCCCACTTTCCTTTAGGACGTCCCTATTTTCATCAGAGCAATGTTAGAGGGTATGGAGTTATCTGACCCCAAAGCCATCTGAAGGCAGCCCTATATGGGGAAGTTTTTAAATGTCTAATGTCTAATGTTTTACTATGTATTTATATATGTTGGAAGCTGCCCAGAGGAGGAGCAGAGACGTGAACGCGGTTCACCAGATTACGAGTCTACTGCTCTTAACCACTACACCACACTGGCTTCCTTTGCAGGCTTATGAATAGCATTTGGTTGTCACTGTGCAAAGCAGGATACATTCAAAACCTATAAGAGAAAAGAGCCAGAGTATTGTAGCGGTTAGAGCGTCAGACTAGGACCTGGGAGATCTCAGTTCAAATCCCCACTCAGCCATGAAGTTCACTGAGTGACACTGGGCCAGCCATTACCTCTCAGCCACAGGTTTGTGATGGGAGGAAGGGGCAATGTACATCAGCTTGAGCTTTTTTGGAGGAAATATTGGGCTATAAATGCCATAAAATAAACAAGTCATTTCATTACATCGCATAGCATGTTTCTGTCCAGTATTCCATTTCTGCTGACGCTTTTCGTCCATGGCAAAAGATGGTTTAATTGAAGAGAGGCAATGAAATGTACTTGCAATGTCCTTAAAGATCTCACCATGTTCTTAGTACCAAAAAGGGAAATGAACTTGTTTTTAAGTTGACAACTTAAGTGCTTCTCATTCAGGCTGAAGACTTACGTCCATTGCCCTTTCTTCTTTCCCCTCCTCCTTCTTTTAAAGGCTGATGAAAATACAGTGGTTAGCCACCGACATGGAATTAAATGCCTTAATAACATTTGTGTTTCTTCTCATTTGCAAGTAACCAGAAAACAACATGGGATGCGGGTGGCGCTGTGGATTAAACCACAGAGCCTAGCACTTGCCGATCAGAAGGTCGGCGGTTCGAATCCCTGCGACGGGGTGAGCTCCCATTGCTCGGTCCCTGCTCCTGCCAACCTAGCAGTTTGAAAGCACGTCAAAGTGCAAGTAGATAAACAGGTACCACTCCAGCGGGAAGGTAAACGGCTTTTCCGTGTGCTGTTCTGGTTCACCAGAAGCGGCTTAGTCATGCTGGCCACATGACCCAGAAGCTGTACGCCGGCTCCCTCAGCCAATAAAGCGAGATGAGCGCCACAACCCCAGAGTTGGTCACGACTGGACCTAATAGTCAGTGGCCCCTTTACCTTTACCTAGAAAACAACAACTGCCCAGTGTCCAGTTTGTGTGTGTACATAGGAATAGTCCACGAACAGTGTTTTAAGTCAAGCAAACGATTTGCATTCTGAAAGAAGGAAAAATAAAATCTGTTCACCAGGCTAACAACCTATGGATGGGTTTTGCTTTCTATTTAGTTTGAAACGCGATGTATCTTTTGATCTTCCTGCATTGCAGGGCATTGGACCAGATGACCCTCGGGTCCCTTCCAACTCTACAATTCTATAATCTCTTCACCCCCACTTTCACATACTTTCCTTTGCCAAATAGTTTTGGATCACAGTGAAAGTCAACTTATGAGTGCATTAGTCACAATATAAATGATCTTGCATTTTGACAGGGGATAGAGGCAGTTGCACCATTGCCAGGGGAAATGGGTATTTTGCTGATAGCTGACTTCTGATGAGAATTGGTGTCACTCACAACTTTTGACTTTCGTTAGCGTCTTGCGAAGAAAGCACAGAAATCTTACGTAATGAGATTATTAGTGTATATAAAAAAGGGGGGTATGCTGGAAAACGCGCCGTTTGACATGATTGCTTTTCATTAAGTGCATCCTGCTTTTGAAAAAAGAGATTAAAGGATTGAAATGCTACTGCAAGAAAGGAGAAAAGATGTTAGTTGAATATTAGTGCTTTTGGTGCTCAGAACGGATTCAGAACGGATTCACAATATTAGTGCTTTTGGTGCTCAGAACGGATTCATTGAATATTAGTGCTTTTGGTGCTCAGAACGGATTCATTCAGAGAGCCAGTGTGGTGTAGTGGTTAAGAGCGGTAGTCTCGTAATCTGGGGAACCGGGTTCGCGTCTCCGCTCCTCCACATGCAGCTGCTGGGTGACCTTGGGCCAGTCACACTTCTTTGAAGTCTCTCAGCCCCACTCACCTCACAGAGTGTTTGTTGTGGGGAGGAAGGGAAAGGAGAATGTTAGCCGCTTTGAGACTCCTGAAGGGGAGTGAAAGGCGGGATATCAAATCCAAACTCTTCTTCTTCTTCTTCTTCTTCTTCTTCTTCTTCTTCTTCTTCTTCTTCTTCATTTTGGGTGGGATGGAGATTCTTGTGCTGTCGAAGGTTCAGCATCCAACAGGGGAGCTGAATGGGGAAGAATTGTAGCTCAGAGACAGAACACCTGCCTTGTAGGCAGAAGGTTCAACCCCTGGTTTCTCCAGGCGGGGCTGGGAAGATCTTGGAGAGCCACTGTCTTTTGGGTTGACAATCCTGAGCTAGATGGATCTAATGATTCGACTCAGTATACAACAGATCCTTGTGTTCCTTTGATCACAAAGCTGGAGACAGGCCCTTGAATGTAATTTATTTATACCCATAAATGTCTGAGGCCTAGTTCTCACTGAGGTGGACAACCAATGCCTGCATGACTAACTTCAAATTGCATGTTGGGGCTCCAGTGACAGCATGCCCCTCCATACACAAAAAGCTTGCTGAACATTCTAGCAGGGAGAAAATGTTTAGCCTAGTCTTCTTTCCAGTGTGCAAGTATTCTGTGTGTAGGTTTTGTGCTTTTGCTGAGGCTGGGGGTGGGTAGGAGTCTTTATGCTGTTGATTCCCTCCCAGCCATGGATCCTTCCATTCCTATTCTGACTGTCAGGGAGAAATGTTTTGCTGCCCTCACTCTGTTGTCGCTTTTGCCCTCACTCTGATTTGGCTTTTAAGATAGCGCTGTGAGAGTGTGAGCAGGATAAGGAAGCAAAGTTTCTTCTCGGCAAAATAAATAAAAGAGGCATTGAAGGGTCTTGGAAAGGAAGGAAGGGAAAATGAGAGAGAGAGAGAGAGAGAGAGAGAGAGAGAGGGAGAGAGGAGCAACAGGGGGAACTATTAGTGGGAGCAGGAAAAGAGTCCAATGGAGACTGTGCGGTTTTGTGAAATCTTTTGCTCCCTCCCAAGCCTTCCCCACCCCCACCCTGGCCCCATCACTCAAGCTTTGACTTCCTTACTTTGGGAATTTTCAACAATGCTCACATTGATTTTCTGAGTTTGTTTGTTCTGTGCGTTTAGACGCATGCTTGCGGTGAATTCACCCATTCAGAATTTCAGAGATTGCTGCAAAATAAATTGTGTCTCCCTGCCTCTTCCCCTGTACCTGCCCTTGAGCAGAGCCACCCTAAATTCACTTCACTTTGGAGTAATGGAGTAGCAGCTAATTGTCTTCAGTGAAGGCACTGCGGTCAGAAAGTGGTGACTCAAAAGCCATGCTTTGTCCTTTTTATCAGATTTGCAGAGCAAGCTATCCAACTTCCATTCTGGGTTTAAACAATAGAAGTACATGTAAGGGTGAACGCAGAAGCAACTTTATAAGTGTAATAATTAGACAAACTCAGCACATTACAAAACTTTTTTCCTCTCTAGGGCATGGAATGTGTGTAAGAAGTTTGTCATACTTAAAATGTTCTTTCTAATATGATTTGGGTCAGAATTATGAATGTTTTGCTGAAAAAATGGATTTTTCTGTAACAAGGGACAGACTTTTCTGTAACAAGGGACAATAGAATTTAAGGTTTTCTTTTTACTATGTCAAATGTAACAAATCTTATAAACAGTCTCTCCCCCCTTGCTTTTTCTGTTTTTCTGCTTTGTTCTGTTCCAGAAGATGAAAAACAACTCCTAAAACAGACATTTAACATGAATTTTACTATCTAACGAGACCATTGATCCATAAAATGAAAGCAATAAACAATGTACTGTACTGTAAAATCAATACAACAGTATTGATGATTTTTTTAAAAATGAAAATGTGTTTTTTTTTTCTTACCTGCACTGATGATAGCCATTATTTGGATGGGGGGTCGGGGTCCTCTTCCAGATTCAAAATTGGTGACTCCTCTCCTGCCATTCCTTCCCTTGCTTTTTTTTACACCACTGCCACCTACAGAGCGTGGGCTTACCTGCCTTCCAGCTGGTGGGTGGGCTTACCTGGCTACCTTGCCAGGTAATGGGGCTAGGGGATGGGTCAAGGGCTGGTAAAGGGCTGGTGCTCTTCGGCCCAGGCTCACTTTGTTTTCCTAGCAGGTTCATCGCTGGACTTCACTCTTGGTTAGGCAAGTGTTCCTCGTCAGGGTTTGGGACCGTGGTGTGGCCTGCTGGGCCTCCTGCAGCCTCCTGCAGCCTCTTCCACAACTTTGGGGGTGGGATGGGGGCCATGGCATGGCCTGCTAGGCCTCCCGTGGCTGGCTCCTTCTTCCCCTGGCAGTGGAGGCTGAATCGCGGCCACACAGGCGGCGTTGCCTAGGAGTACGCTCAGCTTCCAAGGCAAAGTCCGAAAACCGGAACACTCATTTCCGGGTTTCAAGTGTTCGGGTTCCAAGTTGTTTGTGAACTAAGCTGTTCAAAAACCGAGTTACCACTGTATTATGCCAGTCTGTAGTGTGGGGGGCTGTATGTCAGACAAGGCAAGAAGTTGGTGGCCATGGTAGATATTGGTGCCAATGACAAGGGAAAATGTCGAGGTGTGGTGCCAAAAGCCAAAATTCAGTGTGAATACTTTCAAGGTGGATTTCTCTGAAATGCTACATGTTTCATGTGCAGGGCCAGCTAGATAGATGGCTGAGGAGTCTCAATGTGGGGATGAGATATTGCTGCTCAGAAGAGGATTTGCTACATACTGGTTCTGGATTTGCTACATACTGGGGAATTTTTTTTTAGAAACCTTCCGACACCTGGGAGCAGTTTTGGACAAACTTCTGGTGTCAGGTGATATATTTCAGCAAGCATTTTAAGCAAGTTTTGTAATGTTATGGTTAGTTCTCACAGAATTGATCTTGTCTGTATCTTATAACCTTGCTGTACATGGCTTAGAGACCATGGTGATAATGGGAATATAAATGGTTGGAATAAATAAAATTAATCAATTAATTGACACAAAGTAGGCAAAAAAGATGAATTTAACTATTTCCTCCTGTGTTGCTGCCCCGCCTGACAGAATTCCTTCTCTAAAACTGATATTTGCATTGGGAAGAAATGAATGGCAATGGAGATTTTCCTTAGGATTTTAGCTAGGGAGGAAAGTGTTAAACTATCTTTCCATGCCTATTCTAATCCTGTTGATTCTCTCTCTCTCTCTGGCACACAAATACATCATTTGCAAAACTTTTCACTTGCACTCTGACTAACCCAGAAAGGTGTTGGTTGAACTGAAGAGTGTTAGGCCCTGGCCTCAGAGCCTTTTGAAAAGGTCACATGGGGCTCAGAGGAGGTGAAGCCCAAGAGAGCCTCTCAAGTCCTCTTCATTGCCCAGCTGCAACACAGCAGCCCTGCAATGCTGCGAGCGGGTCCCCAGACAGAAGGGAACCTGGGATGCACTCACACAATTACTTTTAATTCCCCCAGAATGCCTCTATTCACCTTTGTAGCAGCAGCCAGCACTCTCTCTGAGCCTCCCCCAGAACCTCAGAAGAGTGCACTGGTCACTTACAACTCCAATCCTAAACTCCCAGCATAGGCACCAGCTCCTAGCGGCCCAGCTCTTTTGGCCCCCCATATGACCCCCCAATGTTCAGAATGGTCAGAGGATGGAGGAAGCTGAGTATAGCATGGTTTCAGTGGCTGGCTCCTCCTCCTGCTACCATGGAGGGAAAGGAGGTGGAAGCAGCCCCTAGCGAGTGGTCACAGTGGGAGGAGGCCAATTGTGGAGTTGAGCGAGGCACAGTGTGGGTTCAGTGGCTTCTCCTTCTCCTCCTGCCATGTAAGGGGAAGCAGTCCCCAGCCAATGGCAGAAGGAGGAGGAGGAGGAGGCTGGGTGTGAAAGAGGAGGAGCCTACTGGTGCGTTCAGCTCTGCCCTCTGGCTCCTTCTGATGTCCTGACTTCACACATCATGCGCCATCACACCATTGTGCCTGTGTCATCATCCCCCTAATGTTCTCCACAATTTGTCACCTCTCCCTCCCAGTAACCTGAACACCAAGAGTCTAAGCGCATGGGGATTCCAAAACCTGAGGTTGGCAACATGCACTCTTCAGCAGTCACTAAGATGCAAGGACACAGTTGTCCTCTGGTCTAGTTTAGCCCTTGAAAGTAACAGCTTTAGGAGGACAATCTCATCAGGGTCCTGATGCTTCTGGAGGAGTGTTTTGTTCTTTTCTGCTTTGTGGCATTTCCTTCGTTGAATGTTCCTGCCAACCTTACACCAGTACAGTGGTACCTCAGGCTAAGTACTTAATTCATTCCGGAGGTCCGTACTTAACCTGAAACTGTTCTTAACCTGAAGCACCACTTTAGCTAATGGGGCCTCCTGTTGCTGCCGCACCGCCAGAGCACGATTTCTGTTCTCATCCTGAAGCAAAGTTCTTAACCTGAGGTACTATTTCTGGGTTAGCGGAGTCTGTAACCTGAAGTGTATGTAACCTGAAGCGTATGTAACCCGAGGTACCACTGTATTTGTGTCTCCCGCTTCCAACACCTGCTCATCCACTTTGGATAGAATCAGACCAAAGGTGAATTCAGGATCACTGTTCACTTTATTTCTTGATGCTGTCACATTCACCTCACACCCTGATGGAGGGTTGTGTGCCCCCTGAGGTCCAGCTTCTGGCATGTCACCAATCGCGTTGGAGTTCAACCACCGTTTTTCTGGCAGCTAGCAAATTGGGAAGCTGGCATCATGCTGCAGTGGTGTGTGTGCTTGGCAAAGTGTTAGTTTGCAAGAGCATTGAAGTGACTTTGAGGGTCCGCATTTGCTGATGGAGTTTTCTGGGGACGAGAGAGATGACCTTGGGTTAGCAAGGAACTTCTCTGCGTGCAAATCGGGCCCTTGCTCGAACCAGGGTCACCCCCAACATTCCCACGACAGCAACAGAAGCTTGATAAGGTGTGCATTAACTCGATTAGAAGGTCTTCAAATGTCACTTTCAAAAGGGATCTGGGAAGACCAGCCCAGGCAGGTTGCAAGATTCAGAACCACTTTCCACGCATGTGTTTCAAACAAGGAATTAGTCTTGTGAGGATGGTGCTCCTCCAAATGGAGGAAGGTTGCCCTCACTGTTTTGGGATGCAATGGGGTATGTGGATTCAAAATACGCTGTGTCCTGGTGTAGGACGGTGGGGTGAGGCCACACCTTTATAAAGCTGACTTGTGGGGGCCATGACCTCCTTTCCTCGGTATCCTCCATGAGGTCTAGGACCATGTTGCTCTCCATGGGGGCTGAACAGGATGTGGTGATAGTGGTGGGGGAAGTGTGGGTGGGGGTAGGTTACAGAAAATATATGCCTTTCTTCAAGCATTGAAGGCTGGGTGGCATATGCAGCACAGTCCAATTAAACCAAGGTCAAGGATGAAGAATCAGTCTAGATCCAAAAGTGTTCCAGAGACAAAGTCGGCCAACACTCTGCTGTTGATATCATAGGGAGTTCAGGCAAAGCACAGCAAGGCAAAGCACTGAGGAGAGAGATACCCTTGTTGTCTCTAGCAACTAGAAGGCTTAAGAAGGAGGCCTCTTATACTATGGGTCTGCAACAACTGGCAGTGCAGGAGTTATTGGGGATGTCTTACTCTTGAGTAGGCTAATGCACCATATCATTTCTCTTTAGCCTGGACCCAAAACCTTTGATACTGGTGATCTTGAGGCTTTGGGTTGTGGTTCTTAATCACAGCTAGTAACCCAAGGGGTCCTAGATACTAAAAAGGAAGGCAATGGATTTTGGGAGGTTGATTTTAGTTGTTCCTTTGAATCAGGTCTCCAATGCAATATACGTGAGCGTCTTGAATTTTAAGCGTTTGGTTTCAAGCCATATCTTAACTTAATAAATTGGCATTAATAAAACCCTTCACTGTAATGTTTTTTTGCAGCAAGTTCAGGGGGGAAAGATACTGATGTAATTTACATCCACATGCTCGGTATGGGACAATTGCTGATAAGATGGGACAGTTTTGGAACACTCTGTCCAGTAGGAAAACAAGCAAGCCAGAAGCTATCCGGTATTTCAGACTTGGCAAAAGGTGCATCGATTTTTCTTTTCTATAGGACATTTGATGAGTAAGTTGGTGCTTTGGAAGTGCAGTTTTGATAGATTAGGATGCAAAGTGGCCTTTAACTCTCTGCGGCAGGAAACGGGAGTAGGATCTGATAGCAAAGAAAACTGCCGCAATTTTCATAATGTGTAAATGAAAATAAATGGGCACTTCTACTGGAATCAAATGTTTTATGCATATATATGTGTGTGTGTGTGTGTGTGTGTAGTTTATGTGTGTGTACACACACATACAAACAAAGAAACAAAGAAAGAAACCACTAATAAGAAAATATCAGAATGGTTCACAACAACTGTCCACAAAACCATCTATTCAAAACCATATTTAAAAAGTTAAAATCAGAAATTGGCTAACTACTGTATTCTTAATTGCCTGCATAGTTGTGAACAGAAAAGTCCTCAGCAGTCATTTAAAAGTTAAAACAGAAGGCACTTACTGAATCTCTATTAGCAGAGTGTTCCAAAAATATTGGGCTCATAATGCTAAAGCCTTGCCAGCTCAAAGGATGACCAACAGCACTCCTGCAGATGATCTCAGTGATGAAGCTGGAATATAAAGGTTCTGGTAGTCCTTGAGGTACTATGGACCTCACTTGTTTAGGGCTTTATAAAATTAATGCAAGGACCTTGAACCTGGCTTGGTAATAGATGGGCAGGCAGTGCAGCTGCGTTAAGAGTGGTGTCACTACTACTTCTCCAGATGCCTTCATCAGCAGTCTACGTTCTGCACCAGATGGAGCTTCCAGACCAGATCCAAGGGCGGCCCTTCATAGAGCACATTGCAGTAATCCAGCCTTCAGGTTAAAGCTTAAGATTTATTTAAATAGGTTCCCATCTGCAATATATATTAAGTGCAGTAATATACCTTGTGAGACATCTTTGAGAGAAGAAAAGTCTAAGAAGTAAACCCTGAACAAATTCAGAGTGGAGTGTCTAAGACGGTTGGATGGCATCTTGTACTCCTCTTTCCAGCAACTGTGGCAGCCAAGCTGGTGCCAAATGTATTGCTATGCTTTTGTTTGGAGCACATCAGTGAGACTGAGAGGGGGTCTTGTTGTCTGGACAACCCAAGACCTCTATACAAACTGCCCAGGCTTGCACCCCAGAGAGGTCACTTTGGTGGTGCTGATGACATGGGAGTTCCTGGTCTCTGCAGCACCAACAGGTACTGTGATTCTCTAGCTGTTTGACAAAATCATGGAGAAGAAGGCTGTGGATGACTGCTAGCCACAATGGCTATATTCCACCTCCAATGTTAGGGTCTGTATGCCTCTGAATACCAGTTGCTGGGAGCGACAGGCAGGCAGAGTGCTCTTCTGCTCAGGTTCCCAAGGACATCTCATTGGCTCCTGTGAGAACAGGATGCTGGCCAAGTTGGGCCATTGGCCTGATTCAGTGGGCTGTTCTTATGTTCTCGCATTTTGTGAGTCACTGGTGAGGTGGGCGGGCACAAAAGCCAGTGCCATTTTGGCTATGTCACCACAGTTATGGAACACCCTCCCAAGAAAAGCTGTTAGGATGCTATCAGTGGCTCCCGGCTGGTTGCCCAGGAAAGTACAAAGACAAGGACAAGTTTCTTATAGTCCTTTTGTATTTCAATCTTTACAGAGAGAGGCTATAGGACCCAGCCTCTTGGATAATGGCGTTGCCCCAAGTGAATGTGCATCCCCCCATCTCTCCCACTTCCTTATTCATCATTTTCATCACCTCCTCTACAGGTGCTTCTACGTGCCCTCTGTCTTTGAGCTCTTTGCTCTCCTATTTTTAAGGCTCGCCAGGTTCTGGGAGATGGAGGGCTGGAATGCTTTTGAAGGACAGCGTGTCAGCAAGGTGTTGCTTTGGCTCTCCCATGATTTCCCAACTTTCCCCCTCATCTGTCTCTGAGCTGCGACCTCCCTCAAACCCCTGTTGCAAATCTATACAGTCTTCCTCCTCCTCCTCCCCACTGGAAGGGTCAGGATGGGGAGGCTGTCTCCACCATTCCTCCTCTGCCCAGTCCCTTACAAAAGCCCACTTGCATCAAATGCTGCTCACGATTTGACAAGCAATACATATTTGGTTCTATAGGAAAGATTTGGGGGATAAGTTAAGCCTGGGATGTGGAAGGATATGGCTTGAAGTTATCCATATGTAAAGCAGTATTTCTGATGCGGATGCAGTGTAGATCTTTGATGCTGTGTGTTACATATTTAATATTTGGTGTTCACATTTCCGTAAGCTGTCTTAGAGGTCCCCTTGGGAAAGAGAGGACACAATATTTCAGAACATAAATAAAAAGCATTGCAGTGGTGTTCAACCACCTTAACTCTTCAAGATCTCTATTATTCAGTCAAATAAATTCACCCTTTGTTTTATTACTCATTCCAGAATTAGTTGTTGCTTTGTTTTCAGAAGAACCCTGGACCGCTATTCAAAGGAGATCTCACATAGTTTCTTCTCTCTCCCATTAGGGAGAAGATGCCATTCCACCATGTCACGGCTGGGCTGTTGTACAAGGGGAACTATCTGAACCGGTCACTCTCAGCTGGCAGTGACAGTGAGCAGTTGGCCAACATCTCAGTGGAAGAGTTGGACGGTAAGGATGATTCACCAACAAGTTGAAGAATCATGGCACTCCATTTTTAAAAATTAAATTATTATGACCTTGCAAGTTGTGAATTGAAAGATATGCATGGGATGGGCCAGAAAATGGTTACTTTGGTAGTGTGTCTGAAAATTTAAAATATTCACTTTAAAAAAAAATAATAATTGTGAGATCGCTGGTCACAGGAACTTGATTCCATCTTCCCATGCATCTGTTGAAGTCCAATTGAAGATGGCATAAGGTAACTCCTCCCACGGGCCTTTCTCAGATAAACAATCTGGGAAGCTGCAAGAGAATGCATGTTAGAACAAAAAACCCCAACTCTCTTAATTTCATATATGCACTCATGGGGTCTGAACTTGAGGTGAGAGACCAGAAGCAAATCCTTGGGGTCACAGTAGACATCTCAAAGAAGATGTCAATCCAGTGTGCCATAGCAGTGAAAAAGGCAGATTTCATGCTAAGGATCATTAAGAAAGAAATTGAAAAGAAAGCTGCCAATATCATCATGCCATTACAGTATGGTACTGTCATGGAGTTCTACTCAATATTGATTCAGAGCGGACTCCATTGTATAGTTAGCAGAATAAAACACATTGCAGGATCCCCAAAAATAGACCAGAGGCAATTGTATTTCATCCAGCAGAGCTTTCCTGCTACTGAAGGCAAATGAGCATAATGGTCACAAATCCAATACATTCAGGATTGGCACTGTCCATAAGAAATCCAATTGCAGCAGACTTAACTTAGACTTACAATAACGTATTATAAGTCTAAACCTTAACACTGTACATAATATGTACAGAACACCACAGCAGAAAGAGAAAGTGAAACCCAGGATCCTTCCGGCCTTACTTTTATATTCAGCATGACCTTGACAGAAAGAGATAAGAGAACCAGTTTAAACCAGTTGTACTGAGCTTCTCTGAAGGAATAACCCAAACATCACAAACCTTCTGCTTGTTTCTTTCACACAGAGAAGCTTCCGAAACCCTCTTGAATTAATTAGAATAGGGAAGATCTCTACGTATCAGATCAATACTTTCTGTACTAAAAAATGCAAACTGACAGATACAACCACATTTGGAGAACTTGTGTACAGTTATGGTTGCCTCACCACAAAAAGGATCTTGTAGAGTTGGAAAAGGTTCAGAAAAGGGCCGCAAAAAAATTATCAAGGGGATGGAGCAACTCCCTTACAGAGAAATGTTGCAGAATTTGAGAAAAGGCGAGTAAGAGGCAACATGATAGAAGTTTAGGAAATTATGCATGGCATGAAGAAAGTGGATAGAGAAAGGTTTTTGTCCCTCTCTCATAACACTAGAACTCAGGGACATCCAATGAAGCTGAATGGTGGAAGGTTTAGGACAGATAAAAGTAAGGACTTCTTCATGTAGGCGCAAGTCAATTCTGTGTCCAGGGCAGCTGTTTTCAGCTCCATCTGGTATGCAGGCTGAGACCCTATCTGCCCACTGACTGCCTTGCCAGAGTGGTGCATGCTCTAGTTATCTCCCGCTTGGACTACTGCAATGCGCTCTATGTGGGGCTACCTTTGAAGGTGACCCAGAAACTACAACTAATCCAGAATGCGGCAGCTAGACTGATGACTGGGAGCGTCCGCCAAGACCAAATAACACCGGTCTTCAAAGACCTACACTGGCTCCCAGTATGTTTCCGAGCACAATTCAAAGTGTTGGTGCTGACCTTTAAAGCCCTAAATGGCAGAAGGAATGCGTAATTAAGAGGTAAAGATGGATGATTGTCAGAGAAGCTGAAGGAAGTCCAAAAAGAGAGAATTTGTTTGTTAAAAATTGGATAAAATTGTATATTTGTGTTGTAAAATAATAAAAAAATATTACAAAAAAAAATAATTAAAGCCCTAAATGGCGTCGGTCCAGTATATCTGAAGGAGCGTCTCCACCCCCATCATTCTGCCCAGACACTGAGGTCCAGTGCCTAGGGCCTTCTGGTGGTTCCCTCACTGCGAGAAGCCAAGTTACAGGGAACCCGGCAGAGGGCCTTCTTGGTAGTGGCGCCCACCCTGTGGAACGCCCTCCCATCAGATGTCAAAGAGAAAAACAACTACCAGACTTTTAGAAGACATCTGAAGGCAGCCCTATTTAGGGAAGCTTTTAATGTTTAATAGGTTATTGTATTTTAATGTTCTGTTGGAAGCCACCCAGAGTGGCTGGGGAAACCCAGCCAGATGGGTGGGGTATAAATAAATTATTATTATTACTACTACTATTATTATTAGTAGTAGTAGTAGTAGTAGTAGTAGCACATATTTAAACTATGGGACTCGCTCCCTCAGGAGGCAGTGATGGCCAGCAACTTGGATGGCTTTAAAAGAGGGTTGGACAGATTCATGGAGGAGAAGGCGCTCAATGGCTACTAGCCATAATGGCTATTCTCTACCCCCAAAGTTTGAGGCAGCAATGCTTCTGAATACCAGTTGCTGGAAGCCACAAGAGGGGAAAATGCTGTTGTGCCACGCTCTGCTCCCTGAATTCCCACAGGCATCTGGTTAGCCACAGTGAGAACAACATGCTGAAGCAGATGGGCCTTTGGCCTGACTCAGGGGGCGATGCTTATATTCTGATGCTATTTTCGCAACCAGAGGCAGCCAGGACTCCTTGACCTCCCTAAGATGCATTATTTACTTGTAGCTGCCCAAATGTTGGAGGAGACTCTTGAGAGTCCCATGGACTGCAAGAAGATCCAACCTCTCCGTTCTTAAGGAAATCAGCCCTGAGTGCTCACTGGAAGGATAGATCGTGAAGCTGAGGCTCCAATACTTTGGCCACCTCATGAGAAGAGAAGACGCCCTGGAAAAGACCCTGATGTTGGGAAAGATTGAGGGACAAGGAGAAGGGGCGACAGAGGACGAGATGGTTGGATAGTGTTCTTGAAGCTACCAGCATGAGTTTGACCAAACTGCAGGAGGCAGCGGAAGATAGGAGTGCCTGGCGTGCTCTGGTCCATGGGGTCACGAAGAGTCAGACATGACTAAACGACTAAACAACAACAGCTGTCCAAATAATGCTGAACTCCAGGTCCCATCACCTCCCAGCCTTTGCCCTTGTGAGCTGCAGCTGTTGGGAATTGTAGTTCTGCAACATCTGGATGGCCACAGGTTTCCCTACCCCTGTTTTACACAATTTGTTTATTAGCATTAGACAACAATCCAGTGAGGTGGGACATGAGAGCTGCGCATGACCAGTCCCTTCTTAATTTTTACTTTCAGACAGGGCAGGTGTGTAGATGTGAAGGCAATACTTCAGACCTGACTTCCTCCATTCTGGTTAATCTTACAGAGAGTTTTGGGTATGAATGGGTTCTCTTTAAGGGACACCTCTTCCACCCACCCACTCATATTCTGATGCTCAGTTCAGGGTTCACAGTGGCATGTCCTTCTTCTGAACTTGTAGATGGGCTCAACTCGTAGACCTGGTTATGAACCGAAATGTGTCTTTCTGAATGAGTTTCTGTAGTGGAAAGAGGCATAATGGATGCTCTCTCTGATAGCTGTGTTATAAAAACTGTGAGTGTGAATTCAGCACATTGGTTTCTGCCTTGTCCCCACCCCCACCCCCTGCTTGAGTTGCATGAAGTATCTGTGTACGTGTGTGTTTTTTGTTTTTTGCATAATGTCGCTAGCACTTTTTGCTAATAGTCTGTTTTTCTTCACCTGTTAGACAATCAGTTTCTCATGGGAATTCCCAACACATTTTTTTCGCTAGCACAGTTTTTGTTGCAATCATAGCTTCCTGGTGATGTCCCAGTCTTTCAGCTAAGCTGAAAACATTTGCTTCCTAGGGGCGCTTAAAAATGAGAGGCAGAAAGTTCCATTTGTGTTGAAGATGATTTGGATTCTCTGAGATCTCTATAACAGCATGCATGCTTGTTCCCCTTAATACTGGCTGAAGTAAAACAAAAACTAGAAGGATGATCTCTCTCTTGAACTTTTTAGCAGTAATTTTGTTCTATTTATAACTACCTGAGTTATCTTTCTTGCTAGCAGAGCAGCCCATAAGCTTAAGGGCTCAGCAGGGTCTCTAAGTGCCTTCTCCCATGTCAAATGGTGCCGAGTCTCAAAACCAAACTTCACTGAATGAAACTTTAGCTTAGGGTCCAGTTCAAAGGGTGGTGTACTCTTTCTCAGCAGCCTTCCTTAGTACCAGTAGTGTAGTGCCAGAGTGGGCACACAAGCATGTGCACTGCCCAAGTGGGTACCATCCTAGCCCTTGCCACCACTGCTAGAGCAACCCCACCCATACCAGAGCAAAGCGGGGCCATGCTGAGCTGCCTGCCTGCCTGCCTGCCCACACAGGGGGGGGCACAGCTAGTTGGTGTGGCCCTTGGTGGGTGGAGAGGAACACCAGCTCTACTGGGGACACGTGTGAGCACCTACTTTGTGCCCTCTCAAAAACTGCGTGCCCGGGGCTCACACAACCCACACTACGTCCCTGCCTAGTACTCCCACCTGCCACCACCCCTTAAGCTCATGGAGTATAAGACTATCAATGCCACTGGTGGGAGGCTTTCTTATTTCAACAAGATTCCTCAGTGAAGATTTGCATCTTAGTAGGTATCTGTGTTTGGTTTTGAAAGATTTTTGCATATGCAATTGCGCTCTCTCTCTTTCTGTCATTGTGAAATTGCTTCAAGATGTCATTAATAAAAATTATAAAACTGCCACATCTGCAAGAAGACTAAGAGAGACCCATTCCCCCTGATGTTCCAATTTTCTACGTGATGGAGATTGCTTTGTAAAGATAATAATTCACTCATGAGATCCCCTCCTTACACTCTGAAGAAGTATAGTATGGGCACAAATGGACCCAGCTGAGAGTGAACTAGGGCAGAACTGATCGCTCTTGCCTGGGAACAAATTGCGGCACAGCCAAGGCGCTCAGGCGATCTAGTTGACAAAGGTCAGTCATCTAGGTGATGAGCTGTCTGCTCTAAAGCTGGCTTAAAGATACAGCACACTGCACCCAGGTCACTGAATTGTCCACTGTGGTGAGCTGGGTGTGTTTAAACAGCACATAGCTGCCCCTTTAGCTAAGGTGACTGGTGCAAAGGAACCCAAACCAAACCAAGGACAGGTTCAGGTATTATAAACCTCAAAGTTTGATGTCAAGGCTTCCCAAACCGGTGGCTTTCCTTGGCTCCTTGATGAGCTTAGAAAGTTTCCGTGGGCCTCCACCTAAATCATTCCAAATGTAAACCAAATAAAGTCAAGGAATATCAATATATCATCAACATTTCTTAGTGCTCAAGCGCCACGGCACCATGAAGGAGGGAATAAGGAAGTAAAGCAAGTGTAAATAATGAAACCATAATTTTTACCTTCTCTAATGAGATGGGTGGATCTGATGGGCTTTGACAAGTGTGTGAATACTGGGCTGGAAGTTTGTGAGTTTGTGTCTTAAGTCTAAGAATACCGTTGTATTGTGGAATTGTCGTATTAGATACAGAAGTTCCCTAACGACAAGACAGGTGCACTCTGCACATACCCATGCCAGTTATCTATGAGAATCTTAGTTCCTTATTAATTTTTTTTTGCACTATATCTCATGAACTTCTTTACCAGCCCAGGCCCCTTTTGACCCCTGCACAGTCCCATCAACCATATAGGTTGCCGGATAAGGTCAATGCCCATCTAGTTCAGCATCCTGCTTTAATAGTGGCCAACCCTAGTCTAAAGCTTATAAAGTTATTGTTACTGCTAGTATATGAAGCCCTTAACAACTTAGGGCCAGTCTACTTGTGAAATTGTTTTTCTGTATATATGTCCATTGCTTCGATCTGCAGATATTACACTGTTACAGGTACCAAATAATGTTCATTCTGCATTTGTAAGAAGTTGATATTTTACTGTGGCAGCACCCACATTTTGGAACTCCTTGCCTTTTGACATCAGGCAGGTTTCTTCACTGTACTGTTTTTAGCACCTACTCAAAACATGTCCATTTAGACAAGCCTACTGTGCACATGTGGGACGCGGGTGGCGCTGTTGTCTAAATCACAGAGCCTAGGACTTGCTGATCAGAAGGTCGGCGGTTCGAATCCCTGCAACGGGGTGAGCTCCCATTGCTCAGTCCCTGCTCCTGCCCACCTAGCAGTTCGAAAGCACCTCAAAGTGCAAGAAGATAAATAGGTACTGCTCCGGCGGGAAGGTAAACGGCATTTCCGTGCGCTGCTCTGGTTCGCCAGAAGCAGCTTAGTCATGCTGGTCACATGACCCGGAAGCTGTACCCCGGCTCCCTCGGCCAGTAAAGTGAGATGAGCGCCGCAACACCAGAGTCGGCCACGACTGGACCTAATGGTCAGGGGTCCCTTTACCTTTTACTGTGCACATGTGTTTAAATCTGATTTTAGCCAATCACTGGTTTTAGTTACTATTTGAGTGTGTTAAATAGCTGCTTTAAACTGTTTTATTTATGATTTTATTGATTTATTCTTTTTTGTAAACCGCTTTTACAGTCAAGCAGTACATACATTTTATGAAAAGTTGGCAACCATTGAGCTAGTAACTTGAAACTTGCCATGCATGATCTGACTGATGGCATCCGCAGATATGCCAAATTTCAGGTGCCTCTGATAAAAATTGCCACAAGTATAGGAAGTTTAAGAATGTTGAAAATGTACGTGCTGACCATTTTCACTCATTTTCTTAAACGGGCATTTCGTATACCTCACTCCAATTTTGGTGAGAGCTTACTGATTCACATTATTTATTATTGTCAGGGAAGGCAAGCTTTAATTCATTTTGTGAAGTTCCAAGCAGCGCTTAAAAACCACTCAAGCTTTTATTGCCCATTAAATCCTATGGCACCAACTACCTGCGACATGAGACACTGGATGCCGGTGTTTTGAAACATATTTTTTGGGGGGTGGGGGACTTAATTGTTTGCAGAGTGCACCATCTAGTGGTTGACATGTGCAATACCTATTGCTTGGCTTATGGAATAGAACAGTGTGGTGCAGTGGTTACAGATGAAAGGTTGCTAATGTTTGTTTGTTTGGCCAGTAGGGGCATCTGGGAAATTCAGAACCTGCTGTGGGCTTGGCATGCAAATCCTGCAATGGCACCCACCCACACCAGCCACTCACAGCCCCACACTTTCTAATGACTTGTTAGCGTTCTGTTTCATATGTATATGTCATTCTGTAAACTGGAAATGTTGCACAGCTAATACTTGAAAGCACCCTGAACACCCACTGGTGGCATGAGAGATTATGTAAACAGAGAGGGGAGGTCTTGATTCCTTAGCCAGCCCAGAGAAAGAGAAGAGGCAGCAGAGATTCTGAGAAACAAAGAGAGAGTTTTAGTGCAGGTAATTCTGAGATGGGATCTATTTCTGTGCATTTTGAGGTGATGTTCCTGTGGGAGAGAGGGTGAGATAAATGGTGGAGTGGATTTGTGCTGGTAGAGGAGAGAAGAGGCGATTGAGAGTTCCTTCAACAGGAATTTATTGGGGGGCATTGTGTGTGTGTGTGTGTGTGTGTGTGTGTGTGTGTGGAGTTGTCCTCCGCAGGAATCCTTTTGTGATTAGCCACCCCCGAACACAGCAGTCATTTTCTGGTATTGCCTATGGCAGAATGTGCCCACAGGCCTGAAAAAGGTGGGGGGTTTTTTTAGTCAAATCTGTGGGTTTGGAGAGAGGCATGAAACAGCTGGGGATGGTTGAATAAACTGGGTTTTGTGAATAGCTGGTCAATAGCCAGACCTTGAGACTGAATTATTATTGCTCTTTGGAAATGATCTGGAAGCTTCACCTAGTGCAGAACACAGCTGCCCAACTGTTGACAGGTTCAAGGTCATGGCATGTGGGTGTGTTTTGTACGCAGTTTTAAAAAATGTTAATGTTTTGTGTGTGTTTCTTTTTCTTTTTCTCCATGGTAAAATGTCTTTAAATTTGTGGTGTTAAGAATAGGTCACTTGGAGACGACTTCTTCTTCTTCTTCTTCTTCTTCTTCTTCTTCTTCTTCTTCTTCTCCTGGAGCCATCTTGCAGTGGTGAATTAGTTTTGTTTCCTGGCATAGGTACACCCCATTGTCCATTTGTTACCCTGGCTGCTAGATTTTGGAGGTGACTCCTAAATCCAATGTGTGGCAGCTGTGAAAAGGGAAAATGTCATGCCAGGATTCATTAGGAAAGGAACTGGGGGGGGGGACCCTGCCAATATCATAATGCCATTATACAAATCTATGGTGTGATAGCATTTGGAATACTATGCTCCAGAGCTAATTACTCTCATCACAGATTTAGTCCTAGCAATGCCATTTATTATTTGTAGTAGTGCGAAAGCATTTGGATTTTTATTTGCCTTTCCCCTAAACACATACCTTTTGAAAGAGAACTCTTAAAAAATCAACATACAACGAGGTGATTTTTAATTGATATTAAATTGTGTAACTCAAGAGTAAATTGCCAGGTTGAAACTGACATGCCATCCATAACAGGTGTCTTGGGAGGATTCCTAGGTGCGTTAAGGGTTTCTATTTAAAACTGTGCCATATGGGTAATGATGTCTACGTTTGAGCAAATTAATTCAGGCAGCCGGAACACCACTTCAGCTTAAACGCCTGGCAATTCTTGCACAGCCTCAGACAGGTTTATGCAAACTCCTTTGTCTCGAATGCCCCCCTTTGCTCCTTTTAATATTGCAAATGGCTAAAAATGCAGTTCACAGATTGGAAATATATCTAACGGTGAATGGGATCATCACTGCTGAGTCACCCCTACAGGAGGCATTATAATAATGGGCTATTGTTGGAAAGGATAAAGGAAGGAGGAGAGAGGATAATAAATATATGTTGGGGGGAAATCGCATAATTCCTAGGTGGGCTTTGGGCGAGTTGGGAAGCTGCAGTGATGCATGCAGCCCATTGGGCCAGGATGGGTGGGTGAAAGGCAAAGCCAGGGCTAACAATATTGGTATTTATACAAGCTAATGGTGAAAGTAATTGGATTTCTGTTGCAACAAAGCAGGTCCCAAAGCCATTTCTCAGGAGGTGGAAGCTCAGAGTGTGGAAGCTCAGAGGCAAATATAGCTTGCTCAGGAAGTGTGGAAGCTTAGGGGCAAATATAGCTTGCTCAGGAAGTGTGGAAGCTCAGAGGCAAATATCTTGCTCAGGAAGTGTGGAAGCTCAGAGGCAAACAGCTTGCTCAGGAAGTGTGGAAGCTCAGAGGCAAACAGCTTGCTCAGGAAGTGTGGAAGCTCAGAGGCAAACAGCTTGCTCAGGAAGTGTGGAAGCTCAGAGGCAAATAGCTTACTAAGGGAGTGTGGAAGCTCAGAGGCAAATAGCTTGCTTGGGAAGTGTGGAAGCTCAGAGGCAAATATAGCTTGCTCAGAAAAATGAGTGCAGGCTGCAATTGTATACAGTGGAGGGTGATTCATTAGCACAATTGGGACACTGCCCCCATCAACCTCAGCCCATCTCCAGCCATCCCTCCACTTACCTGTCTTCTTACTTCTGACCAGTACAGACATGGTCATGCCTATACGCTTCCTCCTCCTTTGTGGATCTCCTTCAGTTTGCCCATGCACATCGGTATCAATCACTGTTGCCACCATCTAAGCTCATGGCAATGAAAGAAAGGCCGTGGCCCCTGTTCCAGTCAAGCACAAACACTTTGAAGCCCTTGTAGAACTTAGCAGCAATGAGGATCGGACAAAATTAGCTGGCTCTGCCTGTCATTGGCTCTGCCACCACCTACAGTTGGTATGCCTATCTTCTGCCCCACCAGCCCCAGTGGGCACCACTGGTGGTCAGCAAACTGGGGTTACCAGATGATAGTCTTCCTCACTCTGGCAGTGTGTCCTGAAAACATGTGCTCTGTTTTGTCTTATTCTGGGTGTTAGGGCCTTCCAGAACAGCAGAAAACAAGCTTGCACCATCTTCCATGTGAAAGCCCTTCAGATATTTGAAGATGGCTATCGTGATACTTCTTAGTCTTCTCTTCTCCAGGCTAAACATACCCAACTCCCTCAACCATTTGTCAAAGCCCCCCCTTTATGAATGTTGTTTATCCTGGAGAAGAGAAGGTGATTGAGATTTGAAGTCACCTTCAAATATCTCTAGGACTGGCACATGGAAGATGGAGCAAGCTGAGAGGAGGGCCTGAACTAGTGGAGTCAAATGGCGAGAAAGGATATTTCAACAAAACATTAGGAAGAACTTCCTGGTGGTGAGAGCTGTTCAACAGTGGAATGGACTACCTTGGAAGGTGGTGAACTTTCTTTCACTGGAGATTTTTAAAGAGACGTTGGGTGGGCATCTGTCAGGTATTCTTCAGTTGTGATTCCTGCATTGCAGGAGTTTGATGACCTTTGAAGTCCCTTCCAACTCTACAGTTCTACAACTCTATGATTCTACATCAGGAAGGAAGGAGATGTCAGGGATGAGGGCGGTCACTGCTTCTCTTGTGAGAGTGTTTAAGGGTGAGGGGTTTTTTTTTGCAAAAGTACCTTCGTGGTTATAGGGACTGTGGTGCAGCAAGGCAGGTACATGAATTCGGGCCTCTTCTTGTGCTTTGCTCTAGGATCAAACTAAGAATTCAATCTGTAAGAATTCAATCTCTTATCTTCTCATAGCTGCTCATAGCTTTCCCTTTTGGAAAGTCGATGAGAAGTTTGTCCCTAAAGGAATGGTATTACAGAGTCTGGCTGCTGACGCCAGCTGGCAAGTTACGCAGCAGTGCAGACTGGCTAGGAGAGACATGGAGCATGACGCATTTGAAGCAACCTGGACACCCTTTCTTGCATTTATTAATTCCAACCCAGGGGAACACTAAACTGTCTCTACTTCACCAATCATTTTGGGAAGGATTCTTGGGTTGAACTATAAATCTATATGTGTGAATATGCTTTGTTTATGTACATTGCATAAGGGACGTAGGAAGGTGCCTTATATTGAGTTTAAATCCTGGCCCATCTGTCACAGTATTGGCCACACTGACTGGCAGCAGCTCTCTGGGGTGTCAGTCTAGGTTCTCTCTCAGCCCTAATGGGAGATGTCGGGGATCGAACCTGGAAGCTTCTGCAAGTAAAACAGGCGCTACAGGCCTTCCCCCACAAACTGCATGATTTGTAGACAGCTAGATGTGGAGCACACTAGAGCTGGGTGATATATCGTCCAAAACCAGTTTGAAGTCCAAATCGTTCTATAGGTTTCATTATTTTCGACCTGGGAATATATCACAAATCATGATGTGTGTGTGTGTGTGCATGCGTGTTTGTGTGCTATGCAAAAAATCATGACACAGGGAAAACTGTGAAACCAGCCCATACCTCTACATATTTCACACATCATGATATATCAGTATATCATGATATACTGATTTCACACATCATGATATATCAGTATATTGTGATGCTTAGCTGGTGATATATTGCAATGTTGAAAGCCAGATATCACCTAGCCCTTATGTTCACCTCTACAGTACATAGTTCCATCCTTATTTCAGATGTTGTGATATTTTGGTATATCACAGTGTTTAGCTGGTGATAAATCATGATGTTGAAAAACAGATATTGCTCAGCCCTAGTCATGTCCTTCACTTTCAATGGGTCTACTCTGCAAAAGACTAGCATTAGGTGCAAGTCATTGAATGTGGTCTAAGAACTCTGCAGTTCTTATAGGTTTGTGAGGTTTCCCCCCTTGTTTCCTTAAATGGTGATTACAGAAATGAATAATGCACCGAGGGGAACAAAATGCAGCCATTTTTAAATGTTTTATTTACAAGCTGTGTCCCATCCCCCCCGCTCCCCCAGCCGGGATCATCTGAGCGCTTAACCATGCATCCCCATTCTCATTTTAGCACATCATTGAATATGCATCTGAAAGCTATGATCTGTACCTGTGACTAAGGTCCTATATAATTAGGAGGAAGTGTTTTTTATGTCCCACAGTGATCTCAATAGCAGACCTCTCATAGCAAACTCTTTTCTTTTTATAGTCTTGTGTTATTAAGCTCAGTGTGACTTGACAACACTTTCCTCTGTATTGCTAAAAAGGACTCTGTGCACAGAACCACAGGGTAGGTTTTTGATGCTGAGTCATCCAGAAGGTTTTGGGGTTGTTGTTGTTGGGGGTTTTTTTTAAAAAAATGCAAGTCATTTATTAGTGTTCATGCAATTTTAATGTAGGCCTTTTATTATTATTTTTCTGCATCTCACTTATCACAATACTGCTGTTGGGGGGTGGAGACTCTCAAAATGGACTTTGTGGCAGCAGCTCTGGAAGGGGAACTGGCTTGTTTACATTTTCTGTCTGGGGGGTTTGTTCCCCTCATACCCCCAGGGTGCATATAGGTTGCATCCAAGGCTAGTCCTAATTGGCGCAGACCTGTTGAAAATTCAGTGGGTCTACACAGAGCATGACTTAGTTTAGGGTTGGCATACGTCTGGAATTTCCTGGACAAAGCCCTGTTCTCAGCATCTGGGTGGAAATCACTGAAATGTCTATGAAAACCCAGACATATGGCAGCCCATGTCGGAAGTGTAGAACTTGACGAATTTCATTAAACTGAATTTTTAGATTTTGCATGTCTGGATTTTTGCTTTTTGAAATACGGCAATCCGGACTTGGTTGGATGCAACCCAATGTATCTTGCTTTCATTTGAAAAGCTGTGTGGTCAGAGAGTGGTTCAAAGACAAAGAACCCAATGGAGGCTGGTTCATTAGGGTGAACGGGGCACTGCCCCAACCTACCCACCTTCTTAGGTAAAGGTAAAGGGACCTCTGACCATTAGGTCCAGCCGCAGAAGACTCTAGGGTGGTGGCGCTCATCTCGCTTTATTGGCCGAGGGAGCCAGCGTACAGCTTCCAGGTCATGTGGCCAGCATGACTAAGCCGCTTCTGGCGAACCAGAGCAGCACATGGAAACGCCGTTTACCTTCCCGGCGGAGCGGTACCTATTTATCTACTTGCACTTTGAGGTGCTTTCGAACTGCTAGGTTGGCAGGAGCAGGGACCGAGCAATGGGAGCTCACCCCGTCGTGGAGATTCGAACCACCGACCTTCTGATCAGCAAGCCCTAGGCTCTGTGTTTTAACCCACAGTGCCACCCGTGTCCCTACCCACCTTCTTACTTACAACCAATTCAGGAAGTGGCACTGACTATGAGCTTCCTTCTCCTTATTCTCAGTGTTGCCCTTGGCTGTGCCTGTCCTGGGCTCCACCTCCCTTGTTTTCCCTGCTTTCTACCTTACTAGTCCCACTGGGCACCAACCATGACTGAAAGTGGCACCTGGACAGTAAACTGAGTAGGCACACAGCTCAACTGCTCACAGTCTTTCTCGCTATGGTGAGAGATATATTGGGGAAGTATCTGACAATACAGTGGTACCTCGGGTTAAGTACTTAATTCATTCCGGAGGTCGTTCTTAACCTGAAACTGTTCTTAACCTGAAGCACCACTTTAGCTAATGGGGCCTCCCGCTGCCGCCACACTGCCAGTGTGCAATTTCTGTTCTCATCCAGAAGCAAAGTTCTTAACCCGAGGTACTATTTCTGGGTTAGCGGAGTCTGTAACCTGAAGTGTATGTAACCTGAGGTACCACTGTATAGATCTGCTAGTGCAAGAGAGTGACAATGAGGGGAAGCTGATGAAACTGTAGACCTGTGGGGCAGAATGAACTATAATAAACTGCATGAAAGAAGGGAAGAAGGGGACCAGTGGCTCAGCAGAGCTTGAAATGCATATTCCATGGTTTGTTTGTTTTTTGGGGGGGAAGAGGTGGCCCCTCTGGTCCAGTGTCCTCACATCCTTCCAAGACATTCTTGAAGTTACTTCAATGCCTTAATTGGCTTTCATATCCCACCCCCCTTTTCTGATTCAGTTAGCATTAACTTAAACAAATTACATGTTTTAACTAACTACTAAGTTTGGTACTCCTTTTTTAAAATCAATTTTGCATGGTCTTCAGTCACTGTTAATAGGGTTAGAGAGTTGCTGCAGTTAAGCTCATGTCAAGTTTATTTCTGGCATAAAAAGTATGAATGAATTTTGGGGCAGGATTGTATGCCTTCCTCACGGGCTGATACAGTTTACAATTAGGGTTGCCACATGTCCTCTTTTTCGAGAACACATCCTCTTTTTCAGGGGTAAAATTTCTGTCCGAGTGGATTTTTTAAATTTGCCAAAATGTCTCTGACTATACTTTCTGGATGAGATATTGACATAACTGGTGGATGAAGACTTGCTTTCCTCTTCTCTTCTCCTGCCCAGCTCAGCAATATATCACAGCTTCTATAGCCTACAAAGTAAAGGTAAAGGGACCCCTGACAGTTAAGTTCATTCGCGAACATCTCTGGGGTTGTGGCGCTCATCTCGCTTTACAGGCCAAGGAAGCCAGCATTTGTCCGCTCTGCAGACAGTTTTTCCAGGTCATGTGGCCAGCATGACTAAGCCGCTTCTGGCGCAATGCAACACCGACACCTGAGCAGCACACGGAAACACCATTTACCTTCCCGCCAGAGCAGTACCTGTTTATCTACTTGCACTTTTTGGTGTGCTTTCGAACTGCTAGGTTGGCAGGAGCAGAGACCGAGCAACGGGAGCTTACCCCATCACAAGGATTCGAACTGCCAACCTTTTGATCGGCAAGCCCAAGGCTCAGTGGTTATAGTAGGGGTATTTAAAATGAGAGTCGTCATAGCATCCAATTTTTTGCTTTTCAAAACATGGCAGCCCTATCTTATACATGGGGGCGCCTTATACATGGAAAAGTACAGTATAAGGAATAAAGTGGTATCTCGAGCAATCTGGTCTTGGGCTGTTTATATCCTTATATATGAGCAGTAACACTCTGAACCTGACTCAGTAGCAAATTGGCAGCCAGTGAGCATCCTGTAAGTAAAGTACTATATGATGGCAGTAGTAGTCACAAGCAAACTAACCACTATGTCCTGCACCAACTAAGCACATTACAGTAATCCAGCCTTGAGGTTGTCAGTGCATGGACAACTGCAACATTAGCAGCAAATATCTTCCCAATGTAGAATGGGTTACTTGGTATTCAACTTGTGGCTGAAGACTTGCTTTCCCTCCTCTCTTCTCCTGTCTCGCTCAGCAATATATTACAGCCTCTATAGCCCACATATAGTAGAGGTGTTTAAAATGAGAGTTGTCAGAGCATCCTCCTTTTTGCTTTTCAAAATATGCCAACCCGAATCTATGTCTGTTATGAGCATTGAAGTCTGCCTTGCTTGATCTGATGGAGGCTATTTTTTCCCTACCTTCACTGTCAGAGGTGGTATGCCTCTATTACCAGTTCCTGGGGTGTTCATTGCCCTTTTGGTCCTGTCTGTGTGTTTTTCTTGAACATCTGGTCACCACCATTAGAGCAGAATACTAGACCTGAGGTGTTTTTGGCCTGATCTAGCAAGGCTTTGCTTGTGTTCTTGAAAGGTAACAACAGAGAATTGCATTGCGTGCTAGACATCTAGGTTTCTTAGTTGAACAAAAGTTGAGCAGTATGTTTCGGCATTTAATACATTAATAGAAATAGATCATGAAAAGTGTTGGTTTTACTTTACACTGTGTGTTAGGCTGCGTTTGGAGGACAGTGATTAATTTTAGGGTCACAAAGTAAAATGATCTTGCATCGTTACAGAGGGGGGGAAATGTAAGGAAATTGCTTATTGCTATATTTAATACCTGAGTACATTTTAACTAAGACACATATAGATATAAATAGATATAGATATTAATTTCATTCCAAAGTTCACCCTTGTCAGATTTGTCAGACACAGCATTGAACTGGCCACTAGTTTAATTCAGATGAATGAGCAAGGCATTTTGCTATGGCCATAAACATCAATTAATTACCTCTCCTGTCTTAATTAGGACGGGCTTTTATTTCTAAGTGTAGCTTGCAAGCAGGATTGAGACATGGAGATTGCTAAATCAATACAAATATCAATTAGACTCAACTTTGTGGTCCAATTAACTTCATAATGCCTCTAAACGAAGTGTGAAAACTGAACTGCTGCATTAGCACCCTTCTGCCATAGACATAGGCCAAGAACTCTGGCCTCCTGTTCTTCATATCTCCATCACAACAAACACTGTGATGAAGAATCTGCTGCGGCCTGTTCAGATGGATTTCTTTTAAGACAGCAATTGTGGATCTGTAGCCCTCCAAATATTGTTGGTTTACATCTTGCATCTCACCACGGATCAGGTTGGATGGAGCTGATGGGAACTGAAGTGCAACAGCTGTAAATCCTCCAACCAAATTTTATGCAGATGTTTGGAACCACTCCCCTCCCCTTAAGATTGAGGTGTAAATTAAAAAGTTAATTATAAGTTGATGCGTTGACCTAATGCTGAAGGTTCATATCACAATATATCACCCTTTATAAAATGCATTGAGAGAGCAATACTTGGAATGTATTTTGGGGAAAGATGGGGAAAAGTCTGACCACAAGTCTGAAGGAGGCACATTTTTTAGCTACAGTCAGTGCTTTTTTTCTTTAAAAAATGTTTAGGGGTACTCTCATTTTCCTACTCATATTGAAATACTGCTCCTCAATGAGGCCAAACTTAGATTCACAAAATGTTTAGGGGTATGCGTACCCCTGTGTCCCCCAGAGGAAAAAACCACACACACTGGCTACAGGTACTGCTGGAAGGAGGAAATCCTTGAAAAATGGGTTCTGCATTCTGAATTTAAAGTTATATGCTTTAATTCATTCAGGTTTCACTTATTTTTGTTCAGATCTGCGCAAATTCGTTTCATTTCGTTTGAATATTGCATTTTAATGTTTGTTAACTCCGCATTCTACACACCTGCAGTTCAGGGAGGCAGGAAAAAATAAGCTTGAAAGACTGTGATGAGGAAAGAGGAGCAGTGCCGTGTATTCCAATGTCGTTGAGGCTTAGAACATGGATGTTTCCTCAGGCTGACAAAATTTGATTTGATTTAAGGGGAGACATAGGACAGCCCCTGTAAGAACATGAAAAGAGCCCTGTCTAGCTCAACATCCTGTTCTTACAGTAGCCAACCTGATGTCTATGAGAAGCCCACAAACAGGACCTCAGCACAGTAGTGCTTCCCCACCCCCGTGATTCCCAGTGACAGGTATTCAGATGCATATTACCTCCAGCAGGGTTCCTGTTGGCATGAGTTTGACAGCAGAGCTTTTTAAACCAGTGCTGGACTATCACCTTTCAAGGATGCTGTTGTGACACCCTGCCTTTAGCAGAGTTCATCCTCCGGTCTTTTCAAACTCTACAATTCTGATCCCCAGGAACTGGCATTCAGAGGCATAATGCCTCCAACAGGTGAGGTTGAACGGAGCCTGTACCTTTAGTGATCCCTGTAGCTGCTTGTTTTAGAAGCTATTATTTGACTGCAGGCAGGGGGGGTGTGTCTTGTGGACTTTCTTAATGTCCTCTCTAGTCCCTGCCCCCAATTTGAGCCATGCTCCATATACTGGGGCCGCCTTCTAAGTCCACTGTTGATCCTTCCCCCTCTAAGCTGAAGATGAGAGCGCTATCCTACTTTTTGTGTGTGTGGCAGAGGGTGTGATTCACTCATTGGAATAGAACCCATTTGTACTGTTCCTGAATTCTCTGAAGATATTTTTAGATGCCACCAGTCAAAAATATTATTCCCTTAACAGCCTGTTTACAAGGCTTGTGTACTGCTGCTTTTTTGCTTGTTTAACTGCTTAATTGCTGGGTTTGGGCTGCGATTCGTGGAAGTAGGGCAGCAACTCAACCGAGCTGCTGAAGTGCAATGCAGTTGCATCTGAAAGTGAGCAGATCTCAGTAAGGTCATTCCCACTGTGTTTTCAAGGTTGTTGCAGGGTGTGTGGGGAGACGAGCTGAAAGCTGCGGCAAACTATGAACACAGAACACCTTAGCTGGATTACCAGATGGAGCTGGTTGACAGCCGTTCCTCACAGAGGGAAGCATTCACCACCCCACAGAGTCCATTGCTCAGCACATGCTCTACCACTGAACTATGGCTCTTCCTCGGTTTTTGGGAATCTCAAGTGGGGCAGTGCTGTTGCCCTCATATCCTTGAAATCACCTCATCCCTTACATACCCAATTGATCACTGCAGATACCACTTGATCAGGTGGTCCATCCTGTACAACAGAGGAACATGGGACTTGCAGTGTGATGGCGCCTGCCCTTGGGAATTCCCTTCTGTTAAATATTAGACAGGTGCCATCTCTGTTGTCTTTTTGGCACCTACTGAAGATCTTCCTCTTACGACAAGCCTTTTAAAGTAGAGAACTTCCCCAGCCTGTATCTGTGTTGGAATTGTCTTCAGGTGTTCTCCTGATGTCTGTTGATCTCAAGATCCAACCAGCTTCAGCCCATGCCATGCCAATGCAGCCATTGGATTCCAATTGAGGTTCAGATTTGCTCAGAAGCAATTCAGTGGAACCAGGAGTGAAGCTTACCCAGCAAAAGCTGCACACAGCTCATTGTAACTGAACAGTCAGTTTGTTAATGAACAAAGCCTAATGGCATTATTAAACAGTATGAAATGGAATTACGAAGAGTTATAGAATTCACAGGAAGGGAAACAAAGTTACACATTATGAAATTTAAAGCAGCTTAAAGCAATTGGGTATAATGTGCGAATGGAACTAATAAATAGCATTGGCAAAGCAATCAATCAGAGTAAATGGCATCATCTCCTCCTAACAACTTCCAGACCATCTAATAGTAAAACAGTTCTACGTTCCCTTTCATATTAGATCAATAAAATTCACAATTGCCAGTTTGGGGAAGCCTAGTATTCTTCTGCTTGAGCAAAGCACGTGAAGTTTTTTACCATTACTTTCATCACCTGTGTGGGCAGATCCACCTAATGCTTAGACTATGAATTACCACCGGGAGGGGGGGAGTGAGCAACTGGGACCCCTGCTGTACCAGTGGCTCTCCATGCAGAGCCCTTTAACACACTGCTTTGCCAAAGCATGATATGCTTTTGCCTTTGTTTAGGTTTAATGCCCAGAGCGGCTACATAAAAAGCAAGATGTGGGAGTTTGAGGCGGGGAGAGGTCCCAGGAAATGGATGAGCGGAAGAGAACAGAGCCTAGGAGCAGCACAAGTAAAACTGGGGTGGCTACACTTAGATCCAGAGGGGAAATAGAATCATAGAACCGTAGATTTGGAAGGGATCCCGAGGATCATCTAGTCCAACCCCTTGCAATGCAGGAATATGCACTGTCCCATATGGGGATTTGAACCTGCAACCTCGGCATTATCATCAGCACGCTCTAAAATAAATTGATTCTTTGGGGTGACCCTCAAGTAAGGGAACATTGTAGAATTGCATGGTCAGGTGAAGGGAACTACTAGATGATGATTATTATGATTATTATCATTATTATAATATTTCTATACTACCCTTCATCCGAGGATCACAGGGCAGTTTACAATCTAAAAACACATATACATAGTATAGCAACAAACAAAAACAATACCCTTCTCCCAGTTTCAAAGGCCATAGATTGTTTATTTAGCCAAAGGAGAAGAGGAATGCTTTCACTTGATGCCTAAAGATATTCAGTGAAGGTGCCAAGCACGCCACCCTGGGGTGAGCATTTCACAAGTGGGGAGCCACCACAGAAAAGACTCACTCTCATTGTTGCCACCCTCAGATGATGATCACAGGGTCCAGGTTGGATCATGGGGGGAGAGGTGGTCCTTGAGGTTTTATGGTCCTGAGCCATTTAAGGTTTTATGGGTCAAAACCAAGTGGATGTAGGAAAGCCCTACACCTTGGAAATTAAAATAGAAATGGGGTCCTGTGATGAGAAGGGGATTTCCAGGCCGTGGCAGTAAGGGTCCCACAAAGAAATCTCTGGGGTCACTTGGTGTTCTGAGGGTCGTAGGAAGCTGAGGAAGGAGACAGGTGACAATTCATTCTGCCTCAAATTCCAATCTGAATGCTAGTTTAACTAGAAGAATTTCCAAAATTAATTCCAAAATTGATGTAGAGATTTCTATGCCTTTCAGTCCCTTTTATTCTTTTATTCTTTTTTGCACCATTTCCATCTTACTGATGTTCTAATTATGAAACACTGCCAGGGAAACAAAGCAATCAGGACGTGATTGTATGTGTGATTGTATCGATATTCCTTCCGGGTGTCATTTTGCCTGAGAGCATTTTGCGAGAGCGCATGTGAGCATCAGTTAAAGACTGCACAAACCCAACCTTGATGAGATTGTATGCTTTCACCAGACACTCAGCCATGCTTGCCTCTTCACCTGTTACAGAGTAAAGGGCCCTTGTGTACCCAGTTTCAGTGCACTGGTAAGTCAAACACAAAATGACGTCCATAGTGGAATTGTGTTTAATCATTGTTTGCAGGGCTGTCAATCTTTTAATAGGTACTTGCTGGTTTGGTATGTGTAAGGCTGCAGGAAATGGCAGCTGGTTCCCTTCAGCTATGTTTTAATACAAAGGGTACTCCGGTTGCTAAGAGACCAGTACTTCAGGTTTGGACATATTCATACATACTGGATCGCTTATCTTGGTGAATTGGATGTTGACAGGACCGACGTCAGAAATAATAGTTGGGGGCAGGACAGAGATAACGAGTGGGAGCTGCAACAAAATGTTACTGTGTACAGGATTTCAGGCACAATCTTCCATTTCCACCTGGTTTTCTATTCTCAAACAAACAGCTAGCATTCCAAAACCAGTGAACATGCTCAGACTCACTTCGCTGTTTTAAACATACTTCTGCAAACCATTGTGATTTCTCAAGCCGGCTGATACCTTCCTCTTGTCTTCAGGGATGATAAGTAGCGGCCTGAGCATTGGAAATAATGGAACTCAGGTTACCTGATCTCCCGTTTCTAGAAGGAGGAAGAATAATCTTTTTCAAATATATGTGCACTCTGCTGTTTCAGTGTGAGCGTTTCTGTTCCTTAGTGGATTGGAGGTGGAGGTGGTGGTTTAATTTGTGCTGTGCTTAGAGTCCTCAACCATGCTATTTTCCTAATTAAAACAGGATAAGGCAGGCAAGCGATTATACATTCCTTGTTGTACAACAGTGGAAATGTCTCTTATCAGGGGTGCAGGGGAAATCACAGAAGGGCTGCAGCTCAGTGGCCGAGCAGCTGCTTCTCAAGCAGAAGGTCCCGGGTTCAATCCCTCACATCTCCAGGTAGGGCTGGTAGAGAGACACCTGCCTGAAAACCTGCCAGTCCATGTACATAATACTGAGATAGATGGACTTAATGGTCTGATTTGGTAGAGGAAGAAGAAGAGGAGGAGGAGAAGGAAGAGGAGTTTGGACTTGATAGCCCGCCTTTCACTTCCCTTAAGGAGTCTCAAAGTAGCTAACAATCTCCTTTCCCTTACTCCTCCACAACAAACACTCTGTGAGGTGAGTGAGGCTGAGAGACTTCAGAGAGAAGTGTGACTAGCCCAAGTTCACCCAGCAGCTACATGTGGAGGAGCAGGGAAGCGAACCTGGTTCACCAGATTACGAGTCCACCTCTCTTAACCACTACACCACACTGGCGTAGATAAGGCAGCTTCCTGTGTTCTTACAGTATTTGAGGGGCCTGGGGGTCCTAAAGTTTCTGTGCACTGCCATTCAAATGGTGTGCTTGCATTGCATCATGGAATCGATTATGCAGGGTGGGGCTTACCTGCCCGCCCCCCCCAAATATTCAGGTTGGCACCCCTGTCTGTTGTCCTTTTAGCTGGGTGTTCACAGGACAACATATCAGCACCCAGAAAATGAGCATGTTGTTGTTGTTTAATCATTTAGTCGTGTCCGACTCTTCGTGACCCCATGGACCAGAGCATGCCAGGCACTTCTGTCTTCCACTGCCTCCCGCAGTTTGGTCAGACTCATGTTTGTAGCTTCGAGAACACTGTCCAACCATCTCGTCCTCTGTCGTCCCCTTCTCCTTGTGCCCTCCATCTTTCGCAAGAAAATAAGCATAGGCATGAGCAAACCTGTCATTTTTTTGTTTCTCTCAGTTTCTCATTTTTCTCCAATCTAAAATTCAGTTCTCCACATTCCACATCAGTTTGTGCATATTAGAAAAAAATGCATTTTTTTTTTAAAAAAAAGCATGTGAGGAGAAATTCACACTAACATGCTGGTGAATTTTCGGGTGGAAATGCTGAGAACTGAATTTAAGATTTGGAAAACGAGAAACTCAGAGAAACAACAATTGACAGATTTCCCTGTTCCTTTGTTTGAGCCAAGAACTGCACCGGAACATTTGGAAAGGCAAAAACTGAGTAGATCACTAAAATCAATCTGCGTGCAAGTTTGAGTGGTGCGGATGGAGCCAGTTTGTATCTAGCAGTGTGGCAGAAAGCAATTCTTTCTCAGCAATTTCATTTGGAATCAGGACTCATTAAATTCTTTGGAAAAGATCTGTCAGGCGAGTGCCAACCTTAAGGTTTCAGAGCCTGGTTTTGCTGCTGTTTCTCAGCATTGAGAGAGGAGTCCAAGAAAGATGTTAGACAGATGGGCAGTGCTGCCTAACCCAGAAAAACATTGTAAATAATACATAGTGTTTTCTTCCAGTTTTATGTCTCTCCCCACCCTTGCCACCAGCCATAGTTACAGTTATAGCTGCTGGAGAGAAACTGGTCATGTGAAGTGATACTTTTACTGCCTCCTCACAAAATTCATTCTGTGGAAATGACAGAAAGCGTGCAATGCTTTCATGGGGACTGCTGTGCTGTCTGTAGTGTTTATGCTGAATGGTAGTGCCTCTCCAAGATTTGAGATAGGGTTCTTTCCCAGCCCTACCTGAAAATTCTGGGGATTGAACCTTGGACCTGCTGCATGCAAACAGATGTTCAACCACCGAACTACCTCCCTTCCTAATTGTCTCTGCTTGCCAAGAGCAATTCTCTATCCCTGGTAAATCATTGCACTTGTGAATGCCCTGATTTTATTTTACAGTGGTACCTTGGTTCTCAAATTTAATCCGTTCCGGAAGTCCGTTCCAAAACCAAAGCGTTCCAAAACCAAGGTGTGCTTTCCCATAGAAGGTAATGCAAAATGGATTATTCCGTTCCAGACTTTTAAAAATGACCCCTAAAACAGCAATTTAACATGAATTTTACTATCCAATGAGAGCATTGATGCATAAAATGAAAGCAATAAACGATGTACTGAAGTCACACAATCAATAATTCAGTAGCTGAACTGGGTTCCACATAGTCACAAAAACAAAACAAAAAGAGCCGCAGAAACAAAAACGCAAAATAAATAGCAAAAACAGTGTAACACTACAAACGGAGCACATTCGGCTTCTGAAAAAGATTCTCACACTGGAACATTTACTTCCAGTTTTGCAGTGTATGGGTTCCAAGTTGTCTGAGTACCAAGGCGTTTGAGAACCAAGGTACCACTGTATTTTATTTTCACCTCTATTACACCTTTATATGTTAGTGTGGATTTCGCTTTGTCATTCTTTAGGCTCCAGATTCTTCCCCAGAGAGCACCCACAAGTTAAATCCCTTGCCTATGGCACAAGGAGGCGAAATCTCTCGGGTCATACCCTGAGACTTGGCAGCATTAACACATCAGAAAAAAAGAGATGCTTTTGTTTGGGCCAGCAGAGTCCCTAGTTTACCAGAAACATTGGACTGAGTCTCTAGGTTCTGTTTTGAAGCCTAAACTCCGTCACGAAGAGCATGTACTGCCAGACTCCTTCAAAAGCTGCAGCCGTGACTCAACCCAAGCCCACTCTCTGCTCTAAACATGATATTGAGCCCTGGTAGGAAATCATCAAAGCCCTCGCAGGCTGTGGAGCTAAACAGGAGCTAAACAGGAGCTTCCCTATGGGCATTTTGAAAATCCGAGATCCTTCTCAAACAAGCCAGAACAGTGCTAAATCATTGACACACACAGCCAATAATCACAACCAGATTGCAAGGTAATTGTTCCCCATAAGCAGTTTTAATGAGTGAAGACAGAGCTCCAGAACTCCACTGATTTGAATTTTCCATTATTGTTTGGCTTCCCTTGAAAATGCTCAAGGAACCTCGAGTTGCTTTTTCAAGGCATGGTAGCTTTCAAATCGACATTGCTTGGGGAAGCAATGGAGGACGGAATAGGCTTCCCTTGCAACATGACGATGGCCCAAGGCTACGATGTGTGTCATAAGTCTCAAGGCATCACCTGGTGCAGGCATGAAATGCCAGGTAGAAATGGATGAGGAGGGGAAAGAGGAGGATGAAATGGGGGGGGGACAGTTAACAGAGCCCAGAGGAAGTGAGTACTTCCTAAACCCTTCTCCTTAGTCTTTGAAAACCTGGGGAGCAGGGAAATAAGTCTTTACTTGGCACCAAGAGATATCAAAGAATGTGCCAGGTGGACCTCACTGGGTTGAGCATTCCACAGAGGGGGAGCTGCAACTGAAAAGACCCTCTCTCGTCTCTAAGCCCCCCTCAGTGGATGGGCTGGGGGCTAGAGAAAGGTCTCTGAAGACCCAGGTATGTTCACATCGAGAAGAATTCCAGAATAATAATAATAACAATTTTTTATTTATACCCCGCCCTCCCCAGCCAAGGCCGGGCTCAGAGCGGCTTACAAGCAATAATAAAAACAAGATGAATGATTACAACTTAAAAACAAAAATAAAATACAACATTAAAATAATGGAACATTAAAATATTAAAATGTAGCCTCATCGCAGGAGGAGAAGGAAAAGAAAAAAGAAAGAGAGGGAGGGAGGGAATCAAATTGGCTCCAAGCCAAAGGCCAGGTGGAACAACTCTGTCTTACAGGCCCTGCGGAAAGAAATCAGATCCTGCAGGGCCCTGGTCTCATGAGGCAGAGCGTTCCACCAGGCCGGAGCCAGAGTTGAAAAGGCCCTGGCTCTGGTTGAAGCCAATCTAACTTCCTTAGGGCCTGGGACCACTAGGGTGTTGTTATTTATGGACCTTGAGGCTCTCCGTGGGGCATACCAGGAGAGGCGGTCCCGTAGGTACGAGGGTCCTAGGCCGTGAAGGGCTTTAAAGGTCAAAAGCAGCACCTTAAATCTGACCCTGTACTCCACCAGGAGCCAGTGCAGCTTGAAAAGCACTGGGTGAATATGCTCCCATGGCAGAGACCCCGTGAGGAGCCTCGCTGCAGCATTCTGTACCCGCTGGAGTTTCTGGGACAGCTTCAAGGGCAGCCCCGCGTAGAGCGAATTACAGTAGTCAAGCCTGGAGATGACCGTCGCATGGATCACTGTGGCCAGGTTGAGGCTGGAAAGGTAAGGGACCAACTGCTTGATGCGGCGAAGGTGGAAAAATGTCGCCTTGGCTGTTGCTGTAACTTGCGCCTCCATGGAAAGGGAGGCATCAAGGATTACACCCAAACTCTTAACGGAAGGCAATGGCACTAATTGGGCCCCCGCAAGAGAAGGGAGTTGGTCCCTCATCCCCATGCCATCCCGACCCAGCCATAGGACCTCTGTCTTCGAAGGATTTAGTTTCAATCGGCTCCCACGAAACCATCCAGCCACAGCTTCCAAGCATCTGGTCAGTGTGTTCGGGGCCAAGTCGGTGTGGCCATCCATCAGCAGATAGAGCTGAGTGTCATCAGCATATTGGTGACAGCCCAGCCCAAAGCTCCGGATAATCTGGGCAAGGGGCGCATAAAGATGTTAAAAAGCATCGGGGAGAGAATTGCGCCCTGCGGCACTCCACACACCAAGGAGTGGCGCGACGACATTTCCCTCCCTAGTGCCACCCTCTGTCCCCGACCAGAGATAAAAGAGCACAACCAGTTACGGGCTATGCCCTGTATCCCCACGTCTGCGAGGCGGTGGTCCAGAAGATCATGATCGACCATGTCAAAGGCTGCTGACAAATCTAAAAGGATCAGCAGTCCTGACCCGCCTCGATCCAGTTGTCTACGGAGATCATCTGTTAGGGCAACCAGAGCCGTCTCCGTCCCAAAACCAGGACAGAAACGGGACTGAAATGGATCTAATGCCGATGTTTCCTCCAGAAACCTACCAAGCTGTTCAGCAACCGCTCTCTCAATTACCTTACCCAGGCATGGAAGATTTGAAACTGGGCGGTAATTGGATAGGTCTAAGGGATCTAATGAAGTTTTCTTTAGAGTGGACACACTACTGCTTCCTTCAGTTCCCCTGGGAATGTCCCGTGTCAAGGGACAAATTGATAATTTCAACCAGGGAGTCCGCGCAACATCTGGACACTCCCTAATCAGCCAAGACGGGCACGGATCAAGGAGGCAGGTGGTGGGCCTACCAACTTGGAGGAATCTATCCACATCAGTAGGGAGTATCCGATCAAAATGGTCCAACACTGGACCTGAAGTCAGTCGAGGGGCCTCCAGTTCAGTCACTGTATCTAAATTGGCAGGGAGGTCACAGCGGAGCAACAGGACTTTCTCCACCAAAAAGCTCGCGAATGCCTCACAGCTGTGGGTTGAATTTGTGCTTAAATTTGGTTGTCCTCCTAAGGACGTTATTGACCTAATTATTCTAAAAAGTTGTGCCGGGCGAGAGCTAGCGGATGCAATGGAAGCTGCAAAGTAAGATTTCTTAGCAGCTTTCATAGCCATCTCATAGGCTTTCATAAGCGTCCTATAAGATGTTCTTGAGGCTCCGTCACGAGTCCGTCGCCATACTCGCTCTAGCCGTCTGAGATCCCGCTTCATTTTCCGGAGCTGCTCAGTAAACCAAGGGGCCCAGTTTTGAGGGGGTCGCAGAGGGCGCTTAGGCGCGATCTCAGAAGAGATTATGTTATCACTATCAAGGGAAACCCTTCTCAGTTTGCAGTTTGGAGGGTAGATGTAAGAAGACCGGGGGTTTTAGTGGTGCTCTCATACCAGCTATGCAATAGTTTTCTAGGGATGTTTGCATGGCAACTGACTAGGACTTGTTTGTCTCTACCTTTAAAGAGCATGATGCTTTTAATTCCCTTGTTTGGTGGTCATAGTCCCTGTCTTTGCTTGCTGTTTTTTGCTCCCTTGACTAGTACAACTGAATTTATTAATTTCAGTCCAGACCAATTCCAGCTTACATACAATATCAGGGAAGTCATAAAACACAATAGGGATACATTTTAATTTGCAATTGGATATAACAGGGACAATACAGATACAGCAGCAGTTAAAAATATATCAGTTAAATCTTAATCACTAAAATATAACCTAAAATTGTCGTTTAAGGCCTTTGACTAGTATTATGCTTTGTTCTGTTGGTCATTTTGTATTTGAGTTTTATACTGGGTTGGGTTTTTAACTTTCTTTGTGGATCTGGGGTGGGTGAGTATTATGGTGATAGGTTTCCTTTTTGTATGATGCCTTCAGAACTTGTTTAATGAGGAACTGAACAAATATAAGTAACAAAAAAAAAAGATTGGGGGGAAATGTGGGAGGGTGTTTTGATTCATTCATACACAACTAAGCCATTGAACACATTTGTGTGTTCAAGCTAATAATATTTGGACAATTAGGGAGCAGGCCTTGAACCCAACCTACTGTACTAACTTCACCTTCAAGTTCTTGGAACTGAAAGCTTGCTTTAAACGTGTTTGGTCTCTCTCACCCAGTGAAACCTTTTCCATCTTGATCTTGAGGACTCGCTCAAGAGATGGAATAGTGCCACTGTTCCGAGCTAAGAACTTAACCAAGGGAGCGTATGGGTTTGACTCCCACGGGAAATATGGCTCTGTTGAATTGCATCTCGTTGTTCCATTGCATCTGCGTGTTCTGCCACAGAGTTGCCAATCTCCTTTCCTAGAGAGAGAGAGAAGAGACTGCGAAGCAATCTGTTTTATTAGTCTTATATATCAAAGATGGTGGATTTATTTTGACAACTTATGTGTTTAGTGTACCTCCTCCTTCTATGGCCTTGAGCACATGCTTAACTTCCAGATTGACTCTGCTTACCAAACATGCTGCCGTTCTCTTGGACTTCCTGATTTGTAGCAAGCATTTGAGATGAGTTTCTGTTGTGGTTATGAACAACTTTTAAGCATTTCCCAATCTGGTACTATCTGGATGCTTTGGGCTATAGCTACCATCACTGTCAGTCAGCATGGCCAGTCATCAGGGACAATCAACCCACTCTCTCATCATTGAGAAAAACTTCCTTCATTTGGCTCCCTGAAGGCTGCTGGTGTTCACTATTTGTAACCAGCTGCTGGCTTGAAAGTATTGTTATAATTATTATTACCCACCCCTCACCGCAACGATAATTCAAAATTAAAAACAGTTAAAACAGAGTACAGTCACAGGAATTGAGTGGTCACTGAAACCACACATCTCAGGTGTCAAAGAGGTGTGTCTTGAGAATTTGCCAAAAGTTGTATACAGTGGTACCTCGGGTTACATACGCTTCAGGTTACAGAAATAGTGCTTCAGGTTAAGAACTTTGCTTCAGGATGAGAACAGAAATCGTGCTCCTGCGGTGTGGCAGCAGCAGGAGGCCCCATTAGCTAAGTGGTGCTTCAGGTTAAGAACAGTTTCAGGTTAAGAACAGACCTCCAGAACGAATTAAGTACTTAACCCAAGGTACCACTGTAGTAAAGAAATCAAAAACACCTTTGTGGGAAGGTTATTTCAGAACTTGGGGACTGCCACAGGAAATGCTGTCTTCTTGGCCAACACCACCGGAACGTCTGAGGGAAGTGGACCAACAAAGAGGACCCCTTCTTCTAATCTCCACCCCTGGGAATCCCCTTGCCTTATTTTTGATTCAGAAAGTAATCCTAAAGGAATTCAGTGCACAATATTTCTCTCCCTTCACTGCAGAAATCCGCGAAGCTTTCCGAGTACTGGATCGTGATGGCAATGGCTTCATTTCCAAACAAGAGCTGGGGATGGCGATGCGCTCCTTGGGATACATGCCTAGCGAGGTGGAACTGGCAATTATCATGCAGCGCCTTGACATGGATGGTGAGTCCTCTTTGCTTTCATCATGGTTTTATGTCATGGGGGGAGGGGAGGGCTGTAGAGCCTTTGCATTCTTCACATCATTTCCATGCAGAAAGTCCCAGGTACCATCTTCTGGTGCAGATGAGAAAGACCACTGTTTGAAACCCTGGAGAGCTAGATGGACCAAAGGTCTGGCTTGATCTAGGTTCTCCATCATTTGTGGAGAGGGTATCTGGTTGAAGGAATTCTGGGGTGGATAGCAAGGGAAGCAACTGGCTTTGGGGAAACAACCAAGCTTAGGAAATCCATGAGTGAAGTGAGATGAGAATTAGCATAACATGATTTTCTCCATGATGCTTATGTCTGTTCAAACTTCTAGAAACAATGCCTGAAGCTGCTCAAACTTTTATCATGCTTACAATGAAACTCTTCATATCTAGGATTAAACTATTGATTCCAGTTTACTTAATCTGGTGTCCTTTCTACATAGTATGTTTGTCCTCTAGTTCCTCTCTGCATATACCGTGTTCAGTATATGAAGCTTCACAAATGTTCACAGAGGACGTAACCTCCATCTGCCCAAAATTTAGCAGTCCATTCCATACAATGGAATACTCCCCTAATATCAAGTGTATGTAGAAGCAAAGGAGAAAAAATGCTGAAAGCAGTGGTGGCTGGTGCCCATTAGAAGTGGTTGGGCAGAAGACAGAGAGGCCAACGATAGGTGGAACCAGAGCCAGTGACAGGTGGAGAGAACCAACGATGGTCAGAGTCAAAACATTCTAGTTTTTTCCCCATCCTCCTCCCTGTTGAGTTTTCCCAGGGGCAGCGCTGAGACTAAGGAGGATGGAGTAGACAGCCAGGACCACCCCCAGATGGATTATAAGTAAGACGGCAGGCAGGTGGGCTTGGAAGAAAGATGACTGAAGTTGGTGGGACAGCTCCCCATTTGCCTTTATGAACCAGTCTCCACTGGCTGAGAAATCTCTGACCAGATATTTCACTTCTTTCATTTTCTTGCTTAGTCTATGTAGATGTGGAGGTCTCAGTCTATCATGGGAGCTAGGCTGGTGAAGGAGGAATGGAATGAGTTATAATAAATTACACTCTGAAGAAATCCACTGGAATAATTGGACCTAAGTTAGTCTTGTCCATTAATTTCAATAGGTCACCTCTTGAGTAGGAATAACATTGATAAAGGGGGGGGGAGCATAGGGTTGCAGACATTTTTTCAACCTAAATTTTGCTAAATAGTGGTAATTATAGGATCTTTTGATTATGAGTGCCACAATATATTGGTGCATTTATTTCCCACTGAATTGGAGCGGGCAGGGGGCAGGAGCAGGAATTCAGACCAAAGCAGCTATTTTCTATTGCAAAACATTTGCGTCCATCCATTCGGCAAACAGGAAAAGCTAATGGGGGTGCAGATGGTTCGATGCATGCTGTAGGTGACAAACATACCAATCCATGCTGATTACTCTGTGCTCATTTCCAAGTACAACTCATTCGTTTTTGACAAACAGTTTCCACTGGCCTCAGGTGTTGCTTGGTAGGTTCATACATCTGCTTAGCTATGGTGCTTTAGGTTTTGTAATGGAATTGGAAGTTTCATAACAGAATTGCCTTTCATCTCCCTTTGGTTCTGCAGTATGATGTATGAGCTCTCCTTCAGGTTGGGTTAGATGACTGGGACTAATTTTATATTAACTGTACTGACTATTCCACCATGTCCAGGCTCAAATCAAGGTGCTGGTTTCACTTGTTCATTGATATATGTCATCCTTCAGCCATCTGTTTCCCAGGAAGGTTTGCAAGGAGATAATTTTATTTTCTTTCTTTAACATGTTTATTACCTGCCCTTCTCCATGCAGTCCTGGGATGGGGCACATACAGAATCAACATAACAGATTAAAATTCAAAACTGAACAACCATCAGACGAAATAGATCTGCCGAGGGGAGGGTCATTTTTAAAAATCTTCCTTTCATTTTCCACCATCAAAGGCCTGAGCAAAAAGGTATAGTAGTTGACCCAGCAACTGGAGGCTTGCAATGTCTTGAGACGGGTAACCTTGAAGAAGGCAGCATTCAGCAAACTGGAAGCCATCACATGCAATGTCACCTCAATCAAAATTGCCCCTTGCACACCACAGGGCAGTGATACTGCTAAGAGGGTCTCCCTTGCAGATCTTTACATCTGAACAGCTCTGTGTGGGTGGAGCTGCTCCTTCAGATATCTGGAGCACAAGTCATTCAGTCCATGCATCCATCCATCCATCTCTTTGGTATGGACAGTGACCAGTATTCAAAAAATAAACATTGTCCAAATATATAAAACCACACCAAACAAAATAGAGCACCATGAGAAACTGATTGCTGCTTCCAGTAGCATCTTAGAGACCAACTAAGTTAGTTATTGGTATGAGCTTTCGTGTGTGGCGCTGTGGGTTAAACCACAAAGCCTAGAACTTGCCGATCAGAAGGTCGGCGGTTCGAATCCCCACGACGGGGTGAGCTACCATTGCTCGGTCCCTGCTCCTGCCAACCTAGCAGTTCGAAAGCACATCAAAATGCAAGTAGATAAATAGGTACCGCTCCGGTGGGAAGGTAAACGGCGTTTCCGTGCACTGCTCTGGTTCGCCAGAAGCGGCTTAGTCATGCTGGCCACATGACCCAGAAGCTGTATGCCGGCTCCCTTGGCCAATAAAGCGAGATGAGAGCCGCAACCCCAGAGTTGGTCATGACTGGACCTAATGGTCAGGGATCCCTTTACCTTTACCTTTAAGGTGCTATTGGAAGGAATTTTTTAATTTTTTTATTTTGTTTCGACTACGGCCGACCAACATGGCTACCTACCTGTAACTGATTGCTTCTAACTGCCTTATGCTATAGCAACACCTGGCATTGATGGTAAAAATAAAAAGTTTTCTGAAATTAATTCATAGAATCATAGAATTGCAGCACTGGGGGCCCAAGGATCATCCAGTTCAAACTTCTGCAATGCTGTTGTACATGTTCATCCAAACATAAAATAAAAAAATACAAAATAATACATGTACAACAAAAGGATAACAGAGTTTTTTCACTATGATTGCATGTGGTTCCATTGTTGTTTAAATGAAAATTAACCAATAAAGATGAATGAAAACAACAAGAAACTTCTGCAATGCAAGAATCACAACTAAAGAATTCCTGACAGATCACCATCCAACCTCTGTTTAGAAAATATTAGTGACTGAGAGTCCACTGCCTTTCAAGAGAGTCCGTTCCACTGTTGAACAACTCTCACCATCAGAAAGCTATTCCTCATGTTTCATATTGTTCAAATGCCTCCTGTGAAATATTTGGAATTCTTAGTAACATTTCAGCTTTAAGTGGGAATATTGTAAGACCCAGAGAACAATAGCCAGGTATTTATAAATAAAACAATTCTCCAAAGAAATATTACTACTCTTCAATGCCAATGCTAATACTTTTCCCAGGAATAGTGAATGAAACAAACCAAATTAAGAGAGAGAGAGAGAGAGAGAGAGAGAGAGAGATTTTAATTCAATTATATTGTTTTTCTTCATTTCTTTCTGTATGTTAAATAAGTATATGTTCTTGCTTAAATAAGTAAAAAATATATTCAACGTATATAACATCATTAAACAAAAAATGTGTAAACATTATACTATATGCTTGCCTAGGATTATTGAATATTTCATTGAGATATTATCCTCATACTCCTCTCAAGGAAAAACAGAATAAACACCACTTCCATGAAACGTAATTTATAATGACTTTGAGTTTGTATTCTAATGTGATTAATCATTAATTATGAGAAGCAGATGTTGCAGACATGCAGCTGAATAAAACTGGCCACTGAGTCCACCAGGAATTTAAAGTGAAAATCCATAGTGCCTCATGTTTGCATAATATTGCATAATATTACAGAGACATATGGATCTGTTCTATAGTCTAAAAAAGAAGGATGTTACTCAGAAGGGTGTTTACATTCTACAAATGTAAAATCAATGGAACTTCTGAAGTGTTAGCAGGCAACTGCACATTCCTCTCTTGCAGTTTCCAGCAACTAATATTCAGTAGCATGTCACCTCTGAGAGTGGAGGGAGAACATAGCCATCATTAACTAGTAGCTGTTGATGATCTTATCTCCCACGATGCAGAAAAAACTGGGCCAATCCTTGCTCAATCCTGGCTCAGAGAGCCAGTGTGGTGTAGTGGTTAAGAGCGGTAGTCTTGTAATCTGGGGAACCGGGTTCGCGTCTCCGCTCCTCCACATGCAGCTGCTGGGTGACCTTGGGCTAGTCACACTTCTCTGAAGTCTCTCAGCCTCACTCACCTCACAGAGTGTTTGTTGTGGGGGAGGAAGGGAAAGGAGAATGTTAGCTGCTTTGAGACTCCTTCGGGTAGTGATAAAGCGGGATATCAAATCCAAACTCTTCTTCTTCTTCTTCTCTAGGACAGGATTTCCCAAACTTGGGTCTCCAGCTGTTTTGGAACTACAACTCCCATCATCCCTAGCTAGCAGGACCAGTGGTCAGGGATGATGGGAATTGTGGTCCAAAAGCAGCTGGAGACTCAAGTTTGGTTAAACAGTGCCCTAGCCCACGCATGGAGGGTGGGAAGGGGTCCTTTGAAAAATAAAGGCCCTGCCCCAAGCCAAAACCAATGCACAAATAAGGAACCGGGAAGTAATTGTTCAGGCTGCAAATTGATTTGGAGTGGGTCGGCATCTACCTTAATTCATTTAACTTTATTTGTGGCATATCTCTCACATTCTCTTTTTATCATTGCATTTTCAAGTGATCTGCCACTGTGTAAATTGTCTTTTACTGCGTTGTCGCTTTACATGACACACAGTTGCTGGTAATCCAAAGTGTCGTGTGACTGATAGAATCTGACTTGATGTCCCTGCGCAGAAAGGAGGAAGGTGTCCTTCCTATCTTTCTGAAAGAGATGCTTTGAAAGATAGGAGGCTCTGCTCTTCTGCAGATCTACTGCCCCTCTGTCCAGACCAGGTCACAAATAAAACTGAGTTGAGAGCTTAGTTTTTGTGCATTATACTTGAAACGCAGGGCATAGCTTTTGGAATGAGGGTGGCCAACATTTCTGCATCCCCTGGAAGGGCCTTGAAATGTCCTCCCTCCACTGTGTCTGTGACTGTTGTTTTTCATGTAGAAATGTTCAGTCATGTGAGCCCTCCCCTAAAATCTGAAGCAGGGGTGAGAAACCTGGCCTACAGAGCCATTTGGGGAATCCATGCCCACCCAGCCTTTTCAGTTCCAAAACTGGGCTGCACTCCTGAGCAAGTCCATGGCCGGATTTAGGTTTGATGAGGCCCTAAGCTACTGGAGGTAATGGGGCCCTTTATATGTCCAGCTGTCCTTTGTCAACAACAAATTGTTGCTGTTTTTTTGTGTTGAATATATGCTATATGGTAATTTATGGACCTAATAGGTCCATACAAAACACAAAACACTTTTGCTATATGTAGGTTTTATTTGATTTGTTTTTTTATCTTATATTTTGGAAATATACATCCAGTTTTTTCCCCTTTAAATGTTTTGGGAGACCTCAAGAGAGTGGGGCCCTAAACTATAGCTTGTTTAGCTTATACGTAAATCCGGCAGTGGGCAAGGTACATGACCTTCACCACAATCTTACCCTGAAAGAGCGCTTGGGGGGGGGGACAAGAGCACAGCGTGAGTGCATGTGAGAGCGCAGCACCCAAAATGGCTGCTGCCATCTTGTGCGAAAAAAATGTGGATGCCCCACTTTTTCTGGGATACTTGGTGGATGTGCAACTGGTGTCATGCATGACCAAATCTAATAGTGAAGGGAGACGGGTGGTACCACCCCAGCTGTCAACCCTGTGACAACTTGACAGGTGGCTTGTTCCACACACCTGTCCAAGTTGGACCATGGGGTAGGGGGGATGAGGAGGCCAGATAAAGATTTGGTTGCTGCAGCCAAAAAAATTCCTCAGCCCTGGTCTTACATAAAGTGACTAACTATGTAGTAATGGGTAACGGTTATTATGGGATGCAGTTATTATGGGATGCAGCCAAGACTCCACCTTTCATTTACTTTCATTTTCCTAGGCAGTTGTGTGTGGCGCTATTTATCGTTTTTAAAAAATCTCTTTTTGCTGGGTCTTCAAAAGTGAGTCACCCTACCTTATATTAGTAATGCCATAAGGTGAAAAAGAGGATCTCTTTAACAAATTGAAATTCTTTTCCCCTCACCACTAGTAGAATGAAAAGGATTCACCAACACAGATAGAACTAGGCCTAATAAGGCTTGCACCGGAACAGTCATAAACTTGCATAAACTACTTGCATAGCCTTGCATAAACTACTGCCCTCAGTTACAGGTCCAAGTTGTTATAACCCTCAGCTGATGCCCTCTTTGGATTTTAGAACTATCCCAATTATGTACATATTATCCACTCCATATCACTTTGTGACACATTGTATCCTTCTGTCGGATCCTAGTTTGGACAAGACTGTGATTTTGCTTTCCTTCAGCAACAATAACCCCCATAACGGCGTGTTATGTAATAGCTGGAAACACTGAAAACAGCTGCAGAGCTCATTTGCAACCTTTGCCGCCTGTTACACGATTTTGTGGCATATTAAATTGCTTACGGTTTATGGGTTGTGTGTGGTCCAAACTCCTTAATGCCCTGCTGCTCCTTGTGGCATTTTGATCTGTCGCTGACCACACAGAACCAACATGGGGGGAGCAGGGGGAAAGCACTGGCAAAAGTTGGCATTGCTGGTTGATTTTATTAATTTACCTTCCACAAGTGTATGATGGAAACTAAAAATTAGGGTGAAAAACAAAAATTAGTTAAAAATGAACTCCTTTGCAAGTACAGTGGTACCTCGGGTTACATACGCTTTAGGTTATATACGCTTCAGGTTCCAGACTCCGCTAACCCAGAAATAGTGCTTCAGGTTAAGAACTTTGCTTCAGGTTGAGAACAGAAATCATGCTCTGACGACGTGGCGGCAGCGGGAGGCCCCATTAGCTGAAGTGGTGCTTCAGCTTAAGAACAGTTTCAGGTTAAGAATGGACCTCTGGAACGAATTAAGTACTTAACCCGAGGTACCACTGTATATAATGCTACTTTTTTCTCTGTCTGTTGAAACATATTGAGATGATTATTTAAACAGTTGATCTCAACTGATATTAGTTTTGCAGCTATAGCAGACCAGGGGCTGCCCCTCTCTGCTTGCCAAGTCCTTGCTGTTCCCACCCACCCACATCAATTCCCTGGATTAATGCATTGATCCTTCCTGTTCCCACTCCATGCAACTACTAACCTCACTATTGAATTTCCCAATCCCATTTCCGATGTAATTTTGCTCTTCCATTCTGCAACTGTCCTTTGAACCCATTTTCACCTTCACTCCCATGCCCATGATTTCCCCTTCTTTCTTTGGACTACCCCTCTGCAGACAAACCATTATAACCTCCTGCATTTTCCTGGTCCCACACATTGCAGTTTGATACAAGCTTAAATAAAGCAGTTGTGGAAGGATGGGGTGAGGTGGGGGACACTGGAAGGTGTCAGTTTAAAACAAAGTTTTGTATACTGAGAAGGGAATTGGGAGACGTTCTATTACATCAGCGTTTTGGTGTTAGCTTCTGTGTAGGTTTGCCATGTTTTGAAGAGCCAAAAAAGAGGACACATTTGCTAACTTCTGCTTTTCACTATGGATCGCTATGACTACCCATAAAAGAGAGGACATGTCCTGGAAAAAGAGGACATGTGGCAACCCTATGTGGTTTCCCCCTCAGTGTTCCTCCATCTCAAACCTCTGTCATTATTTGGAGCACCATTTTTTTTATCTCTGTGTTCTTCCATGGGTTGTTAAGAGCTACAATTTTTAAACCACTCTGGGAATTGTAGCTCTGTGAGGGGACTAGGGGGGTGGGAATCTACTGTTCCCAGGATTGTTTGGAGGAAGTTATGATCACTGTGGTGGTATAAGAGTGCTTTAAATATATGGTGTGGATGTGGCCCTTTTACTGGATTAGAATAATAGAATCATGGAATTGTAGAGTTGGAAGGGGCCACAAATGCCATCCAGGCCAACCCCCCCTGTAATGCAGAAATCTTTCACCCCATGTGGGCCTCAAACCAGCGACCCTGAGATCAAGAGTCTCATGCTCTACCAAGTGAGCTATCCCAGTACAGTGGTACTTTGGGTTAAGAACTTAATTCATTCTGTAGGTCCGTTCTTAACCTGAAACTGTTCTTAACCTGAGGTACCACTTTAGCTAATGGGGCCTCCACTGCCGCCGCACAATTTCTGTTCTCATCCTGAAGCAAACTTCTTAACCTGAGGTACTATTTCTGAGTTAGCGGAGTCTGTAACCTGAAGTGTCTGTAACCCGAGGTACCACTGTAGTCCGATGAGTTTTCACCACTTCTTAGTTTAAATACATTTTTAATGGGCTGTTGATTTATTGCTGCATTGCTTTATTGATTTTTTTCCCTGATTAGCTTTACCTGCTGTCTGCTTTTAATTTGTATATATTGTGTTTGGGTTTTATATGATGATTTATCATTAATTTACTGTATCTACGAACTGACATTCTTGGAGCAGCTTGCAATATATTTCAATTTCGGATGCAACTAAATAGATGAGAGTGTGATGAATGGAGCAAAAGCATCTGCAAGTCCCCCCCCCCTTAGGTGTTCCATATGCTAACTCCACTTCTGAATCTGGGGACCAAGGCAGGCCTCTAAGGAAACAGCAGCTGTAGAGATCCAATGTTGGCCTCTCACATAGTGGGCCTGCTTCAGCAAACTCTCCAAGTGTCCCTATTTTCTACGGACAGTCCTGGATTTACAGATGCCATCCTGGTTTCTGATTTGATCCCAGAATGTCCCACTTTTCCTTAGAACATTCCTATTTTTATCAGATATATATTGAAGGGTATGTGACCCCCTAGCCAAGGAGATAAATACCACATTTTTCCATGTATAAGACGTTCCATGTATAAGATGTTTTTTCTTTAAAAAATTTAGGCAAAAATTGGGGGGTTGTCAGTGAATGCAGAGGGGGGCGGTTGGGTAGTCGGGCGATTGGCAGTGGCAAGCAGACGGGCAGGTGAGCAATTGGCGGTGGTAACCCCCCCCCAAAAGAAACTCAAGGGTGATCTCTTCCCCAAAAAACTCAACAACTCAATAAATATTGATTTCTTTAATTTTAGGTCCCAAAAAATAGGGGCCGTCTTATACATGGGGGCATCTTATCCACTGAAAAATACAGCTGTCAGCTGTCAGCAGAGAAGGAATGGTGGAGAACACCTCCCCAGCCTGACCCTTCCTGAGAAGAGGAAGACAGTTCAGAATTACAATAGGGGTTTGAGGGAGGTCACAGCTCAAAGGCAGATGAGGGGGAAAGCTGGGAAACAATGGGAGAGGGGGAGGTAGAGGAAGCACCAGGAGGGCGACAGCTGAAGGACACAGTGTCTTTAGAAAGCATTCCAGACCCCCCCCCCCCCAGCGAGCCTTGAAAGTAGGAGAGCAAAGAGCTCAGAGACGGAGGGCCCTCAACAGCACCCATGTGATGACAATGATGAATGAGGAAGTGGGGGAAAGGAGGGGGTGGAGAGTCACTCGGGACAATGCCATTATCCAAGAGGCTGGGTTCCAAGCCTCCCTCTGTAAATATTGAATTAAAAAAAGCAGATGGTAAGAAACTTTCCCTTGTCTTTGTACATTCCTGGCAACCAGCTGTGAGAGATGCTTTCAGCCACCTGACAGCAGCCCTGTACAGTGGTACCTCGAGTTAAAAGACACTTCAGGTTACAGACGCTTCAGGTTACAGACTCCGCTAACCCAGAAATAGTACCTCAGGTTAAGAACTTTGCTTCAGGATAAGAACAGAAATCGCGCGGCAGCGGTACAGCAACAGCGGGAGGCCCCATTAGCTAAAGTGGTCCCTCAGGTTAACAACAGTTTCAGGTTAAGAATGGATCTCCAGAAGGAATTAAGTTCTTAACCCGAGGTACAACTGTATAGGGAAGTTTTTAAAAATGTTTAATGTTTTTATATGTGTTGGAAGCTGCCCAGAGTATCTGGGTATGTCTTCAGCTGTGGCCATAGGTGAACTGGAGAACTTGCTTCCACAAGTGACAATGATGGCCACCACCTTGGATGGCTTTAAAAGAAGATTAGACCAATACATGGATGAGATGACTATCAATGCTCTACTACCACAGCTGGAGGCAGCAGGGCTTCTGAATACCAGTTGCTGGAAGCCACAGGAAGGGAGAGTCTTCTTGTGTTGGAATCCAACTTACTGGTTTCCCACTGACGTGTGGTTGGCCACTGTGAAAACAGGATGCTGGATTAGATCGGCCATTGGCCTGATCCAGCAGGATCTACTGATGTTCTCATGTAGCTGATATCTGTGACAATCTTGGCTCCTAGTGACAGATGCAAAGAAGCTACTAGGGAAGCAAACCACCAACAGACCTCATGTTTCTCCTGCCATCATTAATTAATTCTTCCCCCTGTTCTTAGTTCATATCTGCACCATTACTTTCCCCCAGATATCCTGGGAAACAGCAGTTTGTCCCAATAGAGCTACTATTCCCAACACTCTGAAAACGAGTACAGTTCCCAGAAGTCTTTGTGGGGGAGCTATCTGCTTTAGAACAAGCTGGGAAACCTCAGTTGGTAGAGCATGAAACTCTTAATCTAAAGGTCGTGGGTTTGAGCCCCATGTTGGGCAAACGATTCCTTCATTTCGGGGGGGGGGGTTGACCTTTGTGGTCACTTCCAACTCTACAATTCTATGCTTCTAAGTATGGTGTGGGTAGGGTCTTAGCTCCCCTGGCTGCAATTTGCAGAAAGATGTGTTATAAATTTGTGCCACAAATTAATAAAAAAAATCTCTTAGCGTGGTATTGTTAATAAAAACTTGTTGTTGTTGTCTGCCTTTCTTTCCAGGGGATGGTCAAGTTGATTTTGATGAATTCATGACAATCCTTGGACCAAAACTGGTGTCATCAGAAGGACGGGATGGTTTTCTGGGGAATACAATTGACAGCATATTCTGGCAGGTTGGTGGCAAAGTTGTGCTCAAAACGAGAAGATGTGAGCATTTCTGAGAAGTTATCTTTCTTTTCCTGATCCCCATTTCCCAATGTGGTTTTGTTACATGTTGAAGAACATTTTAGTGGAAGGATGTTAAAAGTGAGAGCTGTTTTTCAGCAGTGAGGGGCTGTAGGCTGCTGCTAAATGCAGCAGGGAACTCTAAAACAAATACTGGGGAATTTTATGAAAAGGGCAATGAAGATTTTGAGTGGAGTTAAATTCAGGCTCGTCTGTGCTAACTTCCTTGTGGTGCTGTTTGTCTTCATAGGTGTCTAGGGGGAAACCCCTGAGATGATGTCAAGTGATATATAGTAGGGGTGGAATCCAACATAGCCCTAAGGTTGCATTCATATAGCAGTTTATTCTGTTTCTTTATATGCCAGGCAAAAACATGTCTTTTTTCATTAGGTCTTTGGCTTTTAATTATCTATAGCCTCCTCAGATGGCTGAGACGTTCTAACCCTGCTTTTTAAAAATAGGATTGTCTTTTAGATTTGCATTTTTTTAATGCTGGTTTTCATGTGTGAATGTTTATATATTGTCATTTTAAGTTATTTTGGTAAAAACACTGCCAATAAGTTTAATAAATAAGTAATAAGCAATGTCAGAGAGTAAGTAAACCTACATACCCTTTTAAAGCTTGCCACATGCCCTACAGCAATATCTAAACTGTTTATTTTCCAGCATACAGTGGAGCCTCGGTTGTCAAACGTAATCCGTTCCGAAAGACCATTTGACTTCTAAAACGTTTGGCAACCGAGGTGCAATGGGTGGTCGGCAAAGTCCATTGAGAAAATAGAGAACCACGGTTCAGAAGCCGTTCAACTTCCAAGGCACATTTGAAAATGGAAACATTCACTTCCAGGTTTTTGGCATTCGGGTTCTGAATCATTCAGCTTCCGAGACGCTCAAAAATGTTGAGCTTCTGCAGCCATGAGCTCTCTGTGACAGTGCTGCTTACATGCCTACTCTTATTTGGTCCACAGTCAAAAACCTCTTACCTTCATGAAGTTCTTCCCAATGTTCAACTGGAATCTCCTGACAGTAAGAGCTGTTCGACAGTGGAATTTGCTGCCAAGGAGTGTGGTGGAGTCTCCTTCTTTGGAGGTCTTTAAGCAGAGGCTTGACAACCATATGTCAGGAGTGCTCTGATGGTGTTTCCTGCTTGGCAGAGGGTTGGACTCGATGGCCCTTGTGGTCTCTTCCAACTCTATGATTCTATGATTCTATGACTCCTTTCTTTTTAGCAATAAAACTGCTAGCAGATTTGCAAAGCTAAGCAGGGTCCATCCGGTATGATTTCAAATTGAGTGGGGGGGCTGTGTGTTGAGATTCCTGCATTGTCCCTTCCAACTCTACAGTTCTACGATTCTAAGGGACGCGGGTGGCAATGTGGTCTAAACCACTGAGCCTCTTGGGCTTGCCGATCGGAAGGTCGGCGGTTCAAATCCTCACAATGGAGTGAGCTCCCGTTGCTCTGTCCCAGCTCCTGCCTACCTAGCAGTTCAAAAGCAAGCCAGTGCAAGTAGATAAATAAGTACTGCTGTGGCAGGAAGGTAAATGTTTTTTCCGTGTGCTCTGGTTTCTGTCACGGTGCCTCATTTTGCCAGAAGCGGTTCTGTCATGCTGGCCACATGACCTGGAAAGCTGTCTATGGAAAAACATTGGCTCCCTCGGCCTGAAAGTGAGATGAGCGCCACAACCCCATAGTCGCCTTTGACTGGACTTAACAGTCCAGGGGTCCTTTAACTTTACCTTCTATGATTCTATGAATCCATTGGTTTGGATCCTCCCCTCTAGAGCAGCAGAAAACAGGTCTGCTCCATTTTCCATGTGACAGCCCTTCAGATATTTGAAGAAGGGTATCAAATCACACACAAACCCCAGTCTTTTCCACGCTAAACATCCCCAGCTCCCTCCATAATTTATTATGTGGTTTGGTTTCCAGCTTTGATCTATGATTAGATCTTACCAATTTCACCAAGATCTGTATCAGCGCCATGCAGAAGAGTGAGGATGGCAGGCATCTCTCTCTTGTTCCTCTTCATTAGTAAAATTGAAGCCTGTTAGTGCGCACAAGTGCATTAGCTGGGGACTGCATTTGCAAAATAATGCGCATAAAGTGCTGCCCTGGTCTGGTAATTGTCACCTTGGGGTAAAGCCCAGTTGAGTAGCTGTTACAATTAGATTTGTCACCTTACCAAATAAAATGTAATTGCAAGAGCCCAGCGGCTAGGCTTTCCTGTACAAGACTGAATTGCATGGGGAGGAAAATCCTGTTAGTGAGGAGAGTTCTGAGGACCTGTGGGCATCTAGCCATGATGGCTATGCTGTGACTCCACAGTCAGAGGCAGCAAAATTTCTGGGTACCACTTTCTGGAAAACACAGGAGGGGAGATTGCTCTTGTGCCCAGGCCATTGGCCTAATCCAGCAGGCTCTTCTTATCTTCTTATAACATACTGGTCAGGATGCTAAACAGGAACCCTGTTATCTCTTTGCAAGAAGGTACACCAGGCTCCATCAGATACCGCTAGGCCCAAGGCTACCCAGTAGTTAAACTATGTAATGATATAAGAGCTTCCACACACTATTTATGAAAACAGGTATAGGTGGTGTGAGAACATATAGCCGCTTTGAGGATGCTGGATTAGATTGGCCTTTCACCTGATCCAGCAGGGCTCTTTATATGTTCTCTATTTAAAGAATGATGGGCTTTTTTATGTTTTACCATATTGGCCCGAATATAAGCCACACTTTTTTTTTTCCAAATTCCGACCATGAAAAGTTAAAAGTGTGGGTTAGATTTATGACCTTACGCTGCTGGCAAAGCAGCGTGGCTCCCCCCCCCCCCATAAGCAGCCTGGGAGCACAGGGCATTGTCGCAACACCCGCCCGCCACTCCCAAGCCTCTGCTGAGCCACCGGAAAGAAGGGGAAGGCCGCTGGCAAAGCATTGGGGTCCCCCCCCCAAGGGTACCAGGTATTGCCTTTTCTCTCCCCTTAATGCAGCTTATTTGCGGGTACGGCTTATATTCGGGCCAATATGGTATTTGCAAATCTTTGTCATACAAGAGCACTTAAAACCAAACACACACACACAAACACATTTTTTTCTTTTTTTATTTCAGGATTTTTACATACATTATTTCCTTCCAGTTTTTAAATTTCCCATACAATTTTTCCTTCCCCTCCCTTCCCACCCACCCCCATATCCGTTGGAAGGGTTCAAACAACTATCCTCAGCCACAGGATAGCGTCTTTAGTTTCCACCGAATGTGTTTTGTTCCAGTAGTTTCTATCCATTTAAGATAGAAGTTCCATCTGTTCCTTATCGTGATGGACTTCTTTTTTTATTTGAGTAGGGAGATCAAATACAAGTTAAGTGGTTTCTAGCTATATAGGTACAAAAGAATATGGAAAAATTGGTTTTTAATATGTAAAATCTAACGTTACAATATATCAGGACTAAGGATTAGGATTAAAAAGGAGGGAAAGGAATTGTTGGATTAACAAATTTAATTGGAATACAAAAGAGGGAGGTATGAGGAGGTCCGGGAAACAAGTAAACGTAAAAGAAGTGAGGAAAAGATGGAATTGTTTTTAACTGTTTTTTCTTTTTTTTTCTATTTTGTATTTTTCCTTTTCATTGTTATTTTTTTTTTACTAATGTGATCTTTTTTTCCCCCTTTGAAACTTCAATAAATATTATTTTTTAAAAAAACACAAATTTGATCTCTGCAGAGGGGACAGTGCTCCAAAAAATGAAGCATTTCCTCCTCTGCAGAGACCTAAGGTTCATCCTGTAACTGACAGTCATGCTTCCAGTACCAATCAGCTGATTGGTGGTTGTGGCAACCCCCTTTGCATGTTGGCAGGTGTCAGTCCCCTGGAATCATGGCAGCAGGTGATGGACAAGTGGGTGGGACTGTGGAGGTGGCCGGATCCAGTTCCTCACTTCTGATGTGTATTGGCACACCCACCCACACGATTTCCCCAGCCAAAATACAAAAGGAAATTATCCATTATATTCAACTTCTATAATAACCTTCTCCGTCTGAAATGTTTGTGGATCAAAATGAATTGATCTTGTTTCTAGAGGCAAAATAAATAGCACACTATGGGAAGCAATAATGTGAAGTGCCAGCAGAAGCAAGATCATTAATTATATGCCCTCGGTTGCATTTGGCCTATAAAAGGAGCATCTTTGCTCAGCTATTTTTATTTTCGAGCTGATTTAAATGTTATTTCAAAGCTGTGTAAATCTCCGTCTTCAGAATGGAAAGTGAACCAAAGTGGGCATTTTTCTGCTGCTGCTGCTAAAATTTCTGAGAAGTTGCCCATCGCCTCTTTTTAATCAAATTCAAACCCGCAAAAGATTGAGTTGTTATGTGGTGTGAGTAGCCCATTTTGAAAAAGGGGAGGATGGCTGACCACACAGGCAAGTGGACCATTTGTTCCCACTAGGGCTGAGTGCCTGATTTGACCAAATCTTCAAATGAATTGGGCCAATTCCGGGAAAATCCAGGCTTTCCCTGAGTCAACTGTAGATAGCCCTGAATTGCCTTGGGCTATCTAGAGTGACCTGAACCGGTCAAGCGATGGTGGTCAGGCAGAGTCAGGCATCCTCTCCTCCCCCAATAGCCTCAGAGGCAAGAAGAACAAACAATTTGTATGGTATGGCTTTTTATCCAATCATCTGGTTGCAAGACAAAGGATCCATGTCTCCATGCATAGGAGATGTTGGCTACTCTGAGTCCCTCCTCTTCCATCTCCCACAACATCCTGGAAGCCTACAGGAAGTCACAGGAGTCACATCCCTCTGCATTCTCTGGGTTTTCTTCCCCTTTTCTTTTTTATTGGTTTCCACATATTACATTACAATACAGATGTACCAAAGCCAACACCATTTCTTCCCCATCCCCCCATACATTTACATTTCCTCAATCCATCATATTATTCTTTCCTCCTTCCTCCCACTTCCCTCTGCCCCCACTCGATTTCCTCCACATTATACAATTTACAATAATCTTTGCATTCTACAATCTTCTCAAATCATCTGTATATTCTTATTATCGTTCCTTACTAATTTTTATTCTGTCCAGTACTTCACATTTTAATCTAGGCATATTAGCGTATCTTTTTTTGAGCAATATTTTGCCATATATTCATCAAAACATTTCCACTCCCTCTGCATTCTCTGTTTGTGAATGCGGAGGGACCTTCTAGCCCTTGAACTGGGAGGGTTTTCCATACTCTCCAGGGAGGTCCCTGTTGTCTCCTCTCTAATTCCCCCCTCCTCACCCTCCACTATCTCATAATTCGGGATTTCCTCATTCAGCTGGACATCATCCCTGTCTCTCTCTGCTCCTGAAACTGCTGGAGACGGGGAGGGTGAAACTTCCCACACCTCCTTCTCTTCTGAGAGGAGCCGATCAGACTGAGGGCTCATTTCCCATTCCTCCTGTTCAGTCCAGTCCCTGACAGGCAGGAAACAGTGGCAGGCTTTGGGTGGGAAGAAGGAAGCCAGGTAGGCAGAAAGAAGAAAGTCAAGTGGGCAGAAAGAAGGAAACTTTGTGAAAAGGCTTAGGAGGAAGGAGAAGAGAAGGGCTGGATCTAGATATATATATAAAAAATATTTCAGGAAAATGCGTTGGAAACCTCATAATGGGAAATCACGTTTCTGAAAGACTGAACTCTACATCGCCATCTGGTGTCACATTGTTGTAACACATTTATAGCACCCCCCCCCCAATGTATCTGAGTCCAATGACCTCCCTGCCTGAGTGCATCTTCCAGGGAGTGGTGGTGGTGGATGTCTTTGGATGTGGGGTGTTCCTTTGCAAGTGTATTTTCTGAAGTGTAGGTGGGTTACCATGAGGCAAGACATAGTGATAACAGCAAGAACCTTTATTGAACTAACAGAACTGGACAACAGGGGCAAAGCAACTGCTTATATACATTTCTGAAGGCCTGGGCCACTCCCACTCCCAATGTGATTGGCTGTCTAAACTTCCAAGCTGCAAATCATGACTCAGAGTTTAAGGACTAATGGCAGAGGCCCAAAACCTGAAATGTCCTGTGATTGGATATCATGTATCGAATCAGAACACAGGGGCTCAGAATCCTTAGTCCAGATTCAGGCTCAAGCAAACACAGACCACTGAATACATAACATTTTCCATCTCACCTTTCCTATCCATTGACTGCCTCTCCTTCCTTCCTGATGCCCCACCCCCTGAAGCAGCACCCCCCCCCCCGAATTGAATCCTCTGCTCCATGGTTACTGAGCAGATTATTCAATTGGGGAGGAGGGAAGGCAGAGTGTTTCTTTGAAAGCAGGGTGCTCCTTTGGGGACTCCTCCACTCACCTGCAGTACAATCCTTTGCAAGTCTGTGAAGATTGAAACCAACTGCACCCCACTCTAGATGGAAGGGGAGTAGATGCAATGTCTCATTCCCTCTTCTAACCATACACTGGATCACAGCAAGAAACGATATTTCTATATTTGGTGTGGGCGGGCATGTGACTTTCATCTCTGAATGGGTTTATCAGCACAAAGAAATATTTCTTGCATTTTTGCAAACCATACAATGCTATTAGTGTGTGTGTGTGATACATTAAAAAATAGGTAAAAATCAATTAGGTATTGCAATGTGCGGTGTGCGGGTGTCGCTGTGGCCTAAACCACTGAATCTCTTGAGCTTACTGATCGGAAGGTTGGCAGTTTGAATCCCCACAACGGGGTGAGCTCCCATTGCTCTGTCCCGGCTTCTGCCAACCTATCAATTCAAAAGCACATCAGTGCAAGTAGATAAATAGGTACCACTGTGGCAGGAAGGTAAATGGCATTTCCATGCACTCTGGTTTCCATCACGGTGTTCCATTGCACCAGAAGCGGTTTAGTCATCCTGGCCACCTGACCAGCAAAGCTGTCTATGGGCAAATACCAGCTCCTTCAGCCTGAAAGCGAGATGAGCGCTGCACCCCACAATCACCTTTGACTGGACTTAATCGTCAGGATTCGTTTACCTTTTACCTTATGACCCCATACATGTTTATTCAGCTCAGAAGCAGTTTTCTATTTAGGGAGATATTTCCTGTTGTTCACCGTCTTAAAAAGATGTTAAGAAATGGCTTCTGCCAGAAGTTTACTCTACTAGCAAACCTTAGATCTGAAGTGGTGATGGTGAGTGTTATTTTATTTGTCCCATCTATACCATTTAGAAGGCAATAGCGTATCATGTTGCATTTTTGCGTGACATATACATGAAGTACAGTGCAGAAAAAAGCCTTGGGGCAATGAAGACTATTGTAGTAAATATGCTTGCTTTCCCACAATGGAATAGTGTTGTAGTTAGAATGCTTGGACTAGGACCTGGGAGACCAGGGTTCAAATCACTGCTCAGCCATGAAACTCAACGGGTGACCTTGGGCCAGTCCCTGTCTCTAAACCTAATCTACCTCACAAGGTTGTTTTGAGGATAAAATAGGAGGAAGAGAACCATGTATGCTGCCTTCAGCTCCTTAGAGGAAAGTGGGAATATAAATGAGAGAAATGAATAACAAAGATTAATGTAGAGCTGAATTACTAATATGCAGTAGACACTGCTAGGAGAGTAATTGCTGTTTGAGATCTATAAACATATTTGAGAAATAACATTTGCATGGAAATTTCCAGTTCTTTGAGAAGCCATGAGTGCTAAATGGTGCCTTTTATAATTTCTTAGTTGATTTCCAATTAAAACTTGCAAGTTTTATCCGTTGGGAATTTCTCACACGTCTGGACTAGAAAGTGAAGACTTTGCAAGATTATGTGTTCCCTTTGATTTGGAGGAAATCCAATTTCAGCATCCATTGAGATTTGAAATTCGGAGGCAGGGGGAGGGACATGCATGCAGGATTCTTAGATCTTGTAGCTTCTAAGTCATCCCAACTGTTTTCTCCTTTTCATCTTATTTTCTTCTTATTATTTTAGTTTAACTCTATGAGGTTAATTGAATTGACATAAGATTAGCATACAACCCAGTCTCCACTGGGGCATTATCAGGCTACAGAATTTGCTTAATAACATGCGTCAAGGGGCTTGGGTTTCTATAAACTTGGTCCAATAAACCTTATCTTCCTGCTAGAATCCAGAAAGTTTAATACCAAGTAACCCGTTCTACATTGGGAAGATGTTTGCTGCTAATGCTGCAGTTGTCCATGCACTGACAACCTCAAGGCTGGATTACTGCAATGGGCTTAGTTGGTGCAAGACATAGTGGTTAGTTTGCTTGTGACTACTACTGCCATCATATAGCACTTTACTTGGAGGATGCTCACTGGCTGCCAATTTGCTACTGAGTCAGGTTCAAGGTGTTACTGCTCATATATAAGGATATACACAGCCCAAGACCAGATTGCTCGAGATACCGCTTTATTCCTTATACTGTATTTTCCCATGTATAAGGCACCCCCATGTATAAGATAGGGCTGGCATGTTGTGAAAAGCAAAAAATTGGACGCTATGATGACTCTCATTTTAAATACTCCTACTATATGTAGGCTATACAGTAGAAGCTGTGATACATTGCTGAGGGGGCAGGAGAAGAGAAGAGGAAAGCAAGTCTTCAGTCACCAGTTATGTCAATATCTCATCCAGAAAGTATAGCCACAGACATTTTAGCAAATTTGAAAAATCCACCTGGAAAGAAATTTTACCCCTGAAAAAGAGGATGAGCACATCACCCCATAATCACCTTTGACTGGACTAGAAGATGCCCTAGAAGACTGGGTTATTGTTTTTACTTTTATTATGCATTTTGTGGTTTTATATCTTGATTTTATTCTGTGAACCGACCTGAGACCCCCAGGTATAGGGTGGTATATAAATTCAATACATACATACATACATACATACATGCATACATACATACATAATATTTTTGAACCCAAAATTAAGAAATCAATATTTTAAACATCAAACAGAACAATTTTGAACTTTTTTTTTGGGGGGGGGGAGGTCACCCAAAGTTGTTGAGTTTTTTTGCAGAGGTCACCCAAAGTTAGGGTTGCCAAAGCCCGGACCCCTGTGTATTCACCGTCTCTGTAAAGGACACCCCCCAATTTTTGACTAAAAGAATTATCAAAAATGTTCTCTTATATGCGGAAAAATATAAATATCCAGCTGGTCACTTTGATTCTCCCAAAGCTATCAGAAGCCTGCTCTGAAGCCACTCAGCCTCTTCACCACGTGTGGTGAATGCTGCATTTCTGCTTGAGGTGAAACTCAGTGCTTTTCCTCTCTTATCTGCATTTTCAGCAAAGCATCAGCTTCTATCCAGATCTCAAGAGATCTCATGCACTATTGTGAGGTTTTGGCAAGATCTCACAACATCCCTCTGGAAACCAGTGCCTCTGCCAGGGCCGTTTCTCCACTGGCAGTGTAGGTGGGAGCAATGGAGTAGTAGTAGTAGTAGTAGTAGTAGTAGTAGTAGTAATAATATTTATACCCCGTCCTCCCCAGCCAAAACCGGGCTCAGAGTGGCTAACACCAAATATATAACATACAGTCATACCTCATGTTACGTCCGCTTCATGTTACGTTCCTTCAAGATACATCCCGTGGTGACCCGGAAGTACCAGAAAGGGTTACTTCCAAGTTTTGCCACTCACACATGCGCAGAAGCACAAAATGACATTACACGCATGCGCAGAAGCGGCAAATCGCAACCTGCATGTGCGCAGACGTGCCGCTGCGGGTTGCGTTCTCTTCATGTTGTGAACGGGCCTCCAGAACGGATCCCCTTCGCAACCAGAGGTACCACTGTATTAGCATAAAATCAGGCAATCAATTAAAATACATCCTAAAATCAAATCAGAATCAAAGTGAAATCCAGTCAGATGGCAACCCGCAGATTAGGGTTGGGGACCTTAAATGCTCACCAGCTTAACGGTTTGTACTGATCTTATATGAGCCTGTGAGAAAAGTTGGGGGGCCACATTCATACAGGTTCTTATAAGGAGAGAGGGGGAGTCAGACTGGACCCCGGCGGAAGAGGAAAGGCAGGTTCCACACCTAAGGCTCCTGCCGCTCAAGGCAGAAGCTTCACCTCGCCTCCTCAGTGGGTTGATTCTGCTGATCTTACATGGGACAGAAGAGTAAAAATCAGCATTCAACCGAAGCAAAATTTCTGGGGAACTCCTAAGCAGGAGCCTTAAAAGTGTCGTTTCTTGGTTTTGTAGGTGATTTCCCAGAGGGTCACAAGACATCAGGGATTAAGTTCGGGAGAATAATACACTTGCCAGGGCTTTTATTGCGTTGATACGTGGTCTTGCCCGCCTTTATGGTCCTCTGCTGTGCCTTTTATAACCCGAGTGAAGAGTCACTCAGCTGATTCAGGTTGCTGATGTCAAAATTAATCAAAATTCTCCCGATTTCATAGCAGTGTGTTTGCATGCAATACGTAGCGCTGCTTCCCATCACGGCGTCTCCTCTCTAAATCCTTCTTTCGCTTGCAATGGTTATTTTTTTTAAAAGAAAACAAGCAAGCCAAGCACACCTGCATTAGGGCTCCATTTGCGTGTGCTATGCTGTCAACTCCTCTCCCCCCCCAAAAAAAAAATGGTGTTTGAATTTTCTAAGGATGCATCATTCTTGCTTCAGGTAGCCCTCCCTTCTCTGCAGCAGCACCCGGCATAGTAATGAGGCGGTTACCATGGAAATATGAGCATGACTCGTTCTGCCGTGTAGCTCCTCTGATTTTTATGAACTTCTTTCCAGCTTCTGGAAAGCTTCCCGCGGAATGTGTGCGATAGCCGCGGAGATGAGAGCACTGCAATGCAAAGTGAAATCTCTCTCTCACACACGCACACACATAAACACACATATGCACTCCATTATTATTTCAATGAGGCTATTTTAAGGACAGCAAAAGGGGGGTGGGGGTGGGAAATGAGTAGACCACAGGAATTGTTTTAGTTAGGAACACAGGAAAAATAGGAACCTGCCTTACGCCAGACCCATTAACACACCTAGCTTTGTATTATCTCTACTGATTGGCAGTGGCTCCCCAGGGCTTTAGGGGAGAGCTGGGGATGGACCGGAGCTGGGGAGAGATGGAGATGGAGATGGACTTTTGCTTGCAAGTCAGAAGCTCTACCACTGAGTTGCAGTCTCTTCCCCCACCCCGCAGCCAAGACCAATATATTCCCTTCCCCAGTACAGTGGTACCTCGGGTTAAGAACTTAATTTGTTCTGGAGGTCCGTTCTTAACCTGAAACTGTTCTCAACCTGAGGTACCACTTTAGCTAATGGGGCCTCCCGCTGCCACCGCCACCCGATTTCTGTTCTCATCCTGAAGCAAAGTTCTTAACCCGAGGTACTATTTCTGGGTTAGTGGAAACCCACTAACCTGAAGCATCTGTAACCTGAAGCGTCTGTAACCCGAGGTACCACTGTATACCTGAATGAATGTCTCCACCCCCATCGTTCTGCCCGGACACAGAGGACCAGCTCCGAGGGCCTTCTGGCAGTTCCCTCACTGCGAGAAGTGAGGTTACAGGGAACAGGCGGAGGGCCTTCTCGGTAGTGGCGCCCACCCTGTGGAACGCCCTGCAATCAGATGTCAAGGAAATGAACAACTATCTGACTTTTAGAAGACATCTGAAGGCAGTCCTGTTTAGGGAAGTTTTAAGTGTTTTATGTTTTATTGTACTTTTAATTCTGTTGGGAGCCTCCCAGAGTGGCCGGAGAAACCCATCCCGATGGGTGGGGGTATAAATAATAAATTATTATTATTATTATTATTATTATTATTATTATTATTATTATTTCCTGTCTATCAGCCAGTGTGGACAATACTGAACTAGTTGGACCAATGGACTGACTCAGTATAAGTCAGCTTCCTCTTTTACAAGATATGGATGGGGAATAATAATAATAATAATAATAATAATAATAATAATAATATTAATAATAATAATTTATTATTTATACCCCGCCCATCTGGCTGAGTTTCCCCAGCCACTCTGGGTGGCTTCCAATCAAGTGTTAAAAACAATACAGCATTAAACATTCCCAGTCCTAAGTGGAGATGCCAGAGATTGAATCTGGGACCTTCTGTGAGCAAGAACCACCAGCACTTAATACTTTTGTCTGAGTTTTTCTTTCTTTTTTCCATAAAAAAGAAATCTAGATTTGGAAGGGACCTCAAAGGTCATGTAGTTCAATCCCTCTCAGTAAAGGATCTACAAGGCAGGATGTAGATTATAGCTTCCCTGATGCTTAAAAATGCTTAGGATTGCAGCATAAGGCTGCCCAGTCTTGACCAACTTACCTGGGAGTAAGCTCCATTGAATACAGTGGGACTTCTTTCTGAGTAGACACTGTAAGGCTCCATTTACAGCAAATGACTCAACACTCCCCGTGTTTCCTAAAAACAAATAAATGGCTGGCTGTAGAAGCACGTAGTTAAAGAATTTAAAGAGGATTGGCTACATTTTCCTACAAAATTATAAGAAAGGCTTCATATGCCAGCTTCACTATTTCCTTCATTTAGTGCAGGTATTTTTTTCTCCAGGAGAAACAGGACTTTATTTTTGCACCTACACATAGACTCACACACAGAGAGAACACTTTTAATTGTTCTCCGAGACATGGAGGGGAGGAAAAAGGAAAACCGGGACATTTCAGGATCAAATCAGAAACCAGGATGGCTTCTGTAATTTCGGGACTGTCTCTCGAAAACCAGGACACATCTTTCTTTACAACACTCCTGTGAGGTAGGTTCAACAGAGAGGTTGCAATTGGCTCAAGGTGACTGATGTCTGTATATGAAATACAGTGGTCCCTCGGGTTACATAAGCTTCAGGTTACATATGCTTCAGGTTACAGACTCCACTAACCCAGAAATAGTACCTTGGATTAAGAACTTTGCTTCAGGATGAGAACAGAAATTGTGCGCCAGCGGGGCGGCAGCAGCAGGAGGCCCCATTGGCTAAAGTGGTGCTTCAGGTTAAGAACAGTTTCAGGTTAAGAACAGACCTCCGGAATGAATTAATACTTAACCCGAGGTACCACTGTATGTAGAATCGGATGCCCTATTTTCATCAGAGGAATGTAGGATTGCCTGCGAAATTACCTGGTCAGCAAGAACAAAATGGGACATCACCGGGCCACAGGAATTATAGCAATTGTTCCTCTACATTCCAGGAGCAATTGTGTGTTTGTACATATTTTGTTTCATGTACCATAAATAGCATGCATTTGCAATGCCCCCAAAGCCAGTGGCTTCTCTTGGGCAACACTGAACTCTCAGTTGTTGAAATGCTTATGTTTTTGTTATATTGATTTCCAAGCTAAGTGAGTTGGCCAACTGAGGATGGGGGGGGGGGGAGTATTCCAGTCTACTGGGTCTGCGACCTTAAATCGCTTCAATTAATGTCTGTCTGAGCATTGGAGTATGCGCTGGCTGGGACTCCCTATGGCCCTGAACATAGCCCAGCAACAAAATGTTCTGTTGGTCTGCGGCTTTGGGGATTTCGCTTGCCAATGCAAATTGCTCAGCATCTCATCCTAGGTCCCTGTGTTTGGGAAGGAAAGGTTCGTTTACAATGATATTTTTGGTCTGCTGGCTGCTTTGCTTTTGATTGCTGAATAATCTTTGCAGTCTGAAAGAGTCCTCCAGTCGTACTCCGATGAGGATGGGGGAGACAGAGAAGATGAAATGGCTTTTCCTCCTTATGGAATTTAGGGGTGCAGATGGAGGGGAAGCTGCCTTGATATGTACACCCCCCCCTTTCTATTAGAGCAGGAAAAATGCTTGGGAGGGTAGTTTTGTTTTTTGATTGAGAGTTTCTATAGGGAATTGGGGGTAAAGGTAAAGGGACCCCTGACCATTAGGTCCAGTCATGGCCGACTCTGGGGTTGGGGCACTCATCTCGCTTTATTGGCCTAGGCAACCAGCATACAGCTTCTGGGTCATGTGGCCAGCATGACTAAGCTGCTTCTGGCGAACCAGAGCAGCGCACAGAAACGCCGTTTACCTTCCTGCCGGAGTGGTACCTATTTATCTACTTGCACCTTGACGTGCTTTCGAACTGCTAGGTTGGCAGGAGCAGGGACTGAGCAACGGGAGCTCACCCCGTCGTGGGGATTCGAACCGCCGACCTTCTGATCGGCAAGTCCTAGGCTCTGTGGTTTAACCCACAGTGCCACCTGCGTCCCAATTGGGGGTAGGGGAGTATTTAATTTATACAAAGTAACCTTACTTTGTATAAATATACAAGGTTATAAGGATATAAGGATATATATAAGGATAATATACAAGGATATAAGGTTGATATCTGTCTTTCAATTAAAGATGACTGTGTGTGGCAATGACCAGGGGCATAGCTAGCCTCTCTGGCACCTGGAGCTGTGGGGGCAGTGGGGCGATCCACCCATGGGGGCGCCACAGCAATCCACCCAGGGGGCGGTGTGGCAAGCTGCCCACGGAGCCTGCCTGGCGGACGCAAGCCCCAAGCTGCCATTTTGGGCAGCAAAGGGCCCCAATCCCCCACATCACTCCCAGGAGAGACACGTGGCTCAGGCACGCTGCAGGCCAGGCCCCACAGTAAGTGCTGCCCCCCACAGTGTGCCATTTTGTCACCCCCTCAGGGATGACACCCGAGGTGGGCTGCACCCCCTGAACCCCCCCTTCCTACTCCCCTGACGATGACAAGCTGCACTTCGGCTCTGTAAAAAGACAGAAGTGGCACACTTTCAGCCCACAGGCCAGTCTTGGTCTGCCAAGGAATCCAATTTAACCTGCAAGACCATTTCTCCGAACCAACCCCACCTGTCACTCAGCTGACATTACTGGGTGTTATCAGCTGATAAGCAGGCACAAAGTTTAATCCTGCTGGGTGCTGGATTGCCTGCTGATAAGTGAAGAGTTCATTCCTGCTGACCTTGAAGATGACCTTGTCAGGGTGTTCTCTGAACAGTGTCTGCCATTCATCAAATGCCCGGGTAAACAGGAATGTTTGAAAGCTCCTTCTGTAACTCAGTGAAAGAGACAGACACAACTCACCAGCGGGGGGGGGGGCATTCTACAAATGGGGAACTGCCACTGAAAAGGCACTGCTATGTTATGGGTCAATGCCACCTGGGCAGCCCCCACTGGTGGCATCACCAACTAGGGCTCAACTCTTTATCATAGGGTATGAAATGGTTGATGTTGGAGAAGGTGCTCATTTAGGTCCTTGTGTTCCAAGCCATTTGGGGGTTTGTATGCTAGTACTAACACCTTGGGGGACGCGGGTGGCGCTGTGGGTAAAACCTCAGTGCCTAGGACTTGCCGATCATATGGTCGGCGGTTCGAATCCCTGCGGTGGGGTGAGCTCCCGTCTTTCGGTCCCAGCTCCTGCCCACCTAGCAGTTCGAAAGCACCCCTAAGTGCAAGTAGATAAATAGGTACCGCTTTATAGCGGGAAGGTAAACGGCGTTTCCGTGTGCTGCGCTGGTCCTGGCTCGCCAGAGCAGCTTCGTCACGCTGGCACATGACCCGGAAGTGTCTGCGGACAGCGCTGGCTCCCGGCCTCTTAAGTGAGATGAGCGCACAACCCTCGAGTCAGACACGACTGGCCCGTACGAGCAGGGGTACCTTTACTTTACTACACCTTGATGTAGTGTAACTCTACCTGGGGACCAAATGACAAAGCGCTAATTTTAAAATAGTATATTAATAGACTTTCAAACTATATTGAAGAAAGGGACATTATATCAGCTGTAGAACATGTGCATTGAATGCAGAAGGTCCAAGTTTCAATACAGTGGTACTTCAGATTAAGTACTTAATTTGTTCTGGAGGTCCGTTCTTAACCTGAAACTGTTCTTAACCTGAAGCACCACTTTAGCTAATGGGGCCTCCTGCTGCCGCTGCGCCGCCGGAGAACAATTTCTGTTCTCATCCTGAAGCAAAGTTCTTATCCCGAGGTAATATTTCTGGGTTAGTGGAGTCTGTAACCTGAAGCGTATGTAACCTGAAGCATATGTAACCCGAGGTACCACTGTATTTGGCATCTCACACCAAAAGGATCTTGGGTAGCAAGAGCTGGCAAATACCTCTCCCTAAGACTTAGGTTTCTCAAACATGAATCCTAATATTGATGTAAAAGTTTTGATGTCTAAGTTTTCACTGTGTGTGTGTGTGTGTGTGTGTGTGTGTGTGTGTGTGCAAGTGTGCAGTGCAGACTTTTCCTCCTTGTATTTGTGCATTCCAAACTCCTGCATGGCTCCCTGAACTGTTTGGGCAGTCTTCATCCCATCTTGGAAAGGAGGTTGGAAAACATCAGAGCAAATGCAAAACTGAGCCACCCTGAGAGTCTCAGGTCCCATTTCCACTATCAAATGAAAAGGTATAACTCAGCTATCAGTGCCAGAAAGCAGAAAACGGTCGTCCAACCACACTGAAGCCATTTGTATGATTCATGGACATGTCCTCCCACCATAGTGAGAAACAGATGACGGTTATTATTCCTTTTTAATGTCATCTGTCACTCCCAGGAGAGAGAGAAATGAGCCTGTCTTATGCACCATTGAAGATGGCTCATATGAGAGCAGATCTTTCTGCAAGTCAACCACCAGGGGCTTGACCCATCTCTCCATTTCATGGCTAACAGTTTGCTCTCGTTACAGAACTTCACCTCTTGCAGATAGGCAGGTGCTGGGACCTTCTGGTATCCCTTTAGGGCAGAAGGGATCCCTTTTGTGTTTTCCTAGGGAGGGGCAGTCCAGCTATGTATTCAGGTGACTGGCCATTTTCCCCTTGGCCAAAGTAAATGGAGATCAGTATTCAACCCCAAGGAATGCATTGCTTGTCTTGCAACAATCATTTATTATTTCTGTGTCTTGGTTAACTTGCACAGCTTAACCATAGCAGTAAACACAGAAAACTGCCGTTTACTAAATCAGGCTGTTCGTTACTCCAGCTCAGTATTCTTGACATTGACTGGCAGCACTTCTCTAAGGATTCAGACAATCTGAACATGTGTAGAGGGCAACCAAGATGATCAAGGGTCTGGAAACCAAGCCCTATGAGGAATGGTTGAAGGAGCTGGCTTTGTTTAGCTTGGAAAAGAGGAGACTGAGAGGAGATAAGATAGCCATCTTTGTTGGAAATGTAAAGAGGTAGATGGTACATTTTATCACATGTGGTGGCAATGCAAAGTGCAATGCAAAAGAATTTTTGGGAAATGATATATAATGAATCGGGGGGGAAATGCTTAAAATAACTTTTGTTAAAAAGCCAGAAGCCTTTTTATTAGGAATAACAGGAAGGGAAATACCCCCAAATTATAAAAATCTATTTATGTATGCAGTGATGGCCGCATGAATATTGATAGCTCAATGCTGGAAAGAGGGGGAAATTCCCACGAAAAAAGATTGGCAAATTAAGTTGATGGAATATGTAGAAATGGCAAAATTAAGAGGAAGACTCAGAAATCAGGAGAATAACAAATTTTAAAATGAATGGGAAATTCATTATTGCATATATGTCAAAGCATTGTATACAAGTTGATACATCAGCAGGATTCTAAAAACATTTGCAGTATTATGATGATAGACAAGAATTAGATATATACAGACAGAAAATATGACTTGGACATGCTTGAAATAACCAAAAATAATGGAACCATGGAGATGGTAGAGGGAAGTCATGGGACTGGAAAAATCCCACATTGTGTTATTGTATTGATGTTTATTTTATATAATGTTTGTTATGGAAAAAACTAATCTTTTTTTTATAAAAAAAATGAGATAGCCATCTTCAAATATCTGAAGGGCTGTCACATGGCAGAGGGAACAAGCTTGTTTTCTCCTGCTCTGGAGGGTAAGACTCAAAGTAATGACTTCAAGTTACAAGAAAGGAGATTTGAACTAAACATCAGGAAGAACTTTCTGACAGGAAGAGCTCTTGGACAGTACAATGGACTCACTCAGGAGGTTGTGGAATCTCCTTCCTTGAGTTTGGATGGCCATTTGTCATGGATGCTTTAGATGAGATTCCTGCATTGCAGGAGGTTGGACTAGATGGCACTTAGGGTCCCTTCCAACTCTCCAGTTCTGTGCTTCTATGCATCTATGACTTTCCCAGTCCTACCTGAAGATTAGGGATGGGAGATGCCATGTGATAAAATTTGGGCCATATTCAGGCATGCAGGTATTTCCCATGAATTTCACTGGTAAATCATGGAGGAACACAATCATCCATGTGTATACAGGCTGGTGACATGTCTAGTGACATCCACTGTTGTGTCGCATGCCACACCCACTGGTACGAATTAAACTTAGTGTGGCATGGTGGTATATTGATTTTTTAAACAAAAAAACAAAACAAAACAAAGTTCCGTAATGCAACAGGTGTAAAAGGAATATTGTTAAATGAGAGGGAAGCGCTGCCATTACAACCAGCAAAACTAACACAGCCATCCCCATTTTTGACTGCAACATTAGTGTAACGTATAAACTCAGCTCAGCAGCATAGCTATGGTTTATTAGCTTTAGCTATGGTAAGGGGGACGTGGGTGGCGCTGTGAGTTAAACCACAGAGCCTAGGGCTTGCCGATCGGAAGGTCAGCGGTTCGAATCCCCGTGACGGGGTGAGCTCCTGTTGCTCGGTCCCTGCTCCTGCCCACCTAGCAGTTCGAAAGCATGTCAGTGCAAGTAGATAAATAGGTACCGCTCCGGCAGGAAGGTAAACGGCGTTTTCGTGCGCTGCTCTGGTTCGCCAGAAGCGGCTTAGTCATGCTGGCTACATGACCCGGAAGCTGTACGCCGGCTCCCTCGGCCAGTAAAGCGAGATGAGCGCCGCAACCCCAGAGTCGGTCACGACTGGACCTAATGGTCTGGGGTCCCTTTACCTTTACCTTTATGGTATATAAGCTTTGTTGCTTGTTAACAATGGTTTGTGGTTGGTTTATAAACCACAGGTAATGTTAACCACAGCTTATTGTTGTGTGTGAACCCACAGTCATGTTGCCATTTCAAAAGAAGTATCAGACTTTCAAGGGCAAGCTATACACTTAACGTAATGTATAGATTGCTGCTTGCAGAGTGGATGCCAGGATGTTCATCTAGTCTACAGTCAAGGTACCATCATTGAAAAGATCCTGGACCCTCTCAAGATGACCTTAAAAGCAGCCATTGCTGTTTGCTGCTTGCAGTTCTAACTGGAATATTGTCTTTCTCTTCTCACTCGTGACCTGCCAATTTTCATGTCATCAGCTGCTTTACCACAGAATACTAATCACCAACTGAGGAAGGTGGGGAGGGAGAAAGCATTTTTCTGTAAGCAAGCAAGTTGGCTTGATCCCCCCCCCCACTGCTCCCCCCCAACCCCCCCCCATAACCCTGATTGTTAGGCAGTTCACTGACATGATGCTACTAAAAATAACAGTAAACAGTTGCAGTGCATGGTCCATCTTTAATCCTATGTCTTCCGTGACGCTCACCTGGCTGGCCTGTTGAGTTGTAAGCAAGGTAATTTGCAGCTTCATTTTTCTCTATTGTACTTCCTTCTAGAATGAATATAAAAGCAGTGTTACTCATGACAACCACCGTTCATAAAACGGAGTTGTGGGTTATTTTAAAATCCTGTGTTTGGCTACCTCTTGTGGGTATTTTGGGAACAGCTTGCTCATTCTTATTTTTTTCTCTGAAATATGCAGCCTTCACGTAGCAGCTGCACAGTTGCAGGATTTGATCTCTACATTGCCTAAGATTGTGGAGTTTTTTTCTCTCTCCCCAGACTGAGGATCTCTAATACTTTTGCTTAATAGAATTTATAGAAAAATGTACAACTCTTGAGGAAACCACTGCAAATTCTCAGTGGAAGGTGGTAGACTTTCCTTCATTGGAGGTTTTTAAACAGAGGTTGGGTGGCCGTCTGTCAGGAGTTCTTTAACTGTGATTCTTCCATTGCAAGGGGTTGGACTAAATGAACATCAGATTTCCAATTCTACAATTCTATGCTTGTACAGTGGTACCTCTGGTTGCGAATGGGATCCGTTCCGGAGGCCTGTTCGCAACATGAAAAGAGCACAACCTGAAGCGCCGTATCTGCGCAGGTGTGCTGCACGATTTGTCACTTGTGCGCATGTGCAAGCTCCGAAACCCATAAGTAACCCTTTCTGGTACTTCCAGGTCACCGTTGGACGTAACCTGAAAGAACGTAACATGAAGCAAATGTAACATGAGGTACGACTGTATACAGTGGTACCTTGGATTACATATGCTTCAGGTTACATACGCTTCAGGTTACAGACTCCGCTAACCCAGAAATAGTACCTTGGGTTAAGAACTTTGCTTCAGGATGGGAACAGAAATTGTTCTCCCACGGCACGGCGGCAGCATGAGGCCCCATTAGCTAAAGTGGTGCTTCAGGTTAAGAACAGTTTCAGGTTAAGAACAGACCTCGAGAACAAATTAAGTACTTAACCCGAGGTACCACTGTAGTGTGCTTATAACAAAAATTGCTCAGCTCAGGATTATGCCCCCCGCAACAAAGTAGCTAGAAACTGCCATTCTGATGTGAAAATTTGACTATATATATATATATATATAACCCTACCAGACTGTAGTTCATAGTTGAGTGCAGAGTTAAATTATGGAACTTCCTCCCATAGGAGGCTGTATTATCACCAACTTAGATGGCATTAGTAGATAAGACAAATTTATGGATGAAAAGGCTATCTGTGGGTGTTAGCTGTGATGGCAATGCTCTGACCCTGTGCTTGGAGGCAGTAATGCTTCTCTATACCAATTACTTGAAAACAGCAGGAGACAAAAGATCTCTTGTGCTCAGATCCTGCTTGCAGGCTTCCCATAGGTGCATTTGGTTGGCCACTGCGAGAACAGGATGTTGGACTAGTTGGGCCATTGGCCTGATCCTGCAGGTTCTTCTTATGAATGAAAAAATTGCTCACTTTTTTAAAATGTATTTGATGATGCATACAAAAGGAAGAAGGTTCCAGGTCTACTCCTAGACATCTCCAGCTTGGGTTGGATGAGTTGGAAACATTTCTGCTTGAGAATCTGCTAGAGATTTTGCCAGTTAAAGCGGGCTTTTCTGCACTAGATAGGCTGCAAGGAGGGTTGGGGTGGATGACAGCACCCCAGCGCCACCAAACACATTCTTCATTTTAAGATTTCACCACCTTCCACAAGCACTGTGATTAGGGGGTTCTTGGTTAAGGTGAGAACATTCTACCCTAACCCTGTGCATTATGATCAGATTTGATACCTGCCCTGTGTTCTGCCTATGTGTTATTTTACCTGCCAGTGTGGTGTAGTGGTTAAGAGAGGTAGTCATGTAATCTGGGGAACCGGGTTCGCGTCTCCGCTCCTCCACATGCAGCTGCTGGGTGACCTTGGGCGAGTCACACTTCTTTGAAGTCTCTCAGCCCCACTCACCTCACAGAGTGTTTGTTGTGGGAGGGGGAAGGGAAAGGAGAATGTTAGCCGCTTTGAGACTCCTGAAGGGGAGTGAAAGGCGGGATATCAAATCCAAACTCCTCCTCCTCCTCCTCTTCTTCTTCTTCTTCTTCTTCTTCTTCTTCTTCTTCTTCTAATTGCAACATATTTGAGACTGTCTGTCTGGCCTTCTGAAACAATGGTTTGAGCTGTAGATTGCTACAAAATAATTCAGGATAACCTGGTCCACTCTGTAGTGATTTGTAGTTGCTTGACCTGATCTGAACAGGGCATGAATCATCCCAAATTGCCCTGATTGAATTCAGGATTTGACCAAATCCTGTGCACAGCCCTATGAGACCATGAACCATTGGCATGCCTCTCTCTTGCCTGAACAGAGGGTGGAGATGGAAAGGAGCACGTGTATAAACCTTTTCCCTTTGTGCAGTAACCTACATTCCAGTCATGTTAGAAGTGGGTCTTGAGACCTTCAAAATAAAATCTAAGCAGAATTGGTGAAGCAGCAAAGAATTTATTGAATAAAAAACATTCTTGCAAAAGCGGGTGTCCAAAGGAGGCACTGAGCCTCTAGGGCTTGCTGATCAGAAGGTCGGCGGTTTGAATCCCCACAATGGGGTGAGCTCCTGTTGCTCGGTCCGAGCTCCTGCCAACCTAGCAGTTTGAAAGAACACCAAAAAAAGTGCAAGTAGATAAATAGGTACCTCTCCGGCAGGAAGGTAAACGGTGTTTCCGTGCGCTGCTCTGGTTTTGGTGTTCCATTGCGCCAGAAGCGGCTTAGTCATGCTGGCCACATGACCTGGAAAAACTGTCTGCGGACAAATGTCTGCTCCCTCGGCTTGTAAAGCAAGATGAGCGACGCAACCCCAGAGTCGCCTGTGACCGGACTTAACTTTCAGGGGTCCTTTAAGTTTATATTTCCTATACCTGGAGTGCAGGTTCCCTCCCTTGTCTCCCCATTGGCTGGGTACTGCAAGGTTTGCAGTCTATCACGACTGCCTAATTATCCTATTAACATTTCCCTTATTTGATTTTTTATTTCTATGCATTTACATAGTGGCTTAAGTGACAGATCCACATCCTGACCACTAACAGGTGTAAGTGAGTTCTATAGCTGCTGAAGCTTACAATAAACTGTCTTTCAGCCACAAACTGTCCCATTTATGAGCATTCTAACCACAAGCCATCAATATCTGAGTCGATCTGGACTGCTGACACTTGTCTACTTATTGCAACCACATTCTGACTACAAGCTCTAAATATCTCCAGTTGCCTGGACTTCTGACAGTTGACTAACTGTTACATTTGTATGTGAAAAAGCAACATCCTCATTCCTCACAGTCATCAGAAAGTTGAGAGTCACATCCTTTATGCCACCAATGTTTGCCTGTTGCCTGCCTGTTATTGGCACGTAACTCCAGGAAGCCTGGCCACAAGATAATGTGGCCCTCAAACTTTGGCATGGTTTTTTTTTTGGGGGGGGGGTAGTTATTCTGATTCAAATGTGAAAGGTAATGTATAGTGTGTGAACGACAATTCAAACTAAGTTCTCATTGACTTCCCACAGTTTGACATGCAGCGGATAACTCTGGAGGAGCTGAAGCATATACTGTACCATGCGTTCCAGGACCACTTAACAATGAAAGATATTGAAAACATCATAATCAACGAGGAAGAGAGCTTAAATGAGAACTCTGGCAACTGTCAAACAGAATTTGAAGGTGAGGTTCTCTTGCATATCTCAGGCAGAACAGTTTGTTCAGATCACTCACCAAGACAACTTAAGTCAACTGTGTGGCAGTCTAAGGCATTCTTGCATAGAGACATGCCCATCGACTGCCCCAGAAAAACCAGGACATCCTGTTTCCCCCCACAAGAGCATGGCAGCCATTTTAGGTGACTTGCTCTTGCATGATTTTGGACCAAGATCTCACACTGCAATCTCGAGTTGAATTTTGGGTACACAATTTCACATGGGTCATGTGCTGGAGCGCCGACCCGGAAGGCGTCTTCCCAGATTTGGGCCACATTGTATTGGAGGGTACATAGAGATGCACCCAGATTTCAGATTCTAAATTTCCAGGCTTTGTTTTTGAAGTGAAGGTCCTGGACCCACATGGTTAAAGGCTTTGCAATTATGGGTTGCATCCAATCCTAGTCATACTCAGAGTGGGCCCATTGAAATCAATGGACATGACTGCTACTGTAGGTCCATTAATTTAAGTGGGCCTACTCTGGGTTGTATCCAACTCAATTCCAATCAAAATAATTAAAATGGATGGCTGGGCTACATTTTGTATGCTGCGTAATGTGTATCAATAATGATCAAATTGATAAGTACCATACTTTTCCTTGTATTGGACGAGGTTTTTTGAATCTCACATCTAAAAACTGGGGTCGTCCAATACACAAATAGTGGCATGGGGAGAGAAGCAGCCTGTCCAGTTGGCAGGTGTGTGGCTTCCCCCAATGCTGCAGCGAGCAAGGAGTGATCTGGGGACCCTGGCTGGGGGCGCACAGCTTCTCCCGACCCCACTGTGCTCAGGGAGCGATCTGGGAACTCTGGCTGGTGGCACACAGCTTCCCCTGATGCCGCAGGAAGCGGGGAGTGATATGGGGTGCTGACTGGCAGGAGTGCAATTTCCCCCGTTCCCTGGATCATTACCTGAACGCTGCGGCATCAGGGGAAGTTGCCCTCTAACCAACCAGCCAATGCCGCTATGCAAAGGAAATGATCTAGGGGGTGTTTCCTGCCTACAGCTTCGTGGGTGGAGAGGCTCAACAACTTTGGGCCATCTCTCCTCATTTTCTTAAAATTGAGTCCCCCCAAATTGGGGGGGGGGTGTCTTATACATGGGGGCGTCTTATAGACGGAAAAATACAGTAACTTTAAAACAAAAAGGTCATTATGCTTTCTCTCTCTCTCTCTCTCCTAGTGCATTCTCAAAAACAAAACCGACAGACTTGTGTACGGAAAAGCTTAATATGCGCTTTTGCTATGGCCTTTATTATCAGTGTCATGTTGATTGCAGCCAACCAGATCCTCCGAAGTGGCATGGAGTAGCCATATAACACTGTGAAACAAAAAAAACGATCCACGCATGCGCATGCTGTCCGGTGAACTTTCTCCCTGATCAACTTTAAAAACAAATGGGAAAAAAGGAGGAGAGATCGCATGGGTGACAGAATGGCGGATGGATAAGGACAGACGGTTCGATAGAGAACCCCAGGCCAGCAGCGTACCTGTAAATCAACTATATCCTCTTGGCAGGGACATAAAAGGGCTGTCTTAATGCTTTAATGGTTTTTGTTTCCTAACGCAATAAAAAACAACCCAGAAGAGCCCTGAATTTTTATTTTTGATTTTTTGGCGTGGTGGCAGGAGATTGGAATGAGGATTCACATTCACCCAGCGGTATTTTGTGGCCACCCAGAAAATGCGACACCAACTGGAGACAGTTTTGCCGCTAGCTATCTTACAGAAACTCTGAAGCATATCTATATCTATATCTATATATTTCTAATGGTTCAGCTTTCCCAGGAAATTGAAATCTATACCACCATAGTAAGCTTAAAAACCATCCATTTTTGCTTATCTTCGTCTGACTTCAATGGTTCTGTTTAACCCTGCTGGCATTGCGGGGGATTGTACAGGGACAATCAAATGCATAATTAACAAATTATGCAGTCCGGAGGATTTTGTTCATTTGTTAAATATAAGACCGTGGCCCACCACCATTTTGCTTCTTTTTAAAATTATTATTGCACTCCCTGTGTCCACTGCCCGTTTTTTTTCCCCATCAGGGTTTTTTAAAAATCAGATGCAGCACCCTGGAGATTTAAGGCCAATGCAAAGTCTTCCTACCACATTTTGAAACAGTGCTGTGATAGGCGCCTACTTCATAAATGGCTTCATATTTAATGTACAGTCAGTCTGTTGACCTTCCTCTAGTCTGTCTTATTCAAATGTTTCTGAACCTAGTCACCATTTGCTCCCGTTTTACAATGCCAATCCATAACTAGAGGAAATAAATTTTAAAAAATATAGAGAGAATAACAAATGATTTGGGGAGCGCAATAGCAGGCTCTTTAGGGCCTAAAGCCCCATAATGGTTTGTCAGGGGGTTTATTGATCAGAACCTGGTAGTCTGATATATGACAGTCCAGCATCCTGTTCTCTCAGGGGCTGGCTAGATGCTTGTGAGAAATCTGAAAGCAGGACATGAGTGCCACACATCTCTGTCCACCTGCGTTTTCCAGCAACTGGTATTCAGTAGCACAATCTCAATGGCAGTGGCATAGCCATCATGGCTGGAAGCCATTGACAGCCTGGTTTTATAGCTGTCAAAAGGTTTCTTCCAAAGTCTGGTTTATAAGGAGATGTCCACTCAATAGGATAAAACTGTTTTGTACATCTGGGAAATGAAGGCCATTGTAGATGTACATTTCCTTTTGAGAAGCTGCAGTCGTAGGCAATGAGTTTTGCCCAGCTGTTCAGTTCAGTAGTCTGAAACCCATTGACCTGGGAGCGTCTAGCTGGTTTCCAAAATCCATGGAGGGAGAGGGCTAGAGATGGTCACCAGCCATGATGGCTGTGCCCTGCCTCTACTGTCAGGGAAACTATGGCTCTGAATATCAGTTGTTGGAAACCACAAGAAGGGAGAGTGCTCTTGTGCTTGGGTCCTACCTGAGGGATTCCCACGGGCACCTGGTAGGACACTGTGAGAGCAAGATGCCAGACTGGATGGACTGTGGGCCTGATCCAGCAAGGTTTCCTTATGTTCTTCTGAACCATGCCAGGAGCTGAATGAACCCATTGACAAGAGCAACTTTCATTTCTGCAGAACAGGTATTTCTCAAAAGTGGTGACAAAGATGGAGTTTCAAACAACTTCTGATACCTAGGTGTCTGTTGAGGAGTTCCCAACTTAAAGCTACAATGATATACCAGGTTAACTGGGAGTAAGCCTGACTGAAAGATTTCAGTCGTCTTCTTTTTCTACTTAGCATCCCCAATAAAAACATAAAAACTATTAGGTATATATATAAAAATGTAAACATATGGATATTATACAACTAATTATACTTATATTGACAAAATGCCTCCTTTTCAGACAGTCAATGCACCTGTGCAAATGTAGCCATTTAAGGCATGGTATAAATGGCTAAAACATACCCACACACATTGGTATTATTCAATCATAGTAGCAAATGGGAATGGTTTTAAGGAGCAAAATTATTAGCAGCAGTAGAAAGAAATGTGTGTGAATGACCCTCCTCCACATTGGCCATAGTTTTGTCCTCACTGGGAATATTAGAAAACCTTTCTCATTACATTCTGTGTGCATTGTGATCAGATTTGATCTTAACACAATTTTTGCATGGGGTTTAGTAATTTTACACCTCCTCCCCTAAACAACAACAACAACAACCCAGTTTGATGTCAAAACACAGTCCGACACCAATGTAATAGTAAATTTATAAAACCTAAACTGAGACAAAGATATTCATTCACTTTTCCTGTCCCAGCTGTTCCATTATGTGGTTAAATCCAATTATCATTGCTCAAACCCTGATCCTGCACAGGTGTGAAAAAAGGTTGCAAAACCAAATCATTCTTGCTTCGCCAAACTAGTCTAGAGTTGAGCCTCACTGCTGCAGAAGTATCACAGTGCTTGTTGGGAGAAGTTATAGTTCAGTGGTAGGCAATACCGTTTGCATATACAGGTAAGCAGAGCTACATCCAAGACCCTGAACAGTTACAGGCCTGTGTAGACTCCAGGAGATGGAGGGAGGGATGGGCCAACCAAGGGTCTAGATCAGTTTCAAGAGCTTGCATTCAGCATATCACCTGCTTAAAATTTAATTGCACCCTAGGTTACTATTGTTGAGGTTTTTTGGGAAGGGGGGTGGAGTAGAAATGTCTCATCACAGCCAGCTTCTCTCATGTTCAGCAACGTCCCTAGAAAGATATTTTGTCAGACGTGGAAACATGGGCAGGCCCAGTGTACCCTTCGTCTTAAGCACATTGTAAGTGTTTCTATTTATTATAGAAGATAGTTTCTTAGAGTATAGTTATGTCACCGGGTCAGGTTGTTCTGGTTTATTCCAAGAATTATAAGGATTTTGTATTAGAACTGGAGGGGGGGGGAATGGTTTGTTACCCCATTAAAGCCTTTGCCCTATTCTCACAACTAAAGATCACATTGTATGCATGGTGGGGTCAGGGAGAATCATGCTGCCCCCTCAAATTCCACTCATTTAGTTGAAGACCTAAATTCAGCCTGTATTTCTGTATAATAGGGCTGTGCACAGCCATCCCAACCCAGAGACTTCCATCCCCAAATCAAGTCAGAGGTGTGTGTCATGTTTAGTTACGGTTTGTAAAAATCCTAACTAACCATACAGTCAGGTGCTGGGGAAGGAAAGGCGCCTTTCTCCCCTTTCCTGATTGAGAGCAAAGGGACAGGGTGCTTTTCCCCAAAAAAGCACCCCACAGGATTGAATCCTCTGCTCCACAGCTGTTCCCTGCAGGGAAGGCACTTGTGAACAACAGAGCCCTGCAATATAGCTTGTCTTTCTTCCCGCCTCACCTTGCCTCTCCTATCTGCCTGACACTTCCACCCACTGACATCTCCAGACCACCCTGTGCAACCAGCCCTCACCTGAGTCAGTTCAATTTGGTTCGGGCTTCAGCCCAAGCTGGTGCACAGCCCTACTGTGGCAGATTGCCAGGCAGGTTTTCCATTTACATGCAGGTCCTTGGCTGAATGTGAAAAAGATTTGGACCTCGGACAGCATAGACCATCTCTCCCATTGAACGTGTGAAAAGGGCTCTCGTCCATTTTCATTCCTTCAATTCCAGCAATGTTCGTTTCCTCCTATGTTGACAAAACGTTATTTCAAACAAAAGTGCAGGGAAGGTGGGAATGGTGGCAAATAAACCTTGGTACAGATAAAATCAAAGGAATAAATTTTGAAATAATGTCCCTTGCATGCTACCTTTTTTAAGAAAAGAACTTATTTTAATATATACACACATTATATATTATTGCACTGTACAAAGTATATAAAGGGAAGAAACTGCCATATATCCTGCCTATTTAACCAAACAGCAGTGTAAATATCTTATCTGTATAAAAAAAAGTCTAATTTTAATCACTTATGCAATAGTAATAAAGTTGCTTTCTTCTTTTGAGTTCTGGTATCTTTCCACCACCCTTCTCTTTCAGTCATGAGTAGGGATGAGAGAGCAATTTTACTCAGTTCACATTGAAACCTAAATCTGTTCTCCAGAACAACTGGCTGGCATGGGAAGGGACCCAGTCACAGAAAATGACTCACCAGTGAGGACAGGTCTGCTGATAAAAACATGGTGGATGACAAAGCATCACTCCTGGTCCAAACATAATCCAGAGACAAAGTCAAGTAACAGTCCAAGGTCAACATTACAGGAAGTTCAGACAAAGTACAATACATCAAGGCAGGGGAACTAGAACCAAAGAGCTGTGTTGTTTCCAGCAACTGGGAGGCTCAGGAGCGAGCCTCCTAAAAACAACCCTAACCAGAATGAATGAATGAATGAATGAATGATACTTTATTTGCATCAGCCATAGGCCATGGCATCAAAGAACACTGCTATATACACAGAACAAAATAAAAAAATGATTATGTAAAACACTGTTTAGGGGCCTGAATCAGCAATCAAAGAGTGGACCTTATTCTGATTGCCCCAGCTAAAAACCTTGCAACCTTTGCTGTCGTCTGCTCCTGTTGATCTGCCAGGAGAAAATACACTGTGACAGTGGTTGGGCGACCCAGAATGGACAATAAAAGAGGGGTGATAATCTCATTCCTCAGGTCTTTGTAAAGCGTGCACACCGGGGGGGGGGGGGCATGTGCCACTGATTTGGTGCTGATATCGCCACAGGGACATGAGTGTTTTGTGTGTGGAATCTGTTGGAATCGTACCCTTAAGTACAGCTGAGGGCAATACATTCAGTGTTGTGAGAGTAAAAGCATGTCTATATTTTGGAATTTTAAGGTTATATAGAGCCCTAACCAG